CAGAGGGGAGGGCTTGTCCACATGCAGACCCTGCAGCTAAAGGCAGAGGCAGTAGGCGGTGATGGCTATGCTCTGCTGAGGATTGTTAACATTATACATTATTTTAAGCGCTTTGAGGCCTTCTGCAAATTACGCTAAAGAAAACTGACTTTATTATAATGTTATGACCGTGAATTTGTGCATTATGCAGGCAGTATCGGGATTTTCGGTAAAAAAAAATCAAGGCATGATGGGAGGATCAATCCCGTGTTCACAATTGCACCTTTTTGGTTGTCGTAAAAAACTCACATTTCGCATGAATTAATAATATCAAAGTAGTACTTTATTAACCCAGGGGGAAGGATGACCCTTGACAAGGAATTGAACTTTAAACTTTCCCATTGTGAGCCAAGCACTCGAACCACAGTGCTAACCAGCCAGAGTTACGTAGTGGAAATTAAGGAGCCTACGACATTATTCTTCACCAGTTTGTCATAAGGCAAAGGGACATCATAAAGAAAAAGTAAAAATTTACCTGTAAAGTAATTTATATACATATAGGTTATTATTTTCCCTCTAAATTATTCTTCTGCAGATATTCCTTTCAACACATTTCATCACTGTAATTCCATATACACGCAATATCGTGCATATTACATTCATGCATTTACGTGTCAATTAACCGTTAATATTTATTGCTAATCTCAAAATACATGTATCGAATGGCATGTGTGAGAATCGATGTTTTTTTTATTCAAATGTTGCATGTAATGGGTTCAAGTGACCCTGTCAGCTACGAGATGCAGCAATACTCACCATAATTAAATATATATTGGATTCTTGAATTTGAATTGTGACCCTGAAAATTAATTTAATCAATGAGGCATGCAAATCATTAACCTCCTCTATATAGTAGGTATATATATTTAAACATCTTAGGTATTTGTTTCATTGCCGAGATGCAGTGACGTATAATCCATCGGCAAATCGCTCTTTCTGATCAATGTATCCCAGTAGAATTTGTGTTAACAAGGTAAACCTTGGAAGACCTGGCAGACCAATACAAGGCCAATTGATTGATCTAAGTATTATTTCTTCAGGTACTGAAAGAAAAAACCCTTCCCCTATTTTTAGATGTTTTTTTTACAAGCATTATTATTATTATTTTTAATTTCATTTCGTTTCGTAGGTAATTACAGTAAATTCAATATGTGTGCATATGTCGTCATGATAAGGGCCTGTGCAATAGTATTACATTCATTGTCCAAAAACGAACAGAGCATGGCTTTGTTATGTGGATAAGAGGGGGGGGGGGGGGGGGGAAATCCACGGGAGTTGTAGACAATGTGTGTGGCTTAAATCAGACCGGTTTAAAAGTTGCTCGGGGAATTATGTCACGGTGACAAACGTTTGGCTGCCATCATACACGCACAGTCGCGGAGTTGCAAGGTTGCATTCACGCACGCTCGCTAAAATATACCACCTACGCCAGACCCCTTATAGTCCTCGGAGATAGCAGGGCGAGCGATCACAAAAGAGAGCGCCGATATCCGTGCCGTGCATCTGCCGGGCTCTTTGTGTGTCGCTGCGTCGCCGCCAAGCAGGGCCCGTAAAGAGTCGTCGCATCCGTCCCCCGCAATCGCTGCACCGTTCACGTGGCGCAGCCGCAACAATTGACACGGAATGGCGATATTGGCATTGCACCGTGCGTGAACTCCAACTGCAGAGTCTGTTCTCTCCGTTTGACGCGTCATTTACGCACGTAAGGTTCCTGCCAATTTGTGACCGCGCAAAGGGCCTGCTGTTGTTCTCGTGCACGCACGCACACACGCGCACGCACGCACGCACACAAACAACAATGACTCGCCCTGTGTAGACTACCAGGCTGTTGGGGCAAGTGCCATTAACAATCACATTCTGAGACTGACATAGCACACCATGGGGGTTGTGTGGCCAGCAAGCACTCCGCAGTGCTGATGTTTACACACCAAGTGCTCACTCACGGTTAAGTCCACCTAAAGGAAACCCAGGGCCGATTCAGATATTCCATTGATGTTGACCGTAAGCAGGAATCGAACTTGGGTCGCCGGGTTTGTACCTAACCGCTGCACTACCGCGCGCGCACACGTACACGGTAAATGTGCTAAAGCACACTCATACAACTCAATGTCTATAGCATGGTGGGGATTTCCACGTTGACTTGCACGCAAATTTGACAGGTTTTTACGCCGCTTAGTATTTATATAAGAAATGGCAATTTAGCTTGAGCACGTGTATGGGAACCATTAAGTACGTAAGTCATGCTTAAAGATCAAGGGAACCGTCCATTTAGTTGATGCTAATGCATTCGCGGTATATAATACACACACACACACATTTTTCTGCTGTAATGTATTTGGGAGTGACAGGTGATCATTACGAATTCATAATAAATGTAGAGCAGTGTAAGATCCACAAAGGTGAGATCCGAGATGATGAGGATGAGAGCCTTTCTCTCGCGCTAAGTGCCCGATGAGCCAGCTGTATTGATGGCAGGGGTCCGCTGCAGATGCGATTCCCTGCAGATATCTTTAATGTGAATTAGTGGCTAATAAGATGCCATTACATTGGCTCCTAGTGGATGAACAGTGGCTGAGCGGCAATAACACCGTTAACGAGTTATAGGCATTGTTACTCGCAGCGCACGCAAACGTACATTTGTACACAAGTCTGTCCCTGGGTTCAGGATCGAGTTACAAACATGGTAACGCAATTGCCCTAATAAACCACGTTCTGCGATTTTGTCAATGAAAGCATCATTTCTTAGTTTTTCATGGACTTGGAAACCGTTACGTTCTTTGGAAGATCTGGAAATTTTGTTTACGCATCCTAAAAATAATGCGTATTTATATCCTGTGTGTTTTTATGTATTTTTGACATGACTGAATTCTGACTGCTACATCAGAATGCATGTAGTGGGGTAGAGTGCGGCTACTGGCGGCTAATTTCAGAGCGATGGCTGCAAGTTTGGTCGTACATGTTATGCATATCGTTTATTGTGAAATTTGAATCACAGTTCCTATGATTACTGTTGTTACATTGTTTTTATAGCTTTATTTTGGTGATTTCGAAAACACATGGTTAATCTAAATTGTCTTATGGTTATTATTGTTTGACTTGCATCACACTGGGATTATTGCACACAGCGTTGTAATACTTTTTTTTGGAAGAGTTTGCTGGTTTATCCTGGGATGTTTCTGTTGCGCGTCGTCGCTCTAAGATGTTCTCTGTTCATAGGAATAGGTTTCACCCTTTTAACTGGCACAAAAACTGACACCTTTATTCAAGGCATCAAGTTTGCAATAACCACAACACAAGCAGTCAAAATGCAAACAAAAAAGACAACTCTGATAATAATATGCACTGTCCTTGAATTTGATTGGTCCACACCCGAGACAGCTTTTCTTAGAGCCTAGTCTCCATTGGTGTTGGACCAGAAGACGCCAAAAGGTGTACAACTCAAAAACAGCGCACTATCAGAGTATTGAGGGCTCGGGGTGAGCATTTACATTATGAGACCTCCTTTGCCAGTAACAAGATATAGGAATAGGTTTTACCCTTTTAACTGTTTGCATTTTGACTGCTTGTGTTGTGGTTATTGCAAACATGATGCCTTGAATAAAGGTGTCAGTTTTTGTGCCAGTTAAAAGGGTGACACCTATTCTTATACCTTGTTACTGGCAAAGGAGGTCTCATAATGTAAATTCTCTGTTCATATTTAGTTTGTTGCGGTTGCACCCGATTTAAGAGCCGCATGGCTCACAGGGCTATACCTAATGAATGACACTTGAATGAAAACTTGAAACTTGAATTTATCCAGTGTGGAAGTGTTGGCCAAAATAGCCTTGAGAGGAGAGGGCCTAAATTTTGATTTAAAGCTTTCGTGACTGCAGGGATTCATATTCTTGGTTCTTTCGGTAAAGTCACGTAGAAGGGAAACAATGAAATGATAAAAATATAAAACAATAAAATGTGAGAATTTTATTGTTTTATATACAATAAAATGTGAGAATTTTATTGTTTTATATTTTTATTATTTTATTGTTTCCCTTCTACGTGACTTTACCGAAAGAACCAAGAATAGGAGAGGGCCTCTTGAGAGCTCCTTCAAGTGGAGGCCCTTCTGTAAGCAGTTGCCTGCAAAAAGCTGTTGCAGGGCTGTGTCTTTACCTGCATGTGAGCAATTGTACCATACCTATAAACTATTAAACATTTTTGTTTTACCAGGTAAGGACCATGAAGCTATATCGCTCTTTTTCAGAAGTGACCTGGCAAATAAATACCTCAACGAAGTGGCTTATCAAATACTCTAAATACATGTTTCTAAATGTGGAGGGATAACCCACAGGACTAGAGAAAAAAACCCATGCGATCACGGAGAGAATATGCAAACTCAAAATATACAGGCATCAGGGTTGGGATTGAACCCACGACCTCCAGTGTATCAGGCGAGGTAGTTAACTTTTCTCCATTGTGGCCCCCCATATCAACATTTCAGTGAAGACCATGGAATCTGATACGTACACATTTTAGCGTAGTTATCATGCTGCGATTAAAGAGTTTAAATGTGCTTGTACAGCAGATTTAAATGTTGCATAAGAGATCCTGCGTCTGTGATATCATCACTGCTTTATATTTGCAACGCCATTACTGTGTATATAGTTATGCCTGGTTTATTGTTCAAGTGCATTAATGCTATAATTCAAGGAATGAAGCAACACCACCTCGCATTCAATCTCTTCCCACCGTCCTCTGTATCGTTTCTTGATAAATCAGACTTATATAATTCATGCATGTATTATTTATTAATATTTAGTGACTTGTTTACCATTTGCTATATTTTGCACTCCTATCGTTGTGTTTTTGTGTATTGTTTGCTGTTGTGGCTCGCTGACCCACCCATACCGGACATCTGTCACAAAGAGCTTCATAGCTCATCGGCTTCCTCCTCCAGACTAAATAAAGATGATTCTGATTCTCAGTGGACTGCTGGGACGGACCGGATGGAGAGCCCATTGTCTACCATGGCCACACGCTCACGTCAAAAATCCTCTTCCGCGATGTCATCGAGATCATCAACAAGTATGCCTTCGTCAAGTCACAGTGAGTACTGCCAGGGTCGTCCATGGTGTTGGGGGGGGCGTGGCCCGGGGAAAATCACACCATGTGACCCCTCACTCCCTGACACCTTCAAACTAAATCGGAAGTGGAAAAAAAAAGAATAGGTTTTACCCTTTCCGGAAATTAAAACAGGTGTTAAGATGTTCAAACAACAAATAGATAACTTTTTGTAATGAATCAAATCTGTATGGCATAATCTCACCAGTGTCAGTACAAAAACAATGCACGTATCAGAGCATTTATAGCTTGTGGGGAGCAGCTATATCATGGGATACCTTTGAGACTGGAAAAAAAAAGTCCCATGATGAACCCGAAGTATTACATCTGACGCCGTGATGGCGAAGTGCGCGGCCCCCAAAAGCGCACGGCCCCCCAAAGCGCGGGGCCCGGGACAGTCGCCCCGTTGAGTACGGCAGACGTTTACTCGCGCCTCCGGGTTTTCCTGAGCGGTAGTGGATATTTGGCGAGGCTGTACTTGCGCCTTATATAACAACGCTGAGTGTTTTTGTCTGTTTTGTCACATGAACCGTATCCTCCGGAAAGTATGACGCACACCCCAAAACGTTAAGGGTCGTTTTGAAGAAATGTCTGTTTTATAACTGGGAGAATATAGTATTGCTACGGAGAGCCGTCGGAAGGTGATATTATGAATGCGCTGCTTTAAAAATCGAGAGATGTCTTCTGGAAGATTCTTCTGAGTGGCTGGTGGTGTCTTCTCTCCTGCGGATGGTAATACGTTGCTGTGGAGAACCATTATCCTGATGATGACTGAACATCTCGGATACAAACACATCTTCCAGAAGACCAATGTATCCTCCGGATCACAAAACGCAACCCGCGACTTCACGCTGAACAAAATAGCGTCGCAATCCAGTGGATCTCGTACACTTTTCTTCATGCACATCGCTCGAGTACGCGTGTGATGGTTTTCGCACACGCCGCGTAGCTCTAGATAACGCTGATGTACGCATATGTCATCGGAGCAGAGATGGGAGAAGAAAATATAAAGTAACTTCATCGGTACCGGGGCTCCTGCGAGGCCATGCGAGAGGGGCGTGTGGCACAGTTTGGCGTCAGCGATCGTGGTGTGCGGTCGGGTCGCCATGGTGGCTAGGAGATGTTAACTACCTTGCCTGGTATGCAGGAGGTCGTGGGTTCAATCCCTACCCCACACCTGTCAACCCCTCATCGGTGCTTACCTTATCACAGACCAATTTTAGACCTTATCGGTCACCCCGTGCCCGTATAAATTCGGGTCCCTTCGAAAGATGAAGGCACCGCACCCCATCCTGCGTACTGCCCTTGAGCAGAGGTCGGGCTCTCCCACTCTTCCAAATGTCTGACTGTCGGCGTCGCTCGTTTCACCTTCTTCGCCGCAGGAGGTGACGCTGCCATTGTCGCCCGTGCTGTGGCGTGGCTTGTGTTTTGGAAGACCGGAGGTGCAGCTTGTGTGCACGATCTGTACCCAGAGCGTTGTAATTTCGGATAAAAATTCGTCGGCTGCTACGGGAATCGAGACTCTCCAGAGTAAAAAAGAAAAAAGCTGTCCCACGACTTTTTGTTATTTGGCCGTATGAGTCTTTTTTTTTGCCCGTATTGAAACGGCTGTACGCCACATGGACCTGAAAACTCAATTTCCCTCTACAAGAATACGGGTAAACAGTATGGGCTGACAGCTATGCAACCCTGATGCCTGTATATTTGGAGTTTGCATGTTACCCTCATGGTCGCGTTGATTTTAATCTGGATTCTCGGGTTTTTTTCCTCCACATTTGGAATAAACAACGCGTTTCGAGTATTAGGCTGCTATACATTGACACATGAAAAGCCACTTTGTGGCCAGGTCGCTTCTGAAAAAGAGCTTTACAGCTCAGTGGGCTTGACCTGCTAAAATACAAATAGCTTCGTGTAGTGTCACTTCGGTGAGTAGTTATGTCTTTAAAAAAACAACGGCGCTATGCCTCTCCAAACAGACTTGACGCCGAAGCGCTTGCTCGTTTCCGAGATGCAGCGGTGAACGGGGACACCCGCACCCTGCAACGGGACACCCGCACCCTGCAACGGGACACCCGCACCCTGCAACGGGACACCCGCACCCTGCAACGGGACACCCGCACCCTGCAACGGGACACCGGCACCCTGCAACTCGCGTCCGGACGTCTCTCGGAAAGGGGAGAGAGGCCTTGAACCGCGACGCCGCCCCTTCAAACCTTGGCACGTTGTCGCTCCGCAGGTTCCCGGTGATCCTGTCCATAGAGAACCACTGCAGCGTGCCGCAGCAGAAGAAGATGGCCGAGTGCATGCGCGAGATCCTGGCCGACAAGCTCGACCTGTCGCGCGTGGCGGACGGTGACCCCAGCCGGCTGCCTTCTCCACAGAGCCTCGTGGGGAAAATCCTCGTCAAGGTGCCCGCCCCACACCCCACACCCCAACACACACGCACGCACGCACATCTCTTTTTTTCTTTTGCAAGTCTTAAACGAATGCTTTTTTTTAATCATTCGAAGGGGCGCAGCCACTTTGTTCCCCACCGTTTTGGGCTGGTGAGGCCGCAGTCTATGTTTGTGAGTTGCAGTAAGCTGTGGTTTTTGTTTTTGGTTGTTCCCGGTTTTCATTATTATTAAAAAGTTCCATTGATACCAGACCATCCTCAGTATGATCATGTTTGACTGCACAAGTTAGTAAGGTGTCGAGTAAGGAAATAGACGACACCGCATTCTCCCGATAATGACGCACTTTCGCTCGCACATCCCTCTCTGTATTTAGCGAGTTATATCAATCAAGTCTGCTAATCCAGTAGGTGTGTGTGTGTGGGATTTGTATGACTTTATTGACGCCCGGAAAAAAAGTTTGGGGTGCATCTTGTACTCCGGAACGTCTTTTCAGCTGTAGAATAGGTAATTTGTGCGTTTTATTCAAAGCTATTGTCATTGTTTTCGTAATATTATTTCCATGATATGTTTTTTAGCGAGTTATGTGGTTAACTTGCTTGCCACGGGAGGCGGTCGACTTCCCGGTTGTGGTGGCTTCAAATTTCACCTCTTCCCACAGTGCTTTGGGCACGAGAAATATATGACATGTGCTAAACATACATGGAATTCAATGCGACATTCTAAGCACTACAATCGTCGTTTTGTTGTTTACCCACATTCCCTTAGTTTTTCATTTTTCATTTATTTAACTCCGAGCACCGCTTTTTTATTGTTGTTTCATTATTCACCTGCAAGCTCAGGTCTAAAGCTGGACCATAATGTTCCAATTTGGCCATCGTTTGAGTGACTGCACCGTTGCACACAAGTGGCTCGTTTAACTTGGCGCTCTGCTCAGTTCATTGCTTCTTTCTCTCTCTCTCTCTCGTCTCTGCCCAACTAAATAAGAAGAGAATATGTAAAGGGCAAAGCGAGGCTCTTTTCGTCTAGACGCTGGGCTGGGTAAGTTTGCCTGCCCGCTTGAAAGTGCGCTTGCCAATGATGTGGACGATTTCAAAGGGTTAGGCGGTTCCAATGTTCACCGTGCGCTTCGTTTGGCATTCACTTGGTGCCAAAGTAAAACAAAGAGTACGGTAATCCCTCGTTAATCACAAACTTGCTCTCCGCGATTTAAATCGCTATCCGCCAATCGCATCGGGAACTCTACACGGCCACTGCATCGAGAGGGACAGAAGGGAAGCCATGTGATAAAGTGATGATAGAGAAGGTGATGAGCTAAAGCGATTAAAATGTTATAGTAATAGGTTTTTACCCTTTTAACAGGCACAAAAACTGACACCTTTATTCAAGGCGTCATGTTCGCAATAACCACAACACAAGCGGTCAAAATGCAAACAAAAGAGACAACTCTGATAATGATATGCACTGTCCTTGAATTTGATTGGTCCACACCCGAGACGGCTTTTCTTAGAGCCTAGTCTCCACTGGTGTTGGACCAGAAGACGCCAAAAGGCGTACAACTCAAAAACAGCGCACTATCAGAGTATTGAGGGCTCGGGGTGAGCATTTACATTATGAGACCTCCTTTGCCAGTAACAAGATATCTTGTTTTTGAGTTGTACGCCTTATGGTGTCATCTGGTCCAACACCAGTGGAGACTTGGCTCTAAGAAAAGCCGTCTCGGGTGTGGACCAATCAAATTCAAGGACAGTGCATATTATTATCAGAGTTGTCTCTTTTGTTTGCATTTTGGCTGCTTATGTTGTGGTTATTGCAAACATGATGCCTTGAATAAAGGTGTCAGTTTTTGTACCAGTTAAAAGGGTAAAACCTATTACTATATCTTGTTACTGGCAATGGAGGTCTCATAATGATTAAATGTTTTTTTATATATTTAATAGCTTTTTTATGTATTTAAGATCATTTTCAGAGGCCAGTATCATTATCCACAAAATCTACTATTCAGTAGCATCTCCAGAACGTATCCCTTGTGAATAACTAGGGAATACTGTAATAATAATGAACATCCTTGAGCTAGGAAACTGTTGCCAGGTTTCATCATTCAGAAGTTGTTCTGCTTCAGGATTCCGAGCCAATTTCCGTTCTCTTTGTTTCCTCTGAGTGTTTTGCATGTACCATTAAAGTGTAGAAGGTAGGACTCGAAGAAAAGTCACGAATGAAAGGAGAGGGCACTTAAAAAAAAAAACTCCACACAGACTGGTCACAATTCATTTGCTCTCCTGCCAAAACGTGCTGTGCTAATCATACGTTGGTCTTCTTACAGGCCCGAAAGTTGGGCGTCTAATACCACCCGACGATCTCTGCTTGATCCACCAACTCCACTTCCAAAGCCCTGGGTTCAAGCAATAATTATTAAATTATGTTTCCCATCATCGTTCCCCGGAAATAACATGTTGCACCTGCAAACAAGAATGACTCAATACTCATTCTCGACGGCCATCATCATTGCCGCTGTTATATGAAGGCTATCCCAAGCCTCCACCATTTTTCACGATCCTGCAGTTGCAGTGCAATAATAATAATCCACCGAGCACCACCTGTTTAGCGGTGAAAGTTCCACATGTCCATGGTGTGGGTGAGTCAAACCACAAGGCAACCATTGATTGCTTCCCACAGAGTGGCGCTGTTTTTTTTTCTTCATTTTAGCAACCCCTGAGGAATGACTGGCCGCAATTGCGCTCACCAAATTGTGCGAATAATGCGACTATATATATAAAAAAACGACTGATTATAATGAGTACTTTTTTTCATCTAGTCGCATCATTCACGTGAATTTCAGCTCACAACCCTGCACAATCCGATTAATGAGTGTTTATAGACGTGGAAGAAAAACTGGAGCACCTGGAAAAAAAAAATCACTTGCGTGTGAGGGGTTCTTTCGGTAAAGTCACGTTGAAGGGAAACAATAAAATAATAAAATATATAGTAAACAATAGAATTCTCACGACGTTTCGACTGTAACACAAACAGTCATCATCAGGTGTGAAAAAACCAACGGCCAGAAGCATTTGAAAGAAGTGGCGGTTTGTATTTATTTATTTGCAAACGTTGTTTTACTTATTTATTTTTAAACGGTGTTTGTATTTATTTATGAGGCTATCCACATATACAAACACAGAAACAATTTCAACCGAGAAGATGGATTCTGGCTTACCAATCATTGGAAGGATTTGATAAACCATTTCGGGTCTTAATTGATTGTTCACGCTTACGGTGGCTTTCAGACAGCATACATAAAATTGTCGTCTCCCCCCTCCTCTTTTCCGAATATAGATGGACTCGTCCTTCTAAACAAACTGTCAAATCGCTATCCGTGGTGCTAACGTTTAAAAATAAATAAATACAAACCGCCACTTCTTTCAAATGTTTCTTGCCGTTGGTTTTTTCACACCTGATGATGACTGTTTGTGTTACAGTCGAAACGTCGTGAGAATGTTATTGTTTTATATATATTTTATTATTTTATTGTTTCCCTTCAACATGACTTTACCGAAAGAACCAAGAATATGAATCACTGCAGTCACGAAAGCTTTAAATCGGAAGTTGAAAATTAGTCCGCACTTTGCTGCGTCGCATTCTCCTGACACCCCAGGGCGTGGTGCCTCGATGCCGATGGGAAAGGAGTTTTGAAACATTTTCTGCGATCAACCAAACCTCGCCTCCACAGTGCTTGGTTGCCGGCATGGGCCACCACCAGCATTTAATAACGATGATTCCTGCGCTGAGCCTGAATGGGTTTTCAACTGCTATGGTGGGACGGATTAATTTTTTTTGTCATCACTTGCTGAGTACAGATCCAAAGTCTCAAAACTCCACGTGGCAAGCAACGAATAAGCACTTGCTGAAGGTGTTATGCACAGGTTAATTTTTCTTAAATTGACCTAGGTTAGAGGAACTTGGCAATAGATGCTGATGGGAGGGAATTCCAAAGTGGAGGAGTGCGTGGAAAGAGGCAGACAGAGGAGTGCGGTGGCTTGCAGTGTGGTGGTTGAGTGCGACGTGGATGAGACGAAACGGTCAGTGTCTCAACATGGGTGGAGGAATCAACGAGTGAACTTGATGGCAACCCTAACCAAGGAGGTGACTGGGGGGGGTGGGGTGCCACGGTGGAGAGATGTTAACTACCTCACCTTGTATACAGGGGGTCGTCAGTTCAATCCCGACCCTGCCCATGGTCGTGTGGATTTTTCTCCGGGTCCTCCAGTTTTCCCCTCCCGCATTTCAAAACACGCGTTTAGAGCATTTGGCCGCTATACATTTCCACGTGATAAGCCACTTCGTTGGGCAATCGTTTGTAGCCAGCTCGCTTCTGAAAAAGAGCTGCATAGTCCAGCGGGCCGTACCTTGGTAACATTAACAAAAAAGTTTAGCTTCATAGACTTAACGCCCGGTGAGCGAGTGACCGGAGCGCATCGGCGAGCGTCGGATCGCCGGTCGGCCTCATCGCTCCACGTCGAATTCTGTCGAGCGCAGTGAGTTAGGAACTTAGCGCTCCGATCCAGGTACAACAGCGGGAACGTCGTGCATCAAGGTATCCGCGGCTCCCCGTGCGCGCGCGCTCGCAGGGCAAGAAGCTGCCGGCGAACATCAGCGACGACGCGGAGGAGGGAGACGTTTCGGACGAGGACAGCGCTGATGAGATCGAGGAGGCGTGCAAGCTCATCAACGGAGACGTATGTCGTGGCGCTATCGCAAGGACACGTCGCCTCCCTGATTGGTTTCATTTTATTCTCTCCTAAGTGTCGTTCTTCTCCTGTCGCTTGCCATTCCGTCCGCCCTGGGCATTTCTGACTCCTGCGCCTGAGTAAAGTGCCAAATATTGTTCACTACACCATTTTCTTTCATTTATAAACACAATAAAGACAAAGATCCCCCTGTATAGCCTTAACAGACTGTTCGGGCAAGAGCTGTTAACGAGCACCTATGAAGGCCGGTGTAGCATACGAGGGGGTGGGTGACCAGCGCCACACTCGACCGCCTTTGTCTCCCCAGTAGCGATGTTTACACACCGCACTGGGTACTCATTTGAGGCTGGGTACTGATTAGAGGCTGAGACGACCTAGAGGAGGCCCAGGACCTGTTCAAATAATCGTCATCGGCGTTTGCCGGAATTGAACTCGGTTCGCCGGATTCGTAGCGCGGCACACTAGCCGCTACACTACCACAGTATGGCATACATGTTTACATCTGGCTGTTATGTACTGAATGTACATAGATAAATGCTCCAATGTATTTTTTTTTGGTATTCAAATCTTCATATTTAACGTTTTACACTGTACTGTGTGTGTGTGTATACAAGCATGTTCGTGTGTACTCGTACGCATTCCTTGTAGACATGCATACACAACACATGTGTTTGTGTGCATGCATATGCATGCTCTCATGTAACACTGCAGTACAAAGTTCGTGGGAGGGGAGGATTGATGCAAGTGGTTCCGGCAACTGAGCTGTGAACTCGGCGACCCGAGTCCGATTTCCAGCCACAGCCACCGCTAGAAGGCGGCGAGTTATCCCAAACAGTCCTGGCCACTCTTCACTTCCTCCTTAACTGGTGAAGTATGGTCAAATGAGCCTAACGATTGAATAGTTGCGCGGGGGGCTTCATCCAACGGTGAGCTGACAAAGGGAGGGGGAAAGTGATTGATGTCTTTTACCATGAAGCAGCGTGGAGCATCTTCCAGTGTACAATGTCATTATCAACTGCACACTTCTTGCAACGTGCATTCCGAATATACGGCATGTGTTTGATATAGAAGTTGAGATAACATCTCTCGTTGGAAGTTCTAGGATTTTTTTTTTACAGCGGGACGCTTTTGTCACAATGCCATGGACGTCGGCCGCATCTCGTGCAAAATTCTGTCGTGACAGATAAACATCTTCAGGGCTTTAGGATGGGACTACATAGATCACGCAGAGGCTGGCCCCCATCGCTATCACCCAACAACAACAACAAAACGTCGATTTGCTTCTCACCCCACGCGTCCGGCATTGCCCCGCCTAATTGCGGCGCGCGACTGACGCCGCGGATTTGCAATTGGGAACGCACGCGGCGATGCCTCGGTGGATAACGGCGAGTCACGGGTGGGTGTGTGGGTGGGTGGGTGGGTTGGTGGGTGGGTGGGTGGGTGTGTGAGTGGGTGGGTTGGTGGGTGGGTGGGTTGGTGGGTGGGTTGGTGGGTGGGTGGGTGGGTGTGTGGGTGGGTGGGTTGGTGGGTGGGTTGGCGGGTGGGTGGGTTGGTGGGTTGGTGGGTGCGTTGGTGGGTTGGTGGGTGCGTTGGTGGGTGCGTTGGTGGGTTGGTGGGTTAGTGGGTGGGTTGGTGGGTTGGTGGGTGCGTTGGTGGGTTGGTGGGTGGGTTGGTGGGTTGGTTGGTGGGTGGGTGGTTGGGTTGGTGGGTGGGTGGGTGTGTGGGTGGGTAGGTTGGTGGGTTGGTTGGTGGGTGGGTGGGTGTGTGAGTGGGTGGGTGGGTGGGTTGGTGGGTGCGTTGGTGGGTTGGTGGGTTGGTGGGTGGGTTGGTGGGTGGGTGGGTTGGTGGGTTGGTTGGTGGGTTGGTGGGTTGGTTGGTTTGGTGGGTGGGTAGTGGCGGCATGTGGCAGTTTCATCAAACAAAAAAGCATCATCGAATGATCTCCGCGAACATTATTTCACACGGAGAATTTGGCACCGATCTGGCATTGTGAAGCAGCAAACATTGCCTCGTGCTGCCAAATAAGTTTGTCGGTAAACAATAGTAAATTGAATGTTGAATTTTAGCAGTTACATTCTGGCGAAACATTGGAATGTGTTTGTATGTTTCTCTTCCTCCTATTGCCTCGGCCAAATTGTATTTAAGTAAATTTCCTTTAACTGTTGAGTAATAGTCAACGTCATTTAAACCGTCTGGCAGCTTTCACTTCTGTTTAATAAAATAAGCGCGGGCGCAGTGGGCTGCTACTTTAGAATGTCGACCCAAATTTAGGAGGGATCTTTGTCTAATTAAATGCGCCTTCTGAAAATAACCGAAGCAGACACATGCGATGCACATTCTGTTGCTCGTGATTGTAATGCAATTTACCTTTTTTTTTACTTTCACATTTGATTAGTTATATTCTTTTACAGTTATTTCAGCGTGATTATCGTGCGATAAACAATTAAGTTGTGGCTTTATGCTTGGATTTTGATGGGTGTATTAATTAAATCAATAAACGGAATCTTTTTTTTTTAAGACAAACAAAAGCTATCGTTCAAACCAATGGCACGCATTCGGTTAAATTGATCGTTGGAATTAATATGCATATTCTCAGGAATGTTTTTAAATATCTGGAATATTACCATGACCATATTTGTGAATATTATTTCAGCCGAATAACAGATTGTGGTGGCACATTGATTCATGCACTGCGCTATGAACCCTGTGGCCTGTGTTCGAATCCCGGCCAAGGCTGGCATCAGTGGTGAGAGGTGTCTGAACGAGCCCCCCTCCCATACCACCTGACCCTGACCAACCTACAATGACCAGAGTGGTTGAGTATGGTCAAACAACCCTCATGACTAACATGGTTTTGGGGGACCATCAGCCGGCAGTGGATGGAAAAAGGCCTAATATAATGATCATTCTAAAAAAAAACATACGTGCGTATATGAACATCTTTTATAAACAAAGTATCTAAAAATATGTCATCCCGGCCTTCGTAGCTGCTAGCTAACTGCACTTGCCCCAAAAGTCTGCTAAGGCTATACGGGGGATTTTTTGTCTTTGTTTTGCTTATCCTGTGTGTCCCTCTATCCTTCTACCTGTCCATGCAGTCATCTCTTCACGATGCATACACAGTGGGTCTCGCTGTCATTGTCACAGTATCTCCCACTCACCGGCACACACAGTACTCGCCTAAATCACCGTGGCACTGTGAAGTACAGGCAACGTTTGACTGCATTCAAACTAAAGCTTTCAAATTAACCCGTGCGTTATTTTTAAATCCAATTAGCTCTAATGAGCAATTAGCTATTGACCAGCTCGCATGCCGATGCCACTGCAATCATTCCAAATCTCCCCCCACCCCCCCCCCCCCCCCCCCCCACTGTCTAATGATGTGGGAGCACATTTTCACAGCGTGTTTCCTGCTGTAGGTAATAGTAAACAAAGCGCTGTTGTGTTCAGAATTAGACCAGAGTGTTACTCCACCGAAGAGCACGCTAAACATGTTAATATCGTCCGCTAATAATAGAGGTTATAGGAATGTAACAGTATAGGTATGTAACGATATATTGATTCATTGAATTCTATTCCAGCTTAATAGTACAACTCATAAGTGTGAGAGTAGCACCTTGAGATGCGGATGCATTTAGACGCTGTATAAATCCAAATTGCATTGCAACGTATTATTTACGAATTGTGCTAAATATTTTGTCAAGTGACGTACCATCGTCATATTTAGGCTAATGGTGTTTAACGAACAGGTGGAAACGAGATGGAAAACTAGAAACAATACAAGCGGTGTGGCCAAGAATAAGCAAAAATAAATCATCCTCGAATCGAATCAGAGCCCCAAATCATGGAAATGCGTCACATTGATTTGTGGAGGGAGAATCACTGGATGCACTGCGATAGAACGCGTTACATAAACTGCTTCTGAACGAAAGCGTTTGTGGTTTCTCATTATGGGAAATGTAAACGTATTTAATAATGTGTGTGACGGCTTAGTGCATTCATCGATTGGTTAGTACTGCATTGTGTATTACCTTTGGGAGGCTTTATCGATGGAGTCTTGCAATATTGTGACGAGCAGGGCCGGGGCTATTTGCTGAAAGATCCGAATGCGACCCCGGTCGTGAATACGCAACACTCGGCATATTACGTGCACTTTGCACCTGCCTCACAATCAATGAACATTCAGGTACAGGTAATGCCTGTGGAATAATGCCTTTGTTTTTCTTACAGGAATTTGTTTTCTGTTTCCCTGCTCACAGTGCCTGCAATAGATCTGGATCTGCCCTGTTGGGTGTGCCGCTGTCACGTCCACACTGGCAATGGTGTACAATTGCATTTCCTAGACGGCGCCGGATGAATCATACCTTCCGAAACTTTCACCTTTCTTTTTCAGAGCTCCTGCGACGATTTGACGTGGGTTGTGCGATAGTCCGCCGCAGAATGAATGGGGATATGCGTCTGATTGTGTGTGGGTCACTCGTTAAAAATGACATGCTTACAAGCCATGGCTTGTGAGAGGTATACTGTCAATTAGAAGGGTCTTTTTGGCATGAATTGTTATGGTAAGTAAATTGTTAAAATTACATTGAATGTCCTTGCAAATTGACAAGATTTGCATTTGCTCTTTATGCTTGGGTAAACCACGGTTGGTTTTGCATACACACATATATAAGTGACATGGCAAAACGTGGTGTTGAAAATGCAACTGACATCTCCGTTCATTGATTTTTTTTTTACATTCTTTCAATAGCCGTCCTGTTCTACCTTATGTGCAAATTACTTGTTGCGTAACAATGCATCGATTAATGTTGTTGCTTATTGCTGTAAATCAGACTGATCTATTTTTCTGTAGATCAAACCGATCGACAGCAACCCATTCAGCCACTAGAGGCTCTGATCCTGGCATCGCTGAAATCCTGGGTTAAAATCCAGGCTATCACTTGTGATTAAACGAGGTTCTCAATTCTTAGCGAGTACATGGTTTCAGCTTGGTCACCAATGTTTGCGCACACATTCACATTAAATTTTATTCTATGCTCAATTTATTGACCTGACGGTCTTGAAATGAACATTATTCTCATAAGCAGAATGGGTTTCGCTTGAAGCGATCTCAGAAGTGGCTCTGATATCGATTTCCGTGCGCCACTCTGCAACAAGATGAATGATTGGACTGCTTTGTAAGAAATCTGATTGGAGCCTTTGTCTCGTGACGTAATGCTAAGAGCACAATCAGGGTAGCTTTTGGGGAACATGGCAACATTTTTTTTAGTAATGCCCTCTCCAATTGCACTCAGTTATTGTGGTGTTGTTTAATATGTATCGCTTGTTTTGTATTTGAATAGGAAATGGGAATATTTTGCTGCAATGTTACGATGTGTTGTGTATTTAATTTAGCGTGTATTTTATGAACAGCAATATTAAAATTGCAATTGTATAGCGAATATCTATACATTTAAAGTGTGTTGTACGAATCTGACGTGTGGTTTCGTGTTATATCCCGCACATTTTATTTTGCATGTTCAACCCAACCCTTAAAAAAACATTCCCAATGATTTAAGACGGTTTATGTTTTCCATATAAATTAGCCATTGCACCCTGAGGAGGTTATGCCTTCTCCTTTGCCTGCTGATACAAAGCATTAATGCTATTAACAAGCATTAATGTCATTTTCCTATGAGATCGTCTGTCTCACATGCTCACCCGGGCCATTGAAAACAGATACAGCAATTGATGCATTTTGCACACACGCAGATTCACTTTGAGGCAGAGACGAATTTGCTCAATTTTCCCAACCCTTAAAAGCACTTGGCAAATGTGTATAAACTAAAAGCGTTGTATCTTACCAGGTAAGGCCCACTGAGCTATCGAGTTCTATTTCAGAAGCGACCTGGCCACAAATGATAGCTCAACAAAGTATCTCATCACGTGGAAATGTATAGCGGCCGAATACTCTAAACACATGTTTCTTAACGTGGGGGGAAACACCGAGAGACCCGGACAAAAAATCCACGTGATCTCGGTGAGAACGTGCAAACTCCAAAGATACATCTTCAGGGTCGAGATGGAACCCATGCCCTCCTGTATACCAGGCGAGGTAGTTAACATCTCGCCACCGTAGCGGCCATATAACCCAACACATGCCTGTTGGGTACTGGTCATAACTGTTTGTGAGAATTGCCATCTTATGATGATGCAATGCTTATTGAATTGGGGATATAGCCTCACTTAGATGCCATCCTCTGTGGTTGGTTATGGCTATGAATTTCCCTTAGCAAACTATTAAAATCCGCGGCACCTGGATGTGAAAGCTGATCCTTGGCAATATGTCATTCGTAGGGCTTTTAAAATGAACAAACTGAAATTCCCAGTGCGCATTTATTTTTACCATTGCCCCAACCCCCTTCAGAATGAAATGAAAGGCTATGGTGGCTTCAACAAAATATAGATAACATGAATGAATGTTATTCTGAAGTCCAGCCTGGGGGACCTTCATCTCGCAGACAAAGGACTAAATTATTAAAACGGTAAAGGTACAGCCCTGCAAGTACTTGCTCATGCTACTGCTGGTGGAAGGGCCTCCACTCGAAGCAGACCTCGAGGACCCCTTTGGAGGGTATTATTAGTATTATTATTATTATTTTAAAATGATACAATCTAAAATGTATTTAAGTAATGACATAATAGAGTTTGTTTTGGGTTAGATCGCATAAATATAAATGCGTTGTTAAATCCACCACCCAATACGGCCAATTAGTGAGGTTTTTCACAAAAAACTAAATATAGTTCCGAGTTCAGCACACCGGTGTATAGGAGAGTAAACCCACATCATTTACAATTCGAGTACAACGTTTTGCCGGTAATTACAACCAGCTTCATCAGGCGACAGCCAGAATTGTGGGTAAATGCTCTTCTTTCGGTCTTAAATAGGTAATAACATGTGTGCGTCATATGCAACTGGGAAAAAGACAGGTAGAGCGCGTTGCCTTTTTAAATCTGCCACTAATGCACATGAAGAGCATAAAACTACGCAACGATATAGATTGTGCATTTTTTTTACTAAACTTATTCGCGTTGGGCCTGCGAGCAGCAATTAGCGTGAACATTTACACAAGAAGGCCCTACGGTCCTGCTGAGGTGCATCGGCGCACTTTCCGCCTCGCCCAAAGGCTGGTCACTGGGTAACACAAGGCAGTCACTTTAAACAGCCAATTCAGTAAGTCCCGGCATGCTTTGCACGTCAAGATTGTAGCACCATTTCGCGTGCGTTTTCTGTACACACTCTATACTAGTGACGGACAGACACGGCACCTCCTTCCCCGACTTGTTAGGGCGAGGCTGCGGCTGCCCGCTGCACACGCCGGGCAGAGCTAATGTGCGGAGGCACTTTCCAGCCTAATGATTTATTCCTGCAATGTGTGAGATGCATCATTCTGACAACGGAGCACTTGCCATGCATTACCATAAACAAGCCAAAGTTTCCCCCCCCCCCCCCCCCCCAAGTGGAATGTTAAGGCTGGACACCGGTACATAATCCCCCGCATGCACCACCGGTTGACCCGTGTAACTGAATGACAAACAGTTTCAAAATTATTCCATCAATCCCATTGAAATTTTTAAAAACGCCTGACGGTGTTTGCCACGTTTTATTTGTTGCACTCGTTTACATTTTATATATATACATACATATTTCACTCACCCTTAAATCTTCACACAACACCGTCTGCTGCGTGAGATGAAATCATGCTCAGATTCTTTCTCTGTAGTTCTGACCTCGCTTTATCGTCGAAGCTAAAGTTGCGGGTTGCTATTTGGCTAAATTTTACTAACGTAGTTTTTTTCTTAACCTTTTGCCCAAACGTACGCATCTTTGAAGGTTAAGGTACAGTATGGCTCACATTTTTTTAAACATTTGAGAATTTGACTTTTTTTTCTTCTGGGTGGCTGTGATGTTGGGACAATGTATTGTTTTCTCTTTGTACTTCCTTTCAACAATAGTCTTGTCGTTTTAAGTTCTTATGCAAATACACACATATTGATCTTGTTCTTGCATTTGTTTTGCTTGTTTCCCGAATATGAGTTTGATCCAAATATAAGTTTATGTTGCAAAGTTAGTTTGCCTTACATTGTTGTTTGGAATGTAATGTTGATATAAAGCAAATCACATGTACTTACAAAACAAATATTAAGTCCTTTCCACCCATTCTTTGCCCCGTTTGAATTCACAGGTTTTGTAATCTAGAACCATCCACACAGTAAATTATTAAAAGTACGATTCAGCACAACTTGTGTTTAGTGACCACAAATCGTTCTTTTTTATGTTGTTGCCAAAATCGATAAACCCAGTTAGAATTAATCCTGCAGGACATATCTAAGTTGTGAACTCATGACAATGGCATAGCAGGGCCGTGTTAACCAGAGTTTGAACTCGCCTGTCCCCTCCACCTACAGGTCGAACTGAGTTTCATGGACTGGTCACATCAGGCATTGTCAATACGGCTAATTGAATGATAAATGTGTGCATGTAACCTGCAGTAATGTTATTGGCCTCCGTCTAACCTCATGAATTCCACAACTGTTGCCCAAGACGTTTGGATGAATGGAGAGGACTGCCATTATTGTCGAATGACCATTTAATTTGCTGAAAAAATCCCTTTTGCAGATTTGTTTTAAATGGCAGCTGGCTCAAAAAAAAAACCCAAGGGGAATTTAAACAAAAACAACAAAAAACTATTTTGTATTTGGTGACATTTTTTTACTTAATGGAACCATATGTCGCAATTCTTGTAGCTGCACTTCCGTCAACTCTCATAACCATTGAGGTAATTTGGCAGATGGATAGCCTGGCGGTTAGTGCCCTTGTCACTGCATGGGGTCGATTGTTCAATTTCGTCTGCATTACAACTAATTCGTCAGGACACCAGCATGGAACACCGTGCACTTAACAGTGGACAGCACCACACACCCTGTGACATTTCAGAGTCCAGCTCATGCCCCATGTTGCAAACTCTGAATATTATAGACAACTAAACTGAACAAAGAATTAATTTTGTTTATTTCATTTCTTTAAAAAAAAATATCAGACGGTGCACTCGATGGAGCTCGTTACGAGTGGAGGTCCTGATAGGTAGAAATTCCACATTTATATGGCAGGAGGAGGTCATTCACATAGCACAATAACTATTGACGTTTGCATTAATCTGTTTTATACTCTTTTTGGATCTGTACAAGATACAACACATCCCAACGCATTGCTACCTAATTTGTAACTAAAGAGACGATTTCATGAAGTTTAGACATAATATAACACACACATAAATGATACTGGTGATGAAAATTATATCTTTAGAATTCCAAATTTATTTATTTTGTATTATAAATAAATTACCGCTTTTATTTTGACCGATTCCCTTTGGGGTTTTTTTTTTTACAAATGAAATATTGCAAAAAAAATTGACCTGAAATACGATTCTCAAATGGGCAGGCACATATCGTTATTTTTGCCATCAATGAAAATGTATGAGAAGTGATTGTTATCCGGTTTCCTTGTGTCCGCGTGGCCATCCATTCATATTCTCGTACTGCACTATTGTGGTGACCACAGCGAATTGAGAAAGGGCGCAGAGAAACGCCAGCAATGAAATAACCACGTGGACAAATGTACCGGGTTAAATTTTAGATTACATTGAAAGTCCAACAATGGATGTACTGCCATACAATCGTAATGAATGTGTTTTTGATTGCCTGCCATTGACGTCCTGTATTTGGCTGTCGCTTAGCAAAGTGAGAGCCACCAAGGGCTGAACAAAACAACCCCATCCGCAAAAAAAGCGGCACGCGCAAAACAGGATTCTTACCCCTTCAATCGGGTGCCACGGTGGCGAGATGTTAACTAGCTCCCCTCGTATACAGGAGGTCGTGGGTTCGATTCCAACCCTGACGCCTGCTGTATATTTGGAGTTTGCATGTTCTCTCTCCCCGTGGTCACGTGGATTTTTCTCCGTGTATTCTGGTTTTTTCCCTCTGCATTTAGAAACATGCGTTTAGAATATTTGGCTGCTATAAATTTCCACATGATACGCCACTTCGTTGAGCTATAAGTTGTGGCCAGGTCACTTCTGAAAAAGAGCTTCATGGCTCAGTGGGCCTTACCTGGTAAAATAAAAAGTAGCTTTATAGTTTTTGACATTATCGTTATATTTCTGCCACAGCCAGATAGATTTCAACACGGTTTGCTGATAGCCTATTAGCAAGCCTACAAATTCAACTAACCTGTCAGAATCAGAATCTTTATTTATACTGGAGTAATCCGACGAGCTATAAATCTCTTTGTCACAAATGTCCAGTAGCTTGTTCCGCTGATACGATTGGCGGGTGAATTGACGAAGTGTGATCATTGGCAGGTTCATAAAAAAATGTACGGTCAATCAGACACGGTGAGAGGTCGCTAATTCGGTCTACCGACACGGGCATTTGAAAAAAATGTACAAGTTTATTACATCCACCCTGCATCTGTCAGCCCAACAGTATAAAAGGCCTCGTTGCGTGTGCGTGATAAAGTGTGGGTACTCCCACTTCTTCGAAGACATTTGGCCGGCGTTTGAAGAGTAGGCCACAATACCCTCTCGAGGAGCTCTCCATAGCTCCCTCTAGCGGAGGGCCCTTCCGCCAGCAGTGGCGTGAGCAAGAAATTGCAGGGCTGCGCCTTTACCCCCTTTTACTGTTAACGCAAGGAACCGTGCAGCTGTGCCGCCCGAGTGCGCTGGAAAGTGGCCGCTGCGAACCCATTTCTGTGCCGCCCTTGCCCCGTGCAGAACAGCAGCCCCCACCGCAAGCTGGTGGAGTCGTTCGCCAAGAGGCGCCTCGAGTTCATGAAGAAGGAGTCGAAGCTGAGGAGCCACGAGGAGGAGGTTGAGGAATTCACCATCGGAGCCCTGCCACGTGCCACCAAGCCCGCCATCTGCCTCCAGCAAGAGCAGGTGGTTCACTTTTGCGACGGTTAGCACAGCGTTGAAACAATGGTATTTGTTTCTTTAAACCGCCCCCCCCCCCCCAAAGATAAAGACATTGATCCCCCGTATAGCCTTTGCAGACTGTTGGGGCAAGTGCTGTTAGCGAGCACCTATGAAGGCCGGGCACTGTGACACACGAGGGGGTGGGTGGTCAGCGCCACGCCCGACCAGCTTTGTCTCCCCAGTGGCGATGTTTACACACTGCACTAGGTACTATTTTGAGGCTGAGTCGACCTAGGGGAGGTCTAGAACCGGTTCAGATAATCGTCACTGGTGTTGGCCGTGAGCGGGAATCGAACTCCGTAACCCCGGGTTGGTAGGGCAACGTGCTAACCGCGACACCACCGCTCCCCCCAGCCGTAGCTCTGTCCCCCAGCTGTATGTGTGGGCTCACCACAGTAATCCCACCTCTTCAAAGATATCTGGGCCAGTGGGAAGAAATAATAGACCAGATTCCTCCTAGAGGGCCTTTCTAAGAGCTGTCTCGAGTGGAGGTACCTCTGCCAGCGGTGGAACGAGCAAGGAATTGCGGGGCTGCACATTTACCCCTTACCTGAATAAACTCCAAGAGCGTATTTGTCCGTGCTAAAATACGCATTTAGGCAGTGCTTGACGACCTCTGTGACCTTAAACTAGGAGTGAAAATTCCTAATTTTACTAACACAGGCACCTTCGCTCGTTTTCCTCGATGTGGCGGTGGCTCTGTGATCTTACATTGACATGCTAATCTCTTATAATAATAATACTACGGGTTTTCCCATTTTTTCTGGCAACAAAACTGAAATCTTTTTACAAAGATTCATGTCTGCATTAACCACAATACCTGCAGTCTTTGAGCTGTACGCCTTTTGGCGTCATCTGGTCGTGCACCAATTGGGTCGAGGCTCAAAAGAAAGCCGTCTCTTGGTGTGGACCAATCAGTTTCAAGGACAATGCCAATATATTATCATAGTATGTATTTTTTTGCATTTTGACTGCAGGTATTGTGGTTAATGCAGACATGAATCCTTGTAAAAAAAAGGTTTCAGTTTTGTTGCCAAAAAAAAGGGGGGAAAACCCCTATTATTACATTTTGGTACTGGCAAAGGAGGTCTAATGATGCTAATCTCTCACAATACAATCGCTACCTCCGCAGCTTCGTCGTTATCGCTAGCCCCGCCCACTCCGCCTATGACCCTTGGGCTACGCCCATCTCAAACCTTTATAACGTCATGCCTCAGCAGCTCTCTCGCTATTTTTTCACCTGATGACGAGTGCTTGTGATGCGATCGAAACGTCGTGATATTTAAAATATATATATATATTTACGTGGCTTTACCGAAAGACCCAAAGAATATGAATTCCTGCAGTCACGAAAGCTATAAGTCAAGATTTGAAAATCCACTGACTATTTTATGTTTAAGGAGGTAATAGCCCCGTGAATGTAAAGCACATTTATATTTTGCTTACAGTGGTGGTCTTAACAAATATTTAACAACATTTGCATTGGGTAAAGTTGTCCAAGCAAAGAAAAATGAGGCATAAAGCTGCTGGAAATTGAGTAAAAAAAGGTTTCCTCAAGAAAGGTTTTCATATCCACTCTCTATATAATTTTTAAATATATGCAGCCTCTAGAGCAGTGGTTCTTAACCTTGTTGGAGGTACCGAACCCCACCAGTTTCATATGCGCATTCACCGAACCCCTCTTTAGTGAAAAATAAAATGTGATTTTTTTCAAATTCAAGACATAGATATGTTTTTTACTGGTACACAAAATGAGCCGTGCATGAACATTACCTTGTTCAAAGAATAAAACCAACACAATGCATAAACTCACAACAAATTACATACCTGGAAATCAATGTGACTTCTGCTGTTGCCTTTGAGAGATCAGTTCAGATATGCGTGGCTTCACCTTGGCAAGTGCCACTCTCATGTCATTTTCACAGCAAAGTCTGTTCCTTTTCTTCGTTTTTATGTCCAGCATCCTCGAAAAGGATTGCTCACAAAGATATGTTGTAACAAATGGTATAAAAAAAATCCAGGGCTTTCTTAGCAATAATTGGATACTTGTTCATTTGTCGACACCAAAACGTTGAGAGCGTTGTTGTTCTGAAGAGTTGCTGTTGAACCTGGCTCTGCTGAATTTCAATGATTTCGTCGAGGAATTCATCATTGACATCTGCTGTTTCAACAGCAAACGTGAACGGCTGTCTCACCCATGCTGGATATGACTCTCTTGTAGGGAAATATCCGTCGAGAGACTTTGCAAGCTCATCTAAGTGCGTGGCAATTGTTTGCTTCAGTTCCGTGGATACAGAAATATCTCCGATTCCAGACACATCTTCGATCTTACTTGCACAGTCGTCCAGAAGCGGGAAGTTTGCGAAGTTATTGTTCTCTGTTCGTCGTTTCCATAACGGTAGCTTTTTTTGAAAAGCCTTCAGGTGTTCTTCCGCTTCCATGATATTGACTCCACCACCCTGCATCTGCTGATTGAGATGATTGAGAGCTGCGAATATATCAGCCATGTACGCTAAAATGAGAATGAACTCAGGATTTTTGAAGCAATCTGCATGGCAGTGTTGGTGCTCTTGCAAAAACAGGGCTAATTCCACACGCATGGCAAAAACACGATTCAGCACCTGTCCCCGGGATAACCACCGAATATTAGAATGGAGCAGAAGTACCTCAAATTCAGAGCCCATTTCTTTACACAGCTCACTGAAGATGCGGTGCCTCAGAGCACTTTTTCGCACATAGTTCACACATTCCACCACAGTTTTTAATACTTCTGTCATTTTTGGAGGTAAGGTTTTTGTTGCCAACGCATGCCTGTGCAGAATACAATGCGTCACAATGATGTGTGGTGCATCGGCCTTTACTAGCGCACCAAAACCAGACTTTCTTCCCAGCATGACTGGAGCTCCGTCCGTACAAACTGCAGAAACCATATCCCATGAAAGATTGTTGTCTCTGAAGAAGTCATCCACAAGCTTCTTCACATCGGCTGCCTTCGTTGTTGTTGTAAGAGGCTTACAAAATAAAAACTCTTCTTTTATCATGTCGTCTTTCACATAGCGTACAAAAACAGCAAGCTGGCTTAGATCAGAAACGTCTGTGGTTTCGTCGAGTTGAAGGCTGAATTTTGCCGGGCTTGAAATCAGATCCGCGACTACTTGAGCCAAGATGTCTTTACTCATGTCTTCTATTCTGTCACTGACGGTGTCATTTGAAAGGGGAATTTGGGATAATTTACCTTCGGCCGCTGTTCCGAGTATCAGATTCGCCATCTTTAATGCAGCTGGTTTCACAAGTGTTTCACCAATGGTGTGTGGCTTGCCCTGCTTTGCGATCAGGTAAGCAACTTCGTACGATGCTGTCAGGATCGGTTTGTTAACAGGTACAAATCCAAGAGCAGGCAGAGTGGCCCTTTCATCGAATCTGGCTCTCTTCACCCTGAATTCAGCAAGTGTTGTGTTCTTGTATTCCCCGTCTCCATGCAGCTTCAAGAAGTGTTCCTTTAGTTTTGCCGGTGCAAGACTAGAGTTGCTCAACTTGGCGTTGCAAATCATGCAGATAGGATGCTCACTCCCATCACGTTCCGTGATACATGAGAATCCATGTTGTACATATTCGTCCGACCACTTTCTTCTTTTGCCCGACATAGTTAGTATGGATAAAATATTAAAGAAATCACACGACGTACGACAACAACAGTCACACGTTGACTACTGAGTACGCACTAAATTCCCCACAGCGCTGATTGGCCAAGCAGTGTAGCATGATCATCTGCAGCCAGTGATGGCCAAGCGGGCCGTGTGTGTCATCACAAATTTACACAATAATTCAAGTGTGTCCGGACCTCCGTGGCGGGGGCTCTGCCGAACCCCTGAGATCGACTCACCGAACCCCTGGGGTTCGATCGAACCCAGGTTAAGAACCACTGCTCTAGAGAATCGAGTAAAAATTGTCACTCGTGACAAAGTATCAACCGTTTGTCTACATTCAGCAATCTACCCAGCCCCTAACTGCTGCAAGTTTGGGACATTTCAATAAAACTTGCAGCCTTTCCGTGACATAAAAATATGATGAAGTGACATTTTATTGATCTATTAGTTTACTTTGTTTATTTTAAAAAAATCATTACATCTCCTGGCGATAGATGTATTTTTTCAACGTTGGCAAGCTAACGAATGTACTATAGTTATTGCCTGAATATGTCTGTTGACTTTATAAAGCTGCATCGTAAAGATAAAGATACGATGCAGCTTTACACAGCTTAAAGGTCGTGATCTGAACGTGGCTCTTTCACTCCAGCGCTGTCCTACCAGACAGTCTCGTCCCTTCAACTGATGAAGGCCGCTTGTGTTGTGGCCGAAACGTCGTGAGAATATTATTGTGTTATTTTATTTTATCAATTTATTATTTTATTCTCATTCTAACGGACTTTACCGAAAGAACCAAAGAAGACGTAAAGATACTCTTACTTTGTTAAACCTGAGATATAAAATACTGTCATCTGATAAAGAAAGTGCCCATATAAAATGAAATTCCATCCAAGCAAAGCCATGTCATGGTACAGGCCTTTTAATCTTTCAAATAATATAATACAAGTACACGATGCATTTTATTATTATTATTATCTGCATAAAGACAATAGCTTTAACCTTGAACTTAGATACTGCACGTACAGTTACAAACGTGGAATGCATATTGTAAAATTAACCATGATCCGTGATGGCATCAACTCAACTGGAAGTGCTGATTGAGAACAGCTGAAACACTGTGCAACAGTGAGAAGCTGCCTTCTTGAGTTGGCGTGCCTGCGTCTGCATTGGCGAGTGAGACACATGGCCCTGTTTAATTTCCCACAGGAATATTCACTGAAATCTAATTTTCTCAAGATCAGCAGGGGGGTACAGCTGGACATGTTTATGCTCATGATAATGGGCCTGCTTCTTTGTGTTAAATGCAAATTTTGGCTCGCCTCTCAGTGGGGATACAGCTGAACTTCGGGGCTAAACTTTACCCATTGGCATAATTGGGGCTTAAGAGTCAAAGATCGAAATAGGTTTTAAGTACAACGTGTGCCCCACGACTTGGTGACCTGGGAGATTTTTTATTTTTATTTCTGGCACACCAGCCATAACACCCAGGATTCAAACATTGCCAGCTCCTGGAGAAGCTAAGCAGGTTTTGTTCTGGCCACTGCTTGTACAGATGATTCACAATTGTGTGCGAGTCGAAATCCCAGTTAGAGGTTGATGCAGCCCATCATCAACTAAAAAAAAATGGCAGCAATTTGTGAGAAAATTTTACCAGTTATGTTTTTCGTGACTGCCCTTTATCATAGAAATTTAGAAAAATGTACTTACCAAAGGGCCTCATTTGAACAGAAGGCTTGCCTCTTGCTTGCTTGAGCAGGGAGACACCTTGGCTTTTACCATTAGTTAAGCTCGTTTGATTATTTACATTCTCGCTTCACTGCAGCTGCCGAAGTCGGAGGGAACAGAGGTAACGGAGGAGTTTGCCGTGAGAAAGAGACGCTCCATCATCCGAGCATTTCAAAAGGAAAAGGTAACCTTTGTCTTTAGTAGATAGTGGATTTTTAACCCGCATATTACGCAAACCCAAATCACTGATGCACGCGTATGGAAAATGCATATTTCTTGAACTCTAATAGGATTGCTCGGCAGTGAGTGGCCCTGGATGATGGCAATTTAGAACGCCACGGGAGTCACTGCAATTGGCCTATTCTAGTCAACACGTGATTGGCACTGCTTCGTGTACTGTAACGACTCTAGTCGTTAAGGTTTCATCATCATCATCAGCATCACCGTCGTCATCAGCCATGCTCATTCCAATTCTGGATAAAAGCCTCCCCCCCAAGCCTTTTCCGCCTCCCGGAGAACTCTGATTTAGTAATCCACGAGCGAATCTCATCGCTCCCTCTTGGCAGAGGATGTCTTCTCGGTCGAGTTCCCCTACGTTGGCTGCCAATCCGACGTAAAGTCTTTTCTGCTGACCATCGTCCCTTCTGACGACGTGTTATGCCCCACTACTCTTCTCAGCAAGTGAATATAATTTGTATAACTCTCATACGTTTTCTCTCACGCACGTGTTCTTTTTTTCTGTCCATCAATGTAACTTGTAATCTTGCACAGATCTCTGCTTATTTGTTCAATTTTTGCACGTGTCACAGTCGTTAATTTGCACTTGATTTAATAGTTTCCCATTTAGTTTGTCGCGAGCGACATTGATATGTTGCCTTTGTTAAACTTCACAAAAGCACTCCAAATTCATTTTTGTGTTTAGATCGCTGTCCTTCACCACCCCCCCCCCTGCTGATTAGCACGGTTGACTACGTATGGTGCGAAAGAAGTTCAACATACACACTATACACACACAGGGTGCTTCAAAATAAATGTTAACACTTCGGAGAATTTGCAACAACACCACGGGACATGTGCTGCTGCCTCCGGGCTCTGGAGATCACCTGGAGAAGATTCCAGGCCACGTGCGTTGGCAACGATGGCGAACAAGTGGAGACTCTTTGACTATTTTAAGCTATTAACATCACATTTCTTATCATGTTACAGTGCATTATCCGTTCTTTTTAGTCCCGTGTAAGTGTTCACGTCTTTTTTTAAGCACCCTGTATATATATACATTCCTCAATTAGAGTTTGGATGGGGAGGGGGGGGGTTGCGTGTGCAGGCACTTGCGACTGAGCAGAGACCTTCAACTCGTTGCACTGGAGAATCTGGTTTAATCATGGATGTCTGCCCAGATTCACATTCAGCATCGCATTGGCGGTGGCGGACCGTCTCACACCACAGTAGAATCATCCCCTCGAGGCGCCCAGCCACATCTCACAACGTCTAATCTCAGTCAATGTTAAAACATTCATCAAATCCGTTCTATAAGCACTGTAATGCCCCCTCTTTGAGACGGTGGCTCTTAGCTGTCGCCTCAAATGCCGCGAGTGTTTTATTGCAAAATTGCTGTCTCTGTGGATGCTGCGTCTGCCGCAAGCTATTTGGATCCTGTGCCGACTGCATTAATGGCCTTAACAAAACTGGCACATGCTAAATTAGTAACACTGCCGGTTTCGTGCCTAAGTGGGAGATTTGCGAGCGGTCACAACAAGACAACACATTTATATACAATGAACTTAATCGTGTCGCCATCCTCAGCCACGATTGATCCTCTGCTGGATGCGGGCCTCCATAAACTGTCGCTGTCCGTTACGATGGTGCGATGTGATGATCTGTGAGCGTGTGTACCCGAGCTCATTGCGCGTCTCCCCCTTCTCTCTGGACGTCCTCTCTGACGCGTTTTGAAAGCAAACCTCTGCAGTGGACCAAGAGTCGTTTCAGAGTAAATCAAATGCCCGGTCGCATATACATACGCGTTATGCTGTTTGTAGTTTGTTTCAGATGATGCAGGTTATCTCCATGAAAGGGTTAAAGGGTTATAATACTCGATCACTAAATAGCATCGTCATACATCTCTGGTTGTTAATCCATAATAGAGGTGTTTTGTTTTTTGTTAGATTGCGTAAATATAAATGTGTTGTTGAACCCACCACCACCCGACACAGCCAATTAGTAAGGTTTGTCACATAAACAAAACATGACGATCAGTTACTAGGTCAGCGCACCGGTGTGTTGACGAGTAGACCCACAACATTTTACAATTTGATTACGACGTTTCACCGGTAATTACAACCAGTCTCATCAGGCGATAGCCAGACTTGTCAATTCAGCACAGCGGTGTGCTGAACTAATAACGAATTGGCATGTTTTGTTTATGTGACAAACCTTACTAATTGGCTGTGTCGGGTGGTGGCGGGTTTAACAACACATTTATATGTATGCGATGTAACCCAAAAGACCTCGATTAATGGATAATATTGGTCGCGAGAGAACTACGTGTTAATGTGGTTGTGAATATTAACGTGTAGGGCGGTAATGTTAGTTTGCTTTGCACCCTCCTCTGATTTAGAAACGGAACGTGAAGCCAAAGGTCGCTGCAGACGAGGCCGAGCAAGAGAATGGCACTCAGTCGGACTGGTGAGAGCCATTGCACCACAGCAGTCATTACCATTTTAGATAACCTAATATGTATACGGGGCACGAGGTTCATCTGGTCGACGGAGTGTATGCTACCGAGGTGATCCCAAGAGTACAACGCTTCAAAGCGTATCCGCGCTCGGCAACGCATCGCCAGAGTGGCATTGTAACCACGCCTTGTCCGTCATTCTATTAGAGCCCGTTTGGCATTGTGTGTTGAGATGATAGCTAACATGTTGAACATACATATATAGAAAAAATAAGTTACACATTTATTTTTTTAATGCCAAAGTCCTTTCCTGTTAGAAGCCCTTGAGGCAAACTGACACATGCAATAGCTAGTATTCATATGATGACACCATGGAAAGATGAGATATGTATGGTATTTAAAATTGTGAAAGGCACAAAGATTAACATTATTTTGCATATAGTCCTCTGGGCAATGGCAGGTATTTGGCTCGAATTCCCTGTATTCTACCTGATGTGGAGCTTCATGTGTTTCACTTGAAGTCATCCAGTGGCGGCACCTTTGTTTTTACCCCACACTTTACCCCACCGCACGCGGCCTGCCAATCGACTAATTGCTTGGTGTGGACAGAAGTGGGGAATTCAAGAAACGTGCACCATCGTTGCAAATGCCGTGCTTGCAGATCAAACGTGCAACCCTCTGGACTACAAGCCCAGTGTGTGCTAACCGTGACACCAGCGGCAGCATTTAAGTGGCCGATAAGTGCAGCCAACGTTGTAGCGTGTGCGTGTTTTATTAGACGCCATATCGCGTGCTAAAACGCGTTTTTACACTTTTGCATTCACTGTTTCACACGTGCTGATTAATTGTGCACTCTGCGACATCGAGAAAAGATTGGTGTGCATGTCACCGTCGAAGTTTGATTTCTTGGGACTAGTAACCTTGCAGATTCTTAAAAAAATATTTTTTAATTGGGTGCCTACTATTGACCTCCTTTGTAATCTGCTTTTGTTAACTGAGGTTTTTTGACGTAAAAGTTGGGGCATGTCCAACGTCTGAAAGTAAATCTCCCTCCCGTTCAAAGCGTACCAATTATCGCACTGTCATATCGCGAATCCTCATGGCAGCGAACGTGGGAGCGATCGAGTGATACAAAACGTTGGACTTTGCACTTTAATATCTGTCTCAAATTTCCCTATCATCATCATAACGATCTTCTTCTTTCCACGTGGCACATTGCAGAGATGAGCAATTGATTTATATTTTTTTACGGCACGAGGCTCTTCTGCACAATTGGCTTAACGTGCACGATTGTAGCCACCGTCGGGCGGCAGTGGCTGCTGCGCACGCCTGCAATCCAGCACCGTGGAGGCGAGGGTTGGGGGGGAATCGCACAAACGTCGCGAAACTGCCTTCCCCGTTGACGTTCAGGTGTCACGCTCTGGCTTTCCAGGATAACACGGTACAGTGCGGACGCCACCTGTTCCATCTGCATTGGAGGGAGTGTTGCACCCCCACCCTGGCAACACACTCGGCGCTCTTGTGTCCTCCCACACGTATTAACTTTAATAGTAGAGAACATCTTTATATATAGAGGACCGCAGAGATGTGGTGGGGGTTGGGGGTGGGGATTTGGTGCTTCCCGTTCCTCGTCTGGTTCCTTGCATCGCTGAGTTGTTCTCTCGCTTTGAAAGCGATGGGAACGTTTTTGCGTCCACGCGTTTACAAATTGACACTTTTTGGTACTGTTACCGTCGTGAGCTGTCATAAAATTACTACATTGCTACAGTACTATAATGCCAATCATCTAATTGCATATGATGATTGTGTTATATGTACAGGATATGTTCACTTAAGGCCATTTTAAAGGTAACATACTTTGTTTAGCCAAATGAAACAAATGTGATTTAAATTCTCGCTTTCTTCAAAAAAATGTTTGCTACAAATTGTCAAATTATGACACTGACGCCTAATGGTCTCATCTTGTAATTGGTGACACTTGCACATAGTAGACTTCGTGCCATATTGTATGTGCTTATAAGAGTAGTATGCAATAAAATAAATCACGGCGTTTGGATCGCAACACAAAAAATATAATCCAACAGTAGAACAGTTCAGCAGTTCCACTGCTGGATGATTATATTTTCCGCCTGAGGACGACTGCTTGTGGTGTTGCGATCGAAACGTCGTGATTTATTTTATTTTCTACCCACGTGACTTTACCGAAGGAACCAAAGAGTATGGATTACTGCAGTCACGAAAGCTTCAAATCAAGATTAGTATATAGTGAGTCTGCTCCTCTGCAGTGGTGTTCCAGTCCAAATAAAAACCTCTAACTTTACCTACCCACTTCAGTCCAGAGGGCAGTGCAGAAACATTCATTGCTGTACTGTACTGTAGTATGCTCACACTTACATGCTGCCCACTTTCACCAGCACCCATGGTCAAATAATTCCCATGACCCCACGACATATGGGGAGGCCCTTAGCACGGGTGGCTATGTACGGTGCGAAAGAAGTACAACATACATATACCCAGCATGGGGGTTGACAAAAAGGCCATAAATGTCCATCCCCTTGTTTGCTATTGTTCACCACATACCGGGTGATCAATCCAGAGATGCACCACTAAAATAACGAGGGAGAAATTCGAGAGGAAACAACAAATGTATTTCAAAAGCTCCACATGTCTCCCTTCAATCTCCATACACTCTTATCTAGTAACACTCTCCTCTGTAGGATACAAAGCCGTTGCTTCCGCAACATTCAATCGCCTTTTGAGAAGAACAAGAGTCATTAAAAATCAGTGGGTTGTCACTCAATGGATCACCCGGCACATTTAAAATGTGTTTCCATCATCAGTGGACAGAGTGGAAGCATTTCTTTTTTTACAGATCATGTAAATATTAATAATATGTAAATATGTTGAACCTCTTTTGTAGCCAACCGTGCTAATCGGAGGTGTGCGGGAAGGACAACAAATTAAACACAAAAAGCAGTTCTAAAGAGTTTTCAATCTCGATCAGGACACCCTGCAGGCAGCAGAACCACATGCTGTCTACGAGGTGATACATCTGGCATTGGCAGTATAGATCAACCATCAGCTTAAATGTTCAATTTCTTCATGACCAGGGCTCGTGCAAGAGGGCCCCAATGCGCGCCTTCGGATGGTGCAACGAGGTGACCCACGTGGGCGGTCTGCCCCAAGGGCCTCCAGCATGAACCTCTGGGGCGGTCCCCGTGCTTGACGCCCCCCCCACCCCCGCTCGTCTCTCTAACCCTCCTGCCCCTCTGCCCCTGGGGGCTCCTCCCCACCACGTGCGCAGCGCCCGACTCAATGGGCAGGAGAGCCGGGGCAGCGGTTCGCATCGCGCCTCCCCTCGCCGCGGTCCGGGCAAAACCATGAAGCTGTCGCGAGCGCTGTCCGACCTGGTGCAGTACACGCGCTCCGTCGCCGTGAACGACGTCGATCACGACGGTACGCGGCTGCTAGCGTCCACTGGGCGCCGCTGTGGCTAGGTGTTAACTCCCTCGCCTGGTCTGCAGGAGGTCGTGTGTTCGATCCCGACCGTGACGCCTGCTGTATTTTTGGAGTGTGCGTGTCTCTCTCTGCCCGTGGTCGTCTGGATTTTTCTCCGGATCCTCCGGTTTTCCCCTCCACATTTGCGTTTGGAGTATTTGGCTGCTATAAATATCCACGTGATAAGCCACTTCGTTGACCTATCATTTGTGGCCAGGTCGCTTATGAAAAAAGATAATAGCTGCGTGGGTAAAATACAAATAAATGTTTTTAGTTATTTGTTTACCTTTCCTTGAAATTGCACTCCTGTAGTGTTTTTGCATTGGTTGTAGTTGTAACTTTATGACCCACCTCAAATGGACATCTGTGAAAAAAAGTGCTTTATAGCTCATCGGGTTCCTCCAGTATAAATGCATATTCTGATTCTGATGAATTCCTCAAAATGTGTGTTTTCTAAAAGACCGCTGTTTATTTTTCGTATCTGGGGTGATGCAGTGTTACTCCACTCCAGCTGGGTAGTTCTGTGGTTGGACCACTTAACTTTCAGTAGGAAGGGGCATGAGTTCAAATCCCCGTCGGGGTCATTAAATGCGTGCTGCTTTGCGTGTGAATTCAACAGCGGTTTCTGCAGAGATGGCAATGATGAACTACCACTGCTGGCACATTAACAACCCCATTGGAGATGAACACGATCCAACGCTTGTTCGAATGTAAAGTTTTTCAGGCTGTAATTTTTTTTTAAAAATTATTATCCTATTTTCAAAGTGATCACATTGTTGTATCATCCTGTACAGGCTCTGTTGATGTCTCGGAACCTCGTGAGGGGGAATTTCACTGTCTCTCTCTCTGTCTCTCTGTCTCTCTGTCTGTCTGCAGCGGTGGCAAGCAGCTGGCAAGTGTCGTCCTTCAGTGAGAACAAGGCGAGCCAAATGCTGCAGCAGAAATCGCAGGCGTTCCTTGCCTTCAACCAGCGGCAACTCTCGCGCATCTACCCTTCCTCCTACCGCGTCGACTCCAGCAATTTCAACCCGCAGCCCTACTGGAACGTGGGCTGCCAGATGGGTGCGAACATCGCCCATTTACTCAGGGGTAGAATCTTTGCGTGCAAATGTTTGATTCCCAGCCAAGGCTCACATAGCAGGCAATCACCTGTGATGTTGGCCTTGGCTGAGTTGATCCTGACATCTGTATATTTGGAGTTTGCATGTTCTCCCCGTGGTCGTGTGGATTTTTCCCTCCACATTTAGAATCAACGTGCGTTTAGAGTATTTGGCTGCTATAAATGTCCACGTGATAAGCCACTTCGTTGAGCTATCGTTTGTGGCGAGGATGGATGAGATTGGTGATAGAATGGTAGCCAATAGAGAGAACACGCCTGAGAGGATGGCCACCTTGGAGATAGAGCGATGAGATTAACTCATGTGCAGGAGCGGGATTGTTTCTACCATCTCAGGACTTGTGTGGGATTGCAGTGGATCGATCATGGCTGATGAAAATGATGATTGCCTAAAATAACATATTGGGCTCATGATGCATGCATCATGTCAAAGGAACAGATATTCTCTTCATGCAAATATGAATACTATTCATGCAAATTATATGCACACTGTATGCTATTACCGTATTACCTTTAGCTGATGGGACCAAAGAAATGGACTAAGGGCACGACACAAAGAAACACTGGCTAATAACACAGTAAAGAACCGATTCTTTAATCAAATTGTGACCCCCCTGAATCGTAACCAGAGGTGGTTTTAGTCTCCACTTCAACGTACAATGCTGAGACAGCAAGGCCGGGTATCGAGGCCCTGCGGATCTGCAGGATTGTCACCTCGTGTTGCTGCCAAACGAATGTTTTTTTTTTTAATCCCGTGCGTGTGCGTCTCGATGCTTTTCCTTCCAGTGGCTCTGAACTATCAGACAAGTGGACGGGTCATGGAGATGAACAGGGCTCGTTTCATGGACAATGGCAACTGCGGCTACGTCCTCAAGCCGGACTGCATTTTCGATGGTGCATAATTCGTCGGCTCATCGCGACCTGCCTTAAAATATCTACACACATGTATCAGCTCAAGCCTCCCGTCATTCACGTGACGTCTGCGTGGCCACGCCCACCCTGCATCCCTCCCCCTCTCCCCATCCTCTGCGTCTATCACAAGGCACGAATGTAGCCTCTTCTTCCCTACCCCCATCTCTCCTGACCCTTTGGTGCCGTTTATCTGTTCCTTTTCCATACTTCTCTTATTTCACATTATTTCTTTCTTCCCTTCCCGTTTCCTTTGTCCTTTCATTAACATATCCTTTAATTAGTTTCAGATATTAGGAAGCAACTAAAGCGATGCACTTTCAAATCTAGATTGAAAACTCATTTCTTTAGAACTGCTTTTTGTGTTTAGTTTGTTGTCCTTCCCCCGCACCTCCGATTAGCACGGTTGGCTATGTATGTTGCGAAAGAAATTCAACATACATACGTACATTATATCCTTAACTCTACTCCCCTTCCCATGGTGTTTGGCCATGGGTACATGTTTTATATGTATATATCATGATCATCGTCACCACCATTGATGCTGCGGTGGTATCACGATCAGCACACTAGTGTTTCAATACAGAGGTTTCCGGTTTTATTTCCTGTACGTATGCACGTTGAACTTATTTCGCACCATAATTCTCTGGCACGACAGTTGAAATAACATTGAGGCAATTTCTTGAAAACCTCCACCCCTCTACGCTACGTCCAGCAATATAAATGAGGACATCATAGTTAGTCAATTGGTAGGTCACCTGTGATAACGTAAAGTGTTGGTCCTGCTACCTATTCTACGATCACCTTGTGCGGTGTGTAAACATTGCCACCCACCCCCTCGTGTGCCGTTCTGGCCTTCATAGGTGCCCGCTAGCAGCACTAGCCCCAGCAGCCTGTTAAGGCTACACGGGGATCTTCTTTGTATTTGTCTAAGATGTCTGGCTAGCTTGGAATGAGTAAAGGTTTTTTTTTTTCAAGTTTCCTCAAGCGGGTGCCCTTCCGCCAGGAGTGACGAAAGCAAATCCTTCCAGGGCTGCACCTCTGGCATCACCGTCATGAATACCCACAATGCAACACACTTCTGATTACGTATCCAGCTGGGCGGCTCTCGTGGTCAGAGGCGCAAGTCTAAATCCCACTCTGCAGTCAGCTCAACCGAGGTTTGATCCAACGTTTACCACTATCTGGGAAGTGAACAGTGGTTGTCCTATGGGAGAAACTGATCAGACTATTTTTCATAATCAGAATGTTTATACATATTTGAATAATTAGTCAGATGAGCTGTAAAGCTTTTTTTTCACAGATGTCCAGTTGGGGTGCGTCAATATCCCTGTCATACGATTGTGGAACTTATACTGTGGGCTACAGCCACCAGCTGGGATGAGCAAAACGCCGATTGCTCCTTTGAGCCTGTGGGCACGTTGACCTTGGCCTGACTTTAAAGTAAAATTATTCTTTAAAATTGCTGGTAATGGCAATGCGATTTACTCAACAAGGAATGGTAAGGAGTTTTTAATTAAATAATTTGAATGTTATTTTGGAAAGCCCCTCTCAGTCTCAGGACGTTTTCAGTGTCCTGCATTCGGGACGTTTTCCCCAGTTCCATTGGTCACCATGCCTAAGTGGACCTACGCACAACGTCGTTGGGCGATGTTAGGGTAACAAAATGGAAATGATCGTCTATTCTTATTCTTATGAACGATACAAATTTGAGTTTCCCATGCACTAAGAAACCCACATCAGATTTGTCACAAAATAAAACAGCCCACGGCGTACTTGCCTCGCGGCTCAATATCAATTGTGACGAATTTCCAAAGCCTACACCAGGACTCATGGTTTATGAAAAAAAAAAATACAGTTCCAAGACCTCACTTAACGCATTCTCTTGATTGTGAGATGCACTATCGCGCTCTCTCTCTCTTATTTTAAAGCAAAAGTTGAGGTACGGTATTATATCGTCCGGGCAGATGTGCGACCAGAGTCGTGCAGCTTTATTGATGCCCGGACGCAGGTTTCTTTTGGGGGGGAGGGTTGTGGGGTGTGCCTGACTTTCAGGAGCATCTTCTAAACCGGGAAACACTGTAGCCAACTTGTGCCAGTGATAGGTGCCCCTACAGCAGACGGCTGTGTTTCCGCGCCCACACACAGCGGATTTCATCCGACACTTGCGGCCGACCTCCGCTGTCCAAACTGAGCCACGCGCGGCGGTCGAGCGCCACCGTTTTGACTCGTCGCGCCGGACGCGTTGGCGGTTAAACAAAAAAGAAAAAAATGTCGCGCGGGAGGAAGACGTGAAAACGCGCCCGTTCCCAACTTGCGCGCGCGCCCGTGTTGAAGGGTGGCTCGCCGCGTGAATAAGGGGCACCGTTTCAGAGGACGTGTTTGCCGTTTTTTGCGGCGCGGGATTCGCAGCGAGGCTCGCGGCCGACATCCACGCGCACGCAAGCGTGACCTTTGAGCGTCCCCAGCTGCTCACAGCTTCGAGAGGACGACGTCTTCTCCAAAACGCGCTTCTTATTCATTTATTTATTTGAGTTACATCGACCCCTGATTTTTTTGGAGTTCCCATCGAACCTGACGTGGCCTTGCGGCGTTTTGCTACGGTGTCCTTTTGTTTGAGCAGGAAAACTCTCCAGACTGTTACGGTTCTTTATTTGTAACCCCTGTGACTACGTGAATTGAATCCACCGCACGCAGGAAATCAAAATTCACTGGGCACCGACTCCTCAGGAAAGACCTCAGAAACATCTTTTTTGTGGTAAATTGGTGAAAAATTTGCATTTGTTTTTTGGATTGTTGTAAAAAAAAACATACGTGCATAGATTTTTTAAAGCATTGCTTTTTATTAGGCCCCGCACCACGATGATGACTAGTAATACTGTTTTAATTGTTCTTTCATAGTGTAGAGGAGTAGTGTGTCGATGTGACGTCATGAGTGCTGTGAGGCGCGATGACGTCACGTCATGAGCACCGGAGGCAGATATCGGGAAGAACGAGGGCGGGACCGAGGAAGGGGGAGGAGCCGCCCGAGGGGATACTTAAGGTGGACCCGGTGACGAAAGCGGGGTTCGTTGTGGGAGCCCGGGATGCAGAGCGTCTGAAGGAGGTCTCTGCTGCTCGTGACCGGACGGTGTTGGCCGATCCCCCGTCCGGGTTCGACAAGTAGGAGAGCCGAAGAGACAGCCAGGGGTAGGGCTCGGGGAAGTCTGTGAGAGCCGGCTAAGGTTACGTGGGGTGCTGCCCTCCTCGGCCGGGCGGTGTTGGCTGAACCCCCATCCCGAATCGAGTGAGAGAGGTGATAGCCGAGGCTAAGGACGGATTGGAGCCTGAGGTCCACGTGAAGGACCGAGTGTGTGGACACCTACCTCTGGTGTAAGTTGTTACCTTGTGCTTAAGAAACCGGCGCAAGCCCTTACTAGAAGTTCTGTCTTCGAGTCGTTCTGCACTACACAACAATAGTATAGAGCAACACCGGCGTCTCTGTGTTTGGGGTGTGTCTAGGAACCTTCCGCCCGTTCTCAGAAGACCCCTTGCCAGGCTACCCCAAGACCCAGCTCATCGTGAAGGTGATCAGCGGGCAGCAACTCCCAAAGCCCCCAGACTCCATGCTCGGCGACAGAGGAGAGGTGAGTGTCTACCTTGCTGATCTAGTCAAGGAGCACAAACCATCACGCAAACTCCAGTCATCCTCACAGCAGCGGCTTTTGGATCACCATCGAGCAAAGATGATCACCGCATCTCGCGCTTTCCGATGCACTTCTGCGGACATCTGGAACACTCTTCCTTCTGATATTCGGAAGCCACTGGAGCTGTGCACTTTTTAATCTAAATTGAAAACTGATTTCTTTAGAACTGCTTTTCGTGTTTGGTTTCTTGTCTCCAATGAGCACGGTTGGCTATGTACGGTGCGAAAGAAGTTCAGCATACATATGTAAAGACAGAAAACAACAGACCACTTATTTGACACGACACTTGTGCAAACGGATAGTCAAGGAGTGTGCTAAGGGCCTCTGTTTGGTGCAGGGAGGCCTCAAAAAGGATTGGGTAGGGCCAGAGAGTTGAACTGATTGGTGGAGAGATTGAAACGTAAAAGGCGGGGAAACGAGGATGGACTGTCGGGGTAACGATTGACAACCGTCAGAGAAGAAGGAGGAGGGAAATGGGGTGAGCGAACCTTGGAGAAAGGGGGCTGGAGGAATGTTAAAGGGGATGGCACAAGGGCAAGGGACAGTTGGAAAGAAGACGAAGTTCACGCATCAAGAACCGAAGCCCGGGCCTAGAAATAGTGATAGTGTCCACAATAAAGGCTCGTGAGTAAAGCAAGAACGTGCGTCGGCGTCACTACATACCTGAGCGTCTTCCCTCACATCCAGGAACAGAGAACCAGAGCAGCCAGCCCTGCACCGGTTTTATCTCAATTGCTAAGCAGATGCCAGCCAGTGAGGCTGCAACAAAGGTAAATAAAGAAGGCATAGGAGAGATATAAAAAAAGCTTTTTCAATTGTCAGATTATATGAGGTTTGGAAGATATATTTTACAGGATTTAAACCTGCACTTGCGTGTTTAACTAATCCTCATTGTGTTCAATCCCCTCAGCTATAGCACCTCTATGCAGCAGCTGCTGCTGTTTTCCTACTTTAGGTAGCCTTAGTCCAGACCCCTGCCTCCCTCACTCCCCCCTCTCAGTCAGCCCTCTAACTTGTAAGTCGAAGCCTCCTATGCATGTATGTATGTTGAACTTCTTTTGAACCGTACGTAGCCAAGTGCTAATATGAGGTGCGGGGGAAGGACAACAAACTGAACACAAGAAGTAGTTCTAAAGAAATGAGTTTTCAATCTAAATGTTAAAGTGCGTAGCTCCAATGGCTTCCTAAAATCGGAAAGAAGAGCGTTCCAGACGGCCGCAGAAGCGTATCTGAAAGCGCGCGATGCAGTGGCCGCCGTCTTTGTTTGAATAACAACACGAGTCCAATTTAGGCCAAAACGACTGCTTTCTGTATCGGTTTATTTCCCAATGCCATTGGATTCAACGTCGATGCTGGGTGTGACCTACTCGTCTCTTTCAGATCATTGATCCATTTGTGGAGGTGGAGATCATTGGGCTGCCGGTTGACTGCTGCAAGGAACAGACTCGAGTCATAGACGACAACGGTAAACAAACGGCGCTCACATTGCCAAACACACAGGCAACGCACGAAGCCCAAAGGGTCCATGACAATTATCAGCATTTCCACAAAGGCCTCACAGCTGAGGGTGATGCTGTATCAGTGTGTGTTGGGAGTTTCCGCCTTCTCCCCTCTGAAGAGTCTTGAATGTTATTCATTCATGCGTGTGTAATTATGCTCTTTGGTTATTTCGGTAAAGTCACGTAGGTAGAAAATAATAATAGATCACGACGTTTCGATCGCCACACCAGCAATCGTCTTCAGGTGGTGAAGACGATTGCTTGTGTGGCGATCGAAACGTCGTGATCTGTTATGTTTTCTACCTACGTGACGTCACCGAAAGAACCACGGAGTATGGATTCCTACAGTCACGAAAGCTTCAAATCAAGCGTGTGCCATTTTTCACGTGCACGCATCTGCATTCGTGTTTTATTTTTATTGTCGTCATCGGGTGTTTGTAGTGCACTGTTGTTATTCCACGTCGTCAGTGTAAGACATATCCTAGTTCAATATGCATGAATGAAGTGGCGGCTCATTGAGATAGACTGCCCTGTTTAAAGTCTGCGTACGCGGGGAGTCGTAACCACATTATCTTTTGCTATCATCTATCCACTGCCACCGCCTTCCCTCACAGTCCTGCTGGGATGCTACAATTAATTTCACCCTTCACACAGGAACTGATCTCATCGGTGGTTGTCCATTTGGGGGCATTCTATTTTGGCTGCCATTCCATCACACATGTAATCCATCAGTCATCTTCCCTGCTAGCCATGTCCTGCTCAAGCCCACTGGCTTCCCCTCGTAAGGTCGCGCTCGTTACACACAAAAGTGCCTGCCACAAGTGAATACCTTGCTGATCACGTCAAGGAGCATGAATCGTCACGCGAACTCCGATCATCGTCCTCGCAGCAGCGGCGTTCGGCGAGCCATCGAACAAAGATGGTCACTGCGTTGCGCGCTTTCAGATACACTTCCGCGGCCGTCTGGAACGGTCTTATATTAGGAATCCGATGGAGCTAAGCACTTTTAAGTCTAGATTGAAAACTCATTTCCTTAGAACTGCTTTTTGCGTTTAGTTTGTCCTCCGTTTCCCGCACGTCCGATCAGTACGGTTGGCTACGTACGGCGTGAAACAAGTTCAACATGCATACACAGTAACAGTCAGTATTATGTCTCTGATTTGCACGTGTTCCTTGATCCATGCGTAAAGCTGTCTGTTGCACAGTGTAATTCCCAGCATGCGTCATTCTCCTCTTATTTGTGAGCTTTTCTTCAACACTAATGCGGCTTTATTGTATTATGTTGACATCTTTTTGTTGTTGCAATCTCTTTTTTTTGCGGCTCGGACTCACACGTAACCCTCGCAGAATATCATTCCGGGGTCGGTCAGGTTTTATACCCCGGAATTTCAGACACTTACCACCATGGCCCACAGGTGTCTTCCTGAGTTGACTTCCATGAAAGGAGTCGGGTGAGAACACGTTGACGCGGAAATTCTGCCCAGGGAGAACCTCAGGGCGGGGGGCGTGGAATACCGAGGAAAGTTCAGAGACAAGACGGGAAACGGGGGAATTGAGTTCTGTACATCATACAAGGGCTTGAAATGTATTATATTTAATAGATTGACACCGAGGAAGGTGCTGCTATTTATATTTTGAAGGAATAAAGGTTTTTAAATCGTTTAATTTTCCACTTCCCTTTCTACCAAGATACACTATGCTGTTACATTTCTATATATGAATAAGTAAGCAAAGTAGCAAAAATACATAGTTAAATAAATCATTAAAAAAATCACATTCCTCTGGGGTTTATAAGCAGAAGTGGTGTTACAATGGTTAGCGCAATGTACGATGAACCCAGAAGCCTAAACCTGTAAAAAAAATATAAAATATTTTAATTTTACCAGGGCGACCTGGCCACAAATGATCGCTCAACGAAGTGGCTTATCACGAGAAATTTTATTGCAGCCAAATATTCAAAACGCAAATTGATTCAAAATGTGTGTGGGGGGGGGGGCGGGGGGGGGGAAACCAGAGGACCCGTCCTCCTGCATACCAGGCAAGGTAGTTAACATCTCGCCACAGCGGTGCCCACAATACATATGATGATGATGAACTGGATCAGAGCAAGCACGCCAACATCGACGATGAGTGGTGCATGCCATGGCACCGCTTCCCACCCGGCTCTTCACAAACCCATGCTGACCATCACGGTGAAGTACGGTCAAACAACTCCCGTGACTGACGCTTCATTCGGAAGGCCTTCATTCAGCAGTGGATTGACAAGAACCATACATTTCGATTTAAAGATTTCGTGACTGCAAGGATTCATCTTCTTTGGTTCTTTCGGTAAAGTCACGTAGAATGAGAATAAAATAATAAAATAAAATAAGACAATAAAATTCTCACGACGTTTTGGCCACAACACAAGTAGCCTTCTTCAGGTGAAAGAACATAACTGTCGGGACGACAGAGCTTGAATGAACGCTGTTAAGATTCGTAGCGTTTTTTAAGCTCGGTGAGAGGCGTGGAGAGCCTTGACAAAGGGGTTTACCTATCAAAGCAGGAGAATTTAGCATTGAAAAAGCTGAGGGATTAGCTTGTGACAGAAATAGCTGTGTTAAAGTCAAAGTTTACATATCAACAGAGGCATTTAGTATATGGACGTTAAAGGCCTCCAACTACCAACTATCATAAAGTAAACGGTGTGAAAAAACTAAATCTATATTACATCAATATGATAAATGTACTTAATATAATCTTCAATAAGCTGAGCTATTAATCACAAAGCAACTGGGTATACACTACACTATATAATGAATGCCATATAGTAAACCAATAAAAAAACCAAAATATAAGCTCCCTCAATGTTATCAATAAACTCTATATACTCTCCAAGCAGCTGAGCCATCAACAATATGCCATTATATATCAATGCCACATGGCAAAAAATTGTGTTTTTTTTTCCCTTCCCCTCACCGCGAGTACCACGGACAGCGACGTTCAGGCGGACGAGTCAATCCATGCTCGGAACGGAGGAGGGGGGAGAGGGAAACAACTCCAATGCTCTGTTATCCTCGATGTTATAAACCATACCATTAACCGTGGTGTGAGAGGTATTAAGAGGTAATGCCAGCGAAAGAGCTACGGTCTGACGGTCACCGTAAAATACAATTAATTAAGAACCGAAATGGTTTAAAACATCTTTCCAATGGTTACTAAGCCAGAATCCATCTTCTCGGTTGAAATTGTCTCTGTGCTTGTATATGTGGATGGCCTCATGAACGAATCTCTCATGGTAGCCAGTTGGCTTGCAAAGAACCTCCGACTTGGAGAAGTCAATGTCATGTGAACCCTCTGAATTATAACAGTGATCTGCCACGGCAGAAGAATTCGTCCTTCCATGTTTCAAGTCTGATTTATGTTCGCGGATGCGGTCCGAGATATGTCGTTTGGTTTCCCCAATGTAGTTGCTACCACAGAGGCACTTTAGTTTGTAAACGCCCGGGTACTGTATGTCTGGAACAGCATCTTTTACAGATGGAACCAGATCACGGATTTTATGTACTGTGTTGAATCGGACCTGGATCTTGTGTTTATTCAGGATTTTGGAGATCTTTTTAGTGACCCCTGCAATGTAGGGTTAGGTGATGGTTTTGAGTGGCTCCTCAAGAGGATCCTTCTTCATGACTGGAGTGATGGCTTTACAGATTGTGTAGTCGGAGTAACCATTAGCTCTGAGAGCCTGGTGTACGTGCTTGAGTTCACTGGCAATGTGTTCCTGGTCGGAAATGCATTGGGGTCTATGGTATAGAGTCTTGATGAGAGAATTCTTCTGGGATGTATGGTGGTGGGAATCCGGTTTCAAGTAAGCATCTGTATGTGTAACTTTTCTGTAGACAGAATGGCTCATTGAACCATCAGGTCTCCTTTTAATTAAGACATCCAAAAAGGGTAGCTTGCCATCTTTTTCGACCTCCATGGTAAATCTGATGGATGGGTGCATGGAATTGATGTGGTCGAGAAATTGGTCTAGAGCAGGCTGGCCATGTAGCCAGATGACAAAAGTGTCATCCACGTACCTCTTCCATAAGGTCGGGCGTAGAGTGGCAGTCTGGATGGCGTCAGTTTCAAATTTTTCCATGAATACGTTGGCTACAACCGGAAACAGGGGGGAGCCCATTGGGGTGCCCTCAGTCTGTTTGTAGAAAGTTACATTCCAGGTGAAGTATGTGTTGGTTAAGCAATGTCTCACCAGGGGGGGTACATCAGTATGCAGTCCTTGATGAACCAAGTCTTCAATGATTGCGATGGTGTCAGGTACCGAAACTTTGGTGAATAAGGACACCACATCAAAACTGACAAGCAGGTCGTCTGGGGACAGGGAAATGCCTTTGATTGTCGATACCAGGTGAGTAGAATTTAGTACCGCAGAGATGTTTTTTCCAGTGAAAGGTCGCAGTATATCAGCCAGAAAACGCGCCAGTTTATAGGTGGGGGAGTTGATAGTAGAGACGATGGGACGAAGGGGTGTATCTTCTTTGTGTATCTTTGGGAGGCCATATAATCTTGGTGGTCTGGCAGCAGAGGGTTTCAACGAGAACTGTTTGGTCTGATCAATTAATGCTGTTGAATCAGAGATGATTTTGTTCGTTTTGGTAACCAGGCTGTTGGTGGGATCTCTTTTATCCATGATGACAGTGGCATTGCCCTTGTCGGCTGATAGGACAACAATATCATCTCTCTTTTTTAATTGAGATAATAAAAAGCATTCATCTTTGCTGATGTTGCTAGGTGGCATCTTACCGTTTTTGAGGGTTGCAGCGATTTCAGATCTTGCTACGTCTGCAGAGATGTGACTCAAGCCCTTGAGTGCAACATCGACACGGGCAATGATATCATTAACTAGTATGTATCTCGGTGTGACAGCAAAGTTTAGCCCTTTAGCTAAAACGGATTTCAGGCCATCAGAAATGGAACTGTTACTGCGATTAATTACGACTTTGTTAACGTCTATCTTTTCGGTGTGTGGATCCGATTTTTTGTTGGAGAGGCGGTTAAATTTGGAAATCAAATTGTCCCTACATTTGGTCGACATAGTGGCAGCCGAAGAGGTAGTCATATTGTCTACATGTTCCCAATCCGATGTAGACATTGTTGCTGTCAATGTTAAGTGTGATTTGTAGAGTATCTTGTCTAACTGATCTAGTTCGGTGCATGTAAGTCTGATTTTTTTGGAGATAAGAGCTAAGCGAGATCTAGCTAGAATTCGTTTTGCATTAAAGGAAGTTGCAGCAGCAGAGATGAGTGTAAATGCGGTTGGTATTACCTTAGAGTCACGGCATTTCTTCAGAAAGGTGAGAGACTCGATTAGTTGAGCCTTCTTGTCCCGGAAGTCTGTTGCCAGTGAACTCAAGCACGTACACCAGGCTCTCAGAGCTAATGGTTACTCCGACTACACAATCCACAAAGCCATCACTCCAGTCATGAAGAAGGATCCTCTTGAGGAGCCACTCAAAACCATCACCTTACCCTACATTGCAGGGGTCACTAAAAAGATCTCCCAAATCCTGCATAAACACAAGATCCAGGTCCGATTCAACACAGTACATAAAATCCGTGATCTGGTTCCATCTGTAAGAGATGCTGTTCCAGACATACAGTACAAGGGCGTTTACAAACTAAAGTGCCTCTGTGGTAGCAACTACATTGGGGCAACCAAACGGTATATCTCGGACCGCATCCGCGAACATAAAGCAGACTTGAAACACGGTAGGACAAAATCTTCAGCCGTGGCAGATCACTGTTATAATTCAGTGGGTTCACATGACATTGACTTCTCCAAGACGGAGGTTATTTGCAAGCCAACTGTCTACCATGAGAGATTCGTTCATGAGGCCATCCACATATACAAGCACAGAGACAATTTCAACCGAGAAGATGGATTCTGGCTTAGTAACCATTGGAAAGATGTTTTAAACCATTTCAGTTCTTAATTAATTTTATTTTACGGTGACCGTCAGACCGCAGCTCTTTCGCTGGCATTGCCTCTTAATACTTCTCACACCACGGTTAATGGTATGGTTTATAACATGGAGTATAACAGCGCATTGGAGTTGTTTCCCTCTCCCCCCTCCTCCGTTCCGAGCATGGATTGACTCGTCCGCCTGAACGTCGCTGTCCGTGGTACTAGCGGTGAGGGGAAGGGAAAAAACACAATTTTTCGCCATATGGCATTGATATAAAATGACATATTGTTGGTGGCTCAGCTGATTGGAGAGTATATAGAATTTATTGACAACATTTAGGTAGCTTATTTTTTTGTTTTATTATTGGTTTACTATATGGTATTCATTATATAGTGTAGTGTATACCCAGTTGCTTTGTGATTAATAGCTCAGCTTATTGAAGAATATATTAAGTACATTTATTATATTGATGTAATATAGATTTAGTTTTTTCACACCGTTTACTTATGATAGTTGGTAGTTGGAGGCCTTTAACGTCCATATACTAAATGCCTCTGATAATATGTAAACTTTGACTTTAACATAGCTATTTCTGTCACAATGCTACAATCTCCTGTTTGATATGTAAACCCCTTTGTCAAGGCGCTTCACTTCTCTCACCTAGCTTAAAAGACGCTGCGAATCTTAGCAGCGTTCATTGAAGCGCTGTCGTCCCGACAGTTCTGTTCTTTCACCTGAAGAAGGCTACTTGTGTTGTGGCCGAAACGTCGTGAGAATTTTATTGTCTTATTTTATTTTATTATTTTATTCTCATTCTACGTGACTTTACCGAAAGAACCAAAGAAGAAGAACCATACACACACAGTACACGTGCACATATACCCCCCCCATTCCCCACAATACACGTCACACTCTCTTTGTAGGGCGCCTTGCAATGCAGTTGCATTGCAGTTGGATGCTAATAAATCCAGATTGCGTTTGAATGTGGGAATTTGTGCCGCACAAAGTGAATTCACTCAATGCTGCTTATCGCCCCTTCCCAGAATACAGGCAGTAGCTGGGCCAGTGGCTCGTTGGCAATGGCTCTGCCACTCTCCCTGCCACACGTGTGCTGCTGACTTGCTGCCCATCGTGATATTCCTCTTCGTTCAAACACCGCTGTCACTCACTCCTGCCATCCATCCTTTTCCCAAGGTCTTCAGCCATCGATGTCCCTCTTATCGCCGTGACCAGTGCTCGCGCTGGAAGTTTTGGGATGGTGCGTTCGTGTCTTGTGCCGCTCGAGTCTTTTTGTTACCATCATTGTCATCGCTTACCGACGATGCAACGTGGGATCGTTAAGGACGGCCTCTCCGTAATGCCGCCTGCTTTGTGCGCGCCTCTTGAGCAGGCTTCAACCCCGTGTGGGACGAGACTCTGGTGTTCACGCTGCACATGCCGGAGATGGCGCTCATCCGCTTCCTCGTGTGGGACCACGACCCCATCGGCCGAGACTTCATCGGGCAGCGCACCATCTCCTTCAACGGCATGATGCCCGGTGCGCTGGCAGGCACCCCCCTCCCTGCAGCTGTGCTGTGCACCGTGTTTTGTCTGTTCCAGTTCATTGTCATGAGAATAATGATGCATTGCGTTTAGCTCCCTGTGTGTTTTCGAGTTCGGCGTTCCGTTTGTCCATTTGTCCGTCAACTAAATTGTAAGAGCCTTTCAGAAGGCCTGAATCAAAACGTTATATAAAGTGGACCCCCCCCCCATCCCCCCAGATGTGGGGGTAAAAAGTTGATCCAACAGGTTTACAACAATTGTCGACTCCCGAAAAATAATGTATTTTGTAAGCATATATAGCTACACATACAAGAGTCAGTAGTATCTACATATATACCTACACACCTTACATACAAGAGTCAGTAGTATCTACATATATATGCACCTACATACCCGGCATGCAATATAGTCAGTGGTATCTACATATTTGCCTACACACCCTACATGCAATGAAGTAGTATTTATATATATACCTAGACACCCTACATACAATAGAGTCAGTAGTATTTACATATATACCTATACATAAGCGTTTTACCCATAATTCACAGCATCAGAAATAATTTTTCTCTTTGCACTCAGAGAAGCATTCCACTATACGAATGTTTAACTTCTTTCGCACCGTACGTAGCCAACCATGCTAATTGGAGGTGCGGAAAATCACACTGTAGATGGCCATATAAACCCATCGTGTTATATTGGTCCTCATAAGCTCTTATCAGTGAGCCACAATAAGTTATGGATCGCCTCAAACAACAGGGTGCTGTTTATGGTCGCTCATAAAGACTCATACCTAGATATGGACTTCCATTGAGTGTCCACAGTGCAAAAACAGATGGAGAGATGCCAGCTGGCGTGTAAGATCTCCGAAGGAATACTAAGACTGACGATGACTAATAATGTAAATCACTGAATTAACATTTGAGGCGATGGGTTGAAACGACGCCGGCGGTGTTCTAAATATGAAAATTAATAATGCGGTCAAACGCTCGACGTGGTGTCGCAATGCTGTGTGAGGCTCGCAGGTTATCGCCACGTGTACTTGGAGGGAGTAGCGGAGGCTTCGGTCTTTGTGCACGTGGTCATCAAGGAGTTCTCTGGAAAGGTTGGTTTCACTGTAAAACAAAAACAAAATCCCCCTCGACTAAAAACACGCCGTCAAATTTTGGCAGCTCAGCTACATACTCTAGACAAGTTGTAATAACTGAATACGTTTTTTTTTAGTTTAGCAATTATGGGACTTCCTTAAAAAACAAATGCTGATTAAGGCTTAGAAGTCAGCATTGAGACGTCTATGCTTCCTCGTCTTTACTAACCCCGCACTGGCCAGAGTGGCGAAGTATGGTCAGATGACCTCCTCGACCCGTATCGCGTGAGAAGGCGTAAAATCCATATTACGTATGAACCTTACGGTGGGACCTCGGGGTCCCGAATAAACGGAAGTCAAAATCGTAATGATTTTATTTATTTTTGGCGACTCCGTCCCACCGCGCACATAAACGCCGTGACCCACCTGGCGTGGATCGTTCTGTGATCACGTCATGTCCAAGCGCAACAGTGAGGATGAATGCGCACAAGAGCTGAACAAGCGAATGCACTCCATGCTCGGTTATGGGCAGGATCATAACAAGTCTTATCCAAAGCTGCTCAAACTGCCTACACGACTTAAGTCCTGTATTTGTCATCACGGTATGCATAACACAGTGAAACTGCTCTCATTTCTTCATTATTATTTGTGACCTACCAATGTCTGCAGCCAGGATCAATCGATGACAATCCTATTACCTGCAGATATTTAACAGATGAGATGCGTTGCACCGTTAATGCCTCCTGTTTGATAATACTTCTCTTGTCTGTATACATCTGTGCAGATAGGTGTTTTTTTGCGGTTAAGCCATAATCCCCACATACCGCTCATATCAATGCGGATAAGAGGAGCGGCGACCCACTGCTCTGTAGAGTAACATTGGTATAAACGCTTGTTACAATATGAACAGCGCATTGAAAACGCGTGCTATTTTATGTACTGTTTACAAAGTCTATTCACAAATCCACACTGAGAAACACGATGATTGACAGAGGGGTGTAAATTATTTTTTCGATGGTGTATTTAAATAGAGGTACTGCAGGTAAGTAGTTTTCAGTTTAAAAAGCATAGTTTAACAAGAAAACACTTGCCACCGTCCTTCAAACCCATTGGTGAAAAAGAGCAACGTTTTTGTTTACATTATAACATAATGTTTACATTATAATATGTTTATAATGTTTATGCGAGAGCCGGGAGCTTATGGGACACAGGGGTCCCGCCATAAGGTTCATATGCTGCCTAAAAGAGCACGAGAATACAAGCCATCACAATACCAAATTAATATTTAAATAATGGCCCACCCTTTGTGTTTCAGTTTATCCTCTGGCAGCGTTCATGAATTAGTAACGAGAAACAACTAAAAGAAGAGAGCTTGTGCACCGTTGCCTGTAGCGATCTTGGTGGTGGTGGGGGGGGGGGAGCGGCAGAGAATAGAGCTCCGGAATACCTGTACCCTCTCTCCCAGATCAATACCTGTACCCTCTCTCCCAGATCAATACCTGTACCCTCTCTCCCAGATCAATACCTGTACCCTCTCTCCCAGATCAATACCTGTACCCTCTATCCCAGATCAATACCTGTACCCTCTCTCCCAGATCAATACCTGTACCCTCTCTCCCAGATCAATACCTGTACCCTCTCTCCCAGATCAATACCTGTACCCTCTCTCCCAGATCAATACCTGTACCCTCTATCCCAGATCAATACCTGTACCCTCTCTCCCAGATCAATACCTGTACCCTCTCTCCCAGATCAATACCTGTACCCTCTATCCCAGATCAATACCTGTACCCTCTCTCCCAGATCAATACCTGTACCCTCTCTCCCAGATCAAAACCTGTACCCTCTCTCCCAGATCAATACCTGTACCCTCTCTCCCAGATCAATACCTGTACCCTCTCTCCCAGATCAATACCTGTACCCTCTCTCCCAGATCAATACCTGTACCCTCTCTCCCAGATCAATACCTGTACCCTCTCTCCCAGATCAATACCTGTACCCTCTCTCCCAGATCAAACAAGTCGGTGGTCTCAAGAGCCTCTTTTCGAGAAGCGTCAAGCACGGCTCGCTGGACAGCCGCACGTCCTACTTCTCTCGGCGCCGCTCGCTCGGCAAGGACTTCCTCCGGCGCACGTCCAGCGTCCCCGCCAAGGGCCGCAGGAAGAACAAGTCCATGTCGCTGCTGGTGACCTCGGAGAAGGAGGGCGAGGACGCGGAGCGGCCGGCGTGCGGCTCGGCTGCCGCCGGCGCCCTCGGGAACCCCGGCGAGGCTCCCGCGGCCGACGGGACGACGGCGACCGCGGCGCCGGTGACCTCAGCCCCGTCGGCAAGGGGGCCGTCGCGGCGTGACGGCGCCGCGGAGGAGGAGGAGGAGGAGGAGGTCGACGGCGGCGAGCGTGACGCTAGCTCCCGCGGGGCGCAGGCGGACAGCGAGGGCTGCCGCGAGGGAGGTAAGAACGCCCGCGGCCGGGCTCGCTCGGCACGCGGCCCCGTGGGCGCGTGCTTCGGCGGTTGCCTCGGCGCCGGGGAGAACTGCGTCGGCGGCTACAGGTGCGGCCTGGCGCTGGGGCTCGGCTGCCAGGAGACGGAGCCTCCGCGGCGGGCCGGCGGGCCGAGGCGCGGTCACGTGTCGTTCGACCAGGGCTCCGGGACGTCCACGCGGAGCTTCGTGCACGCGGGCGCCGGGGACGGCGGCGGTCGCGCCGCCCCGTCCGCCGCGGCCGCCCCGTCCGCCGCGGCCCCGCCGCCGTCGTTCCGGAAGCTCGGGCCGAGGGGCGGGTCGCACTCGGCTAGACGGGGCCCGGTTGGCGGCGTCGCCGCCGAGGCCTGGCCCGTCGGCGAGGAGGGCCGAGTTGATGTGCACCGGCGGGGGGCCTCGGTCGTCAGCAACGGAGTCGCTCCTGACGGCTTGCAGCCAGCGGCGTGTTGGGCCCCGCAGGCTCCGCAGAGGCCCGTGGGCACTCTGCAGAGAGAAATGGATAAGCTGCTCACTGAAAAGATAGAGGAGATCAGGAGCAAATCCCCCATCTTCCGTCGTGGTAAGGGCAGCAGCAGTGTTAATGTAGTAGGCATTTTAGTCGTGGTCTGGTCGACGACAACCTATGAAGTTTTAGTCGAGTCTTAGTCTGTGGATATTTCTCAATTATTTGCCTCAGACTAAAATGCCGACTAAAATGAGCACTGGGCGGCGATACTGCATAGGTCGTGGTGGCTCTAGGCATGGCCGGAATGGATTGTGGCAGAAGCACGTCCCTTTTGGAGAGCGGGAGATTGATTTATCGATGTCATCGTACTTTTTTTTGTTATGTCCGTGACCTTGCGGATCAGCCAGACGTAAAATTCGAAGCACGTGTCCAGCACAGAAAGTGTGCTGCAGTTCTTAGCAGGTTATTGAAAAGGGACCATGGGAAATGGGGCAATAATGTCGCTTCTTTGCTCAATATCATGGGAATGTCGAACGTTGCCGAGTTTGTCCCAGCGGCTTCCCTCCAAAATGAGCCCGTACGTGCAACTGCACAATCGCCTTCTTTAGCCATGCGTTTGCCACACCATGAGGATGACAGCACTTTATTGGTTGGGTCTCTATGGCTGTGTAAGGAAAAAATAAAGAAAATATATTTTCTCACGTATGACTCCATTTAACAAAGCCACCTCATAGGATGCGTTTCAATTGCCACTGTATATGACAAAAATGTAATTAAAAAAGCGACATGTCACCCCAGTGTACGCGAGTATAAGCAACGTGTTTAAACTTTAAATCGTCGTCAAATGTCAAAGTGTAGCTCTTTGGCGTGCTGTATGCCACGGCAGCTTTAATTATATTTTCCTCACCATTGCTAACGCTTACGGCAAGTGAGTTTGTAAACGTTTCCTTCTCTCTTTCTTCGTGTTTAAAGCCACAGTTGCAACGGGCTTCCGTAAGAAATGCATGATGCTAATTTACAAATTGCAAATTAGTTCATGTCGAAACTATTTTTGTTTTGTATATTCAACCTTTGGCCGCAATTATTTTTGTTTGTATTTCTACACGAACAGCACAAAAACTCTGAGCAACATTTCCTTATTTAAAAAAAACAGACATCCATTTTTTTGGAGAATGATTAACTCGTTAAAACAAGTTATACCAGCACTTCATCATACATGAAACAACGGGAAAAAAATTATATTTGTTAAACACTTAACGAAGTGTAATGACCCATCCAATAAAAGCACGTCATGATAAACGTTCGTGCGGCATCATCATTATTATGCCTATAGGTTATCAGATTCACTGCAACTTGATATGCAAGCTTCGCCCCACATCCTGGCACAGATTTATCCAATCCCATCGTCTCTCACTGAATTCTGGTCCCTCAGTGAGGCGTTACCGATCGGTCTGCTAGGTTGTTGGGGGAACTATGCTTATCAACGTGGACTGGATGCAGACCTACGATGGTTTAATTATGTCCTTTTGAAATAACTTCTCACTTGTAAGAAGGTATACTCAGTGGTGAAGGCATGAGACATTGACTTGTGGTAGTGGTTGGGGTGGCAAATGTTAGGACAAATGAACTACATGAGATTGCTCTTTGGTTCTTTCGGTGAAGGCACGTAGAAAGAAAATAAATTAAATTATAATAGAATACGACGTTTCGATTGAAACACAAGCAACCATCATCAGGTACGAATGAATGAAAAAAAAACCTAGTAAACTCAGAAATAAAATGCAATACAATCAGAGAGTCGGCCAACACAACAGTCAACACCCCACCTGGTTGATTACGTTCTTCCAAAGATTGCTAAATTTGAGAGAGGGATAAAACACAGACAAGGAGACACAAAGACAGACACACAAGCAGAGAGAGAACACAATATAATATGAGATTGCCTCGGGGCAGTGTGAGGCCGTGGGTGTCATACAGAATGCACAAGTCTGTAGTCTATAGGCTAGTTGCTGTTAATAACATACTCAGAGTTATGAAGCGATAAACGCGCGACCACTTAACGGGTGACTCTAGCACGCATTGTGTGGGAACCCTTTAAGACCGATTGCTGTTTGTCACGTGTCACGTCTCAAGTTTTTACGTTTTTTTTTAACCAGGTGCACAACTCAAGAGACCATAAATGAGTCTCATTTACAAGCGTGACCATACTAACGCGAACTATATTATCTATAACAGTGGTTTTTGTTTGGGTCAGATCGCGTAAATATAAATGTGCCGTTAAACCCGCCACCACCCGACACAATTAGTAAGGTTTGTCACGTAATCAGAACATGCCAATTCGTTACTAGTTCAGCACACCGGTTGTGTGTTGGTGAGTAAACCCACAAGGTTTACAATTCGAGTAACGTGACGTTTCGCCGGTAATTACAACCAGTCTCATCAGGCGACAGCCAGAGTTGTGGACAAATCCTCCAGTCACGGTCTTAAATAGAGGGATAAATGCGATGTCGTCACTTGCGAGCCAATCCGGTGCGAAGCAACAAAGCTAAATAAATAAATGCGCAGCAGTGAAAAACATTGAAATCAGAACAAAAAGCAACCGTTTCACATGCATGATTGAAGTTTTATTTTACCCAAACTTTACTCAAAATTAAATATTACGTTCCCAACAGTGCAAATTGGTTTGGGCAGATTTATTTTAGACTCCTCATTGTACAATTACCAGATGAAGGTGCCATAAACATTGAAAAGATAGAATGTGATCATAGTATAGATATGTAAACAGATGACTGTCACCACTGGGTATAACTTCACGGGAGTAGTTTAGTCACGTATACGGCAATGTAGAATGCAACGTTAGAATACTGGCAGTAGAATAGAACGTTTTCAAACGTATGTGTATGTTTTTAATGAAAATGTTGCATTGCACTCAGTGCTGGACACGTTCAGGCAAAGGAGCAGCCCTGCAATGCCTTGCTCGCTCTCCTGCTGGTGGAAGGGCCTCTGCTAGAGGGAGCTCTAGAGAGCCCGTCTGGAGGGACATCTATTTGAAGTGCTCTCCCACACTGACACATTTGCAGAGAATAAATTGTGTTGATTTATTTTCCACTTAAAGTCATCATCACAACCGAGATCGGTTATAATGTTTATAATTGGCCAGGATGGGCCTGCAATCCTTTCCTCTCACCTCGTAGAGTCTCCAGCTCAAAGGAGCTCCCTCAATACGGGGCGCCACGGTGGCGAGATGTTAACTACCTCGCCCGGTGTGCAGGAGGTCGTGGGTTCGATCCCAACCCTGATGCCTGTATGTTTGGAGTTTGCATATCCCTCTCCTCGTGGTCGCGTGGATTTTTCTCCGGGTCGTCCGGTTGTTCCCTCCACATTTATAAACATTAGTTTTGAGTATTTGGCTGCTATAAATGCCCACGTGATAAGTCACTTCGTTGAGATATCATGTGTGGCCAGGTCGCTTCTGAAAAAGAGCTATAAAGCTCAGTGGGCCTTACGTGGTAAAATAAAAAAAATTGTTTTAAAATATGTGGTGGGAATTTTTTTTTCCTCATTGGCAAATTTGCATACAGTGATAAACTTTTGGTTGAATAACGAATGCACCTTTTAAAACTTTTCCCAGTTTCATAATTCCAGAGCGAGCCTTGTGTCTGCCAGAGTGTTCTAATGGATAAGCATTACTTGTAATAGGCTGTCTTTGTTATGTCTCTTCCAACGCTTGCAAAATAGCTCAGGATTGACTAGGAACTCAACGTACAGGTAACGAATGTGTACATGCTATATCTGTCCGTGGTGTTCCTCGTTCGTTTGTGCGCATGGTATCATTGCTGTTGCATTCCCATTCATTTACTGAAACACTGACTCTGTGATATAATGCATTATCAAAAAAACATTATTATTATATGTATTCTTATATGGTTCAGTATTATTGATGTCGGTTTGAAAAATCACTTACATTTAAAAATGTGATTACATTACAAATACAATACACATATTGCGGGAAAACACTGACCTTCCTTTGAGCATACATTATTAATCTAATATAATTACTCAGATGAGTGTTATACATTCACACGATGTTTCATCCTAGCTTCAAAGTCATTAACCCAAAAAAATGGGGTAGCTTGCAGCCAATAATTTAATTGGCTGAAATGCCTATATAAAAATATCACGTGTGCACGTTTGGGCCAATCAAATTGGCTCTCGGTGGGCTTACATGAAACACATGCCCACTCTTCCTTTAGCAAATGCGAATTAATTGGAATTTCAAATAAAGTATACGTACTTGCACTGTACATTTCCAGCAAGGTGAGCAATTGTGTGATGCCACCGATGTTTACGTTAATATTTGCATATATACTCATCATGCTTTTTTTTCTGTACTTATATCTGTCTCATAATTCAAAGAGATAAAGTTATGTTGATTATTTTATTATTTCCCTTCTACGTGACTTTACCGAAAGAACCAAGAAGATTACGTTGATTGCTTTGTATAATTAATTATTTTAAAACGTTTACTAACACTAAAGTCATTAAAATTGCGAAGTGATTAACATTAAATTTTGTTACCAGCACCAGGTGTAGGAAAATAAATAAATTAAGATTTGGCTTACAAAGCACATTCACATTGGTTTGGTTCATCACATCTGGCATGGCACATTAATTAACTTACATAATAAGCTCCTTTGATGACATGAAATCCTTAATGTAGCCGAAAGCTATCTCTGTACAGGCGGTATCATTATAAATCCAATATACATATCGTACGTTATCTATTACCCATTTTCATCAACCGCACTGGATTTTCCTCATAATTCCTGGCACATCAACACCGGGCGCGATCCAGCGTACGCTATTTAGTAAAACTCCACTTGATGTCATGGTGTAAACATTGCAGGTTATATAAATCTTCTTGCGCAGGCCAATGTGGAAGTCGAACGGTGCGGGATCTAACCGAGATCTCCCTTTGTTTTCACAGCAGGTGGAATTGGTTCTGCATGCCCCAACTCTGCTCCAGACAACCGTGCACACTCCAACGACCTTCGCTCGAGCACTCCCCCACGTCCTCTTCTTCTCCACATGATCAACCGTGCGTCTCTCCAGAGGGCATCTTCTCAAAAATCTCAGAGCAGTGACCCTCCGTCGCCGACCTGCGGGGCCAACCCCGATGCGAGCCTGGCGGCAGGCGGCCCCACATCCCGGCCGGACGCACGACATTACGCAAGCCACCCACTGCTCAGCCAACACGCTTCCTTAGAGTCCCAGGACAGAGATCTGTCGGCGGCTTCGGACAGCGCCGATTCCGTCAACGGCTTCGACGGGGACATCAGCACGAGCTCGGAGTCGTCTTCCGACGAGACCCTGGCGAAGCGCGCCGAGCGAGTCCCGGGCTCGCAAGACCACGGTCTCGTTACCGAAGAGGTGACTCGGAGAGCAGGACACTGTCAAGATCCCTTAGACAAGAGCATGAAGAGGAGCTCCATTGAGCCGTCGCCAATGTTTTCGGTGAACGTCACTGCCAATGACAAGCTGTGGAGACCGCTGGACGGCAAGAGCGTGCGCGACAGCGTGGCATCCGCGTCGAGTGTCTCATCGGCCGACACGGTCATTGACGCCTTTTCGTATGAAGGCCGCTCGTCAATTGCAATGCTGAAGAAGAAGCACCTGGAAAATGTGTTCCTCAGAGGGGACACGGTGGGCCCAGATGCCCGTTGTGTTCCCAGTGGATTTCCCGGAGCAAATGAGTTGGTGTCTCCCCCAGCGTCGTCTCGCCTGAACGAACAAATGGCAGTGGACAGTCGAGTGGGTGAGGGTGTGAAAAACGACGTAGACATTGGAAATCAAACAAAACTGGAAGCTGCTCGATCGGACTTCACTGCAAAGCTAAATCCGGATGTAAATGGCATGTCGAATAATCAAAATAACAACCACATAAATGTAGGAAATGAAGACAATTCATCATCAGCTCTTGGCTCTAATGAAGGAAAGGTGCCTTTCGGTGTTGTCCAGCTTCGACAGAAGAAGTCCACAATGCCTGATTCACAAGGCCAAATAGAAGGCAACGTGCCACACTTTCGTTTTCCATCAGAAAAGCCAAAAAATGATTTGGAGAGGCCGTGCGATAACAGGCAATCACTTTCAAGCTTTGAGAGAGTAGCAATGTTGAAAAGGGAGTTTATGGGCATCTTGGGACACCAGTGGAACGACGAAGTAGATTCGGGAAATAGACCGAATGATCAATATACTCAAGTTACACCTGCTATGGAAACATCCTCTGCATTGCCAAATGGAAATGAACCTTTTAAAAGGTCCATGTCTTATGATGTCGCATACTTCAGCCCGGACTCGGCTGCGGTGATGCGTAAAGACAAACTTAACGGACCACCTGTCAGCGCAACAACCGTATTCACAGGGCACCCTGCCGTCTTCGGGGGAGCAGAAGAGATTCCACCATCCACCAACGGCGAGACGTCTGGGCCGGACCCCTGCGGCGGAACGCGAGTGCGGGAGATGAGCGCGGACGGCGATGCGATCGGCGGGGACCAGGAGCCGTCGCCCGACAGTGGCGTGCTGCTCAGGACGCTGTCGCTCGATCCGGCCACGTCGATGAGCGCAGGCAAGAGGGCGGCCGCCGGCGCTCACGGTCGCCGCCCGCGCTGCGACACGGCGACGGCCGCCCGCCCGTCATGGAACAGGCTGTGCATGCAGACGCTCGTGCAGTCGAGCAAGGCGGCGGCCGAGGTGAACGCCCCACCGGGCGACAGCGTCGCAGCCAAGTCCAAGAGCCTGGGGGACCTGACGTCGGACGACATCGTGAGCAACTTCCAGAGCAAGTACAAGAGCATCTGCCGCAGCTTTATCACAAAGTCGATGCGCGACCAGCGCAGGATGGTGGCGCTCGGGCGCCTTCCGAGCCAACCACAGAACCCGCTGACCGAGCAGATTATTCAGCTCGCGACGCTGACTCAGGACGAGGTTCCCGAGTACACATCGTCGCCCCCCCACCGTGCGTCTGAAGGCTCGACCTCTCCCAGGTTGAGGTCGCCCGGGACGCGGAACCTCGGCCCCACCGCCATGAGAGAGAGGTCCTACTCATACGGTCCCGCGTTCTCTGGCTCCCGGTCGAGGAGCATCAGCGACGGCAGCTCCCTCCACCGCAGAACGACCATGCCGGTGAATCTCTTGAGAAGCGTCTCCACGGAGCAGCAGGGCGCTTCGGGCCCACAGAGGAGGCTGCTGAGCGGACAGCCGCCAAGCGGCGGCCTCAAGCGGAGTCAGTTTGCGCAGAGGTATCCGGCGTCGAGCTACGGCCTGTTCAGGCACTCGGTGGGCTCGTTGGATGGCATTAATGTCAACCCGCTGCTGACGGAGCGGCGGGAGGCACCGGACGGAGCCTGCTCGACGCTCACCAAGACCCGCTTCATGGAGGAGCCCTCGGTGGTCGGGAAGGCGCCGTCCTACTCCGAGCCGAACCTCAGCGAGGAACCAGAGGTCTTCTTCATGCTCAATCTGTAGCGGGGCCGTGCGGTCGGGAGTGTGCATGCGGGTGTGGCGGCACGTGAAATGAATGCATCACGCGCATGAAAATTAGCGGCGAGTCGCGGGTGTCCTAGTTTAGGCTGAGGCTAGAATTGGATTTTTTGTTTTCTAATTTTAGTGCAAATGAATTGCAAAAAAAAAAGGGGGCGGCATTGTAATATTTTTTTTTTACTAATATAAAGTAGTCATTGGTAGAGTATATGCATATAAATCGTACATTTGTATAGTGTATTTGCAGTATGTTTTAAATACAAAATCCCGACATTGAACATCGTTATCTACTGGAACCTGTTTAATAGCATGCTATTTAAGCAGATATAACTTTAGAGTTAAATTAATCCCACACTGTTAAAAACATAGTATTTTTAGTATAATTCGGGAGCGATGCTACGTTATCTTCACTTCCTATAAATGTGTACATTTAGGGCTGGACCATTTCTTTATATAAATTGTAATATATGCTGATACCCAAATGGGCATTGACACTAACTTGTAGAGCTATCCATCCCGTTTTTAAGTGTCCCCCAAGTAAGTAGTCTTTGCACAAGTGCTGTAGTTTTCAGAGTAGCGGAATGTGTGATGCGTACAACAGAGCAGAGAACACACGTGCCCCAGCATGTGTGGCGGTACTTCCAATTGGTTTTCCAAGGCATTTAATCGATATTATTACGGAGAACGGCGATTGTTCGCAGCCAGCGCTACCACCCTTTACTGCACGACAGTGCCTTCATACAGCCAACCAGTCAATCACTTACACCCCAATGCATAGCTTTCATTTCTTTATATGCAAACACATGTTGCTGTATCCCTCATCTTAATATATACACAAGTGTGTGTGCATATACGAAAAGTGTATCTGCATATACATGCATGCGTGTATGTATACAGTGAGGGAAAAAAAGTATTTGATCCCCTGCTGATTTTGTACGTTTGCCCACTGACAAAGAAATGATCAGTCTATAATTTTAATGGTAGGGTTATTTGAACAGTGAGAGACAGAATAACAAAAAAAATCCAAAAAATGCATGTCAAAAATGTTATAAATTGATTTGCATTTTAATGAGGGAAATAAGTATTTGACCCCCTCTCAATCAGAAAGATTTCTGGCTCCCAGGTGTCTTTTATACAGGTAACGAGCTGAGATTAGGAGCACACTCTTAAAGGGAGTGCTCCTAATCTCAGCTTGTTACCTGTATAAAAGACACCCATCCACATAAGCAATCAATCAATCAGATTCCAAACTCTCCACCATGGCCAAGACCAAAGAGCTCTCCAAGGATGTCAGGGACAAGATTGTAGACCTACACAAAGCTGGAATGGGCTACAAGACCATTTCCAAGCAGCTTGGTGAGAAGGTGACAACAGTTGGTGCGGTTATTCGCAAATGGAAGAAACACAAAAGAACTGTCACTCTTCCTCGGCCTGGGACTCCATGCAAGATCTCACCTCGTGGAGTTGCAATGATCATAAGAACGGTGAGGAATCAGCCCAGAACTACACGGGAGGATCTTGTCAATGATCTCAAGGCAGCTGGGACCATAGTCACCAAGAAAACAATTGGTAACACACTACGCCGTGAAGGACTGAAATCCTGCAGTGCCCGCAAGGTCCCCCTGCTCAAGAAAGCACATATACATGCCCGTCTGAAGTTTGCCAATGAACACCTGAATGATTCAGAGGACAACTGGGTGAAAGTGTTGTGGTCAGATGAGACCAAAACGGAGCTCTTTGGCATCAACTCAACTCGCCGTGTTTGAAGGAGGAGAAATGCTGCCTATGACCCCAAAAACACCATCCCCACCGTCAAACATGGAGGTGGAAATATTATGCTTTGGGGGTGTTTTCCTGCTAAGGGGACAGGACAACTTCACCGCATCAAAGGGACGATGGACGGGGCCATGTACCATCAAATCTTGGGTGAGAACCTCCTTCCCTCAGCCAGGGAATTGAAAATGGGTCGTGGATGGGTATTCCAGCATGACAATGACCCAAAACACACGGCCACGGCAACAAAGGAGTGGCTCAAGAAAAAGCACATTAAGGTCCTGGAGTGGCCTAGCCAGTCTCCAGACCTTAATTTCATAGAAAATCTGTGGAGGGAGCTGAAGGTTCGAGTTGCCAAACGTCAGCCTCGAAACCTTAATGACTTGGAGAAGATCTGCAAAGAGGAGTGGGAAAAATCCCTCCTGAGATGTGTGCAAACCTGGTGGCCAACTACAAGAACCGTCTGACCTCTGTGATTGCCAACAAGGGGTTTGCCACCAAGTACTAAGTCATATTTTGCAGAGGGGTCAAATACTTATTTCCCTCATTAAAATGCAAATCAATTGATAACATTTTTGACATGCGTTTTTCTGGATTTTGTTCTTATTCTGTCTCTCACTGTTCAAATAAACCTACCATTAAAATTATAGACTGATCATTTCTTTGTCAGTGGGCAAACGTACAAAATCAGCAGGGGATCAATACTTTTTTTCCCTCACTGTATGTGTGTGTACATATGGTGGATTATATATGCATATTGTGCTGTATTGTATATACATTTGTGTAAAATACGTACATGCATACGTAAAAAATTCCAATATTTCCGTCGAGTATTAATGTAATAAAATGTATAAGAAAGCAAAATCTACTTGTGAAAACAAACACGTTAATATGAGGCCAATAAGACAGCAAAGTCATTATATTCTTTAGCTCACGTATTTATTGAGATATACGTTCATATTCTTGGTTCTTTCGGTACAGTCACGTAGAAGGGAAATAATAAAATAATAATGAAACATAATAAAAACACATATAGATATACGTTAATTATTCTTGGGGCTTATTGAAAGCATTTTAACAATTTGTTTTAAAAAATACATCGCATTAAAAACTAAAATATAAAAACAAGTTGTAGCGTTGCACACAAACAGAATATCAGGCAGAGGAGTGACTGCGGAGATGGAGCGATGAGAGTAGTTTGAGCAGGAGTGAGACCAATTGTAGCATCACAGGATTGCGGTGGATGGTGGCAGTGTGAAGGGGCCTTCATCCAGTCGTGGACAGAACATGACTAATGATAGTAACAGTAACGGTGACTGCATTCGCTGCTGTTAAATGTGATCTTTAATATTTCTTATACGGTCAGTCCCCGAAATACGACTTATGAACGATCCGCACTTACGAACGAACCGCCATAAGATTGTTATTAATTTTAGCCATCCAGCTTGCAAATGTTCGTTCGTAATTACGAACCGAACCGCGGAACTATTTTGTTCAGCGAATTAATCCTCCGCAAGATGTGATGAGTCCCAGCGTCACCCTGCATGATGCACAATTACAGTGCTCCCCTTTATTGTTGAACCATAACACACATTTTATGACACTGACCGTATGTACAATTAAAGATCGAGTTCCGAGATACGAACAAATGGACTTACGAACGGATCTCGGGAACGTAACTCGCCCGCAAGTCGGGGACTGCCTGTAATTGTGTGTGCGGTAATCAGTGGCGTAGCTATCGAGTGCGCAGGCGGTGCAACTGCTCCAGCGCCCGCGGGCTGGAGGGGCCCAGCCACAGATCTACGAAGAGTGGGGACAATAAATTCCTTGCACCAGAAACCATTCCAATCATGCCACTGGCAGTTAACGAGTAGAAATTTTAACAGAAATTGCTTCATACGTGTTATATTTCATCCCGTTTTTACACAAGGGTAGAAACGATTGGCACACATGCTTTTTTCATCATTATTATTATTATTATTTATCAGGCCTGACCTTTAGTACTAATTTAAATCAATTATCTGGCGATGACCCTTCTCATTTGTTATCCGTCCTGTAACTTGGTGTGCGTTGCCCGTGATGTGTACACTTTAAAAAAACATCTGTAGAACTGGATGAAGTCCACGATATTCTCTGTGCTTATTCTTGTTATTACGCTTGTTTTACCCAGGAAACCCTCACTCAATCTCAAGACTGTTTTCTTTTTTTTCGGGAAGATCCTGCCAAGTTTTTCACAGTGTGGGGCGATGTTGCTGCTCCAGCGTAAGCCCAGTAAGAGTCATTTGCCGGTATTTGGTGTGCGTTTGGATGTTTTTGCCATTACCAGTTACCTTGTAGTTTTGTGTTTTTTTTACTTTTGGAGAAAACTGGAGAACTCGGAGGAAACCCCATGCAGAACATTGGGGAGGACGTACACACGCCACGCAGAAAGGCACCCAGATTGGGAATCAAACCCAGGGCCTTCTTGCTGCGATGTACAAGTGTTGCCACTGCGTGCCCCACTGCCACCCACTTAGACACTTTCAGGGTCCCTCAGCTTTGTGTCTTAGATGTCTTGCCTGCTACCCCCTACCTCCCCGTGTACCCCAACAACATGACTGATGGTAGTGATTGGTTTCACGGAGTAACGTACATCGAAAACACAGAGCGAAATAAGAAACATTTAAAAGTGCATCGCTTAAGCGTATCTAAACACTCGGAATATTGATGATGCGTTACAATCCAGTGCTTCTGTAATGGGATAAATCTGGGTATAGAATACTTAAACGGTACTGTGAACGAATCATCATCGATGCTCATCGAATAACACTTAGCAATGTGCAGCGTGCGTTAGAGACCTTTGTACATATGAGCTGTATAGGCACTTTGATCAAGTGGGTGTGAGGTTTTGGGACCGGTGTTCGACATTTTCCCAATCTAATATTGCAGCATTATACATTCTAGCAGGAACGTCGTCCCATAGACATCGCGATGGTCCTGGCACTTGGTGAGCACCACATTAAGAAGTCAATCATTTAATGTTTTTGACATTGGCCCCCATAATGTTAATTGGAACAAATCATCACGCTTCCCCTAACCTACTGGTGGTGTAATGATGCAAGGGACCTCCTACAGTCACGAGAGGACGCTATAGTCACTGCGATGTTAATGAAAGAGGCTCGATCCTTCGAATGAAATCGCGACCCTGAGAAAGTCGTCACAGGTGGAATGAATCACGACGCAGCGAGAGATGCATCCACCCCTGCTATAATAACACAGGCTGATCCATTTGTAGACACTTCACTAAAATAACGTGTGTGGGGGGGGGGAAATAGAGACATTTGAATTGAAAACCTTTACAAGTCTCACACCAATGACAATACACTTCTTAGACATTTGCATATTCCCCAAAATACTTTATTCACCATAGCCAATGTGCTTAGTAAGATGGTTATGAGAAAACTGAAGATATCTGTAAAGGGATCACCTTGTAGAACAAAACACATACATTAATTAACACATCCTTTGAATGTAACCATTAGTATTGCTTTCCTTTCTTAATTTCACCTTCCTTTGAAAGTAGTTGCAGCATTCGATACACATTGTGTACAACCTGTATTCTGTGAATATTAACACAAATATGGCAAAAAAACAGTACTATCAAATTAACAGTTACTCTTGTTCATTAAGGACTTTCATATCATGGTGTTGTACTGTACGAAAATACAAAGCGTAAAGTTTCATGAATGTAACATTACCATTTTTAACCTTTCTTAGTACAGCGAGCTTTTCGTGAACATATCTGCTGTCAATATTTCTTTATAAAATTGCCTTCTCAGCCAAATAGAAATTTTACGAAACTACTTACATGACTGTTATTAAAAAAAGGTACCATAGGTTGTGCTCATTTTCCATTTGTTGCATGAACATACACAAAGGTAGCTGGTTTTTGAAAGGGTCATATCAGTGTGTAATGGCTATTATTCCTGCTCCGCTTCAGCTGATTTGACCACTTTAAATATGCAATTGTGTGTTTTCTATATATCTGCACTAATTATAGCTTTGGCATTGAAATTATAAGACTGTAACCTTGTGTGTACATTTAGTTTAAGCAGAAATTGTTGTTAATTTTTAATGCATTTCATAGCTTAAAATCATATTGCTTGTACGTATCCTGCATTTGATGAATACATTTTATGTAACGCTAATATTAAGAGCAAAAACTCTCATTTTGCAATAAAAAAAGTAAGGTAGATTTTGTAATGATCGAAAAAATCAAGAATTTTTCCATGTTATCCATGCACAACTGTCTGTTAAACAAATAAATACTTATATGCATTTTCTCGTTTATTAGTCCAATGGAATATATTGTCGCATGGCGTGTGCATAGGTACAAAATGTACGTCTCTTATTATTGAAGGGGTCTCCCGCTTGTCACAGCATCAACCGTGACGCCAGCATGGGATCACAATACAGGTGCTCTTCTACTCATGAACATTCGACTTACGAACTTTCAGAGATACAAACAAATATGTCCTTATGTCCAGTTGCCTGTGCGGACCGAAGTTCAGCCACCACGCAATAGATGGCAGAGTGGTGGCATCTACATCTACAGGAGAATATACAACTTTTAAAGCCATTCCCCGTGTTTAGTGGACATGCCGTACAACTTGTTTGTAATCGACAGGAGTAAAGTTGGACTTACGAACAGACCTCTGGAACCTAGCTCGTTCGTAAGTAGGGGAGTCCCTGAAGAGTTCCAGAACTCCTCTCATCCACGACCCTATTACCCACGGCAGCAGTAGGCTCCATAAAATGCATTATCCGTGATTATCTGCAAATTCTAAGCCCGTGGATGAGAGTACAATAGCGGATAAATGCCACGGATAATCGGATCCGCGATTTGCCCCCCCCCCCCCACCCCCAATGTCGCAGATAAGAGAAGTGCTCCTCTGCTCGGACGCCCAATCCACACAGGTACTCCGTTAAAACGGAGCAGATCGATGAATTGGAAAGCTGAAAATATCAATGCGCAATCTTCGTAAAGGTGCTAAAACGAGTGCCAAACTCGGAATGCTTCTCGTGAGCCGCTTACGCTTGCCGACAGCGCCCATGTGTGACCACGAGATGAATGCCTTGAATTGCAGTATCAATTAAAACAACACATTTTTGTACGTGATGTCGCAGAACACACACACACGCACACACACGTACATAAGCACCGAATGTATTATTCGGGGTAGAGCTTTGACAAAGTGTGATTTGTGCAGCTGCGCTATCAACCGAGTGGCCTCACTTTGATTCCAGGCAACAGCCTAACACCATTCATAATAAAGGTTTTTGGGTTAGATCGCGTTTATTTATAAATGTGTCGTAACCCTCCACCACCCGACACGGCCAATCAGCAAAAAAAGTGTCACGTTGACAAAAGACAAATAATTCACTACTTCAGCCCACCGGTGTGTTGAAGAGTCAATCCACATTTACAGTTTGAGTTCGACGTTTCGCTGGTAAATACTTCCAGCATCATCGGGCAATTCGCCAGAATGGTAAAGCCCTCGCTTGCTCCCGGTTTTATATAGAGCAAGCGAGGGCTTTACCATTCTGGCGAATTGCCCGATGATGCTGGAAGTATTTACCAGCGAAACGTCGTACTCAAACTGTAAATGTTGTGGATTCACTCTTCAACACACCGTTGGGCTAAAGTAGTGAACTATTTGTCTTTTGTCAACGTGACACTTTTTTTGCTGATTGGCCGTGTCGGGTGGTGGAGGGTTACGACACATTTATAAATAAACGCGATCTAACCCAAAAACCTTTATTATGAATAATATTGGTCGTGTTAAAGCCTACGTGTTAAACAGCCTAACACCAGTGGCAAGCTCTCCGATCCGATCCTAAGCCCACCTTCGGCAGCCCGCACTGACCAACGTGATGACGTATGGTTGAGATCAGCCCCGTGGTGGACACAGCGTGCGGAGGACTTCATCCGCCAGCGCGTTGACAAAGCTGTAGATGATTATTGTTATTTGGATTCAAGTATATGCGTGTGAACCTGGGCACGTGGATTCAGTTCTGGGCATGCACGGCATCAATGGGAATTGCTCTTTGAACCGGGGGGCCTTGGGCTTCCCATAGGTTCACCGAACGTAAATTGATTTGTGAATCCACTGCTTAAGGTCCCACCCCCCCCCCCCCAACCCCCTATGCCGTGTCATGGTGGATGTTTGACCATACTTCACCAGGCTGGTCAGTACAGGTTGGTGGTGGCAGGTGGAACGCGGGGACCAGTTGAGATATCAGCCGCCGCTGGTGTTAGACGTGGCCGGGGAATCGAACTAGGGGGTTCGCGTTCATAGCGCAGTGTGCTAACCACTGCGCCACCGCTCCCCGCCCCGTGCTGTGTTATCGTGTGCGAATATCAACAATGGGTGATGCTCATGGGAGCGAACCATGATTGTGGCCACACCGCCCACGTGCCCTGTGCCGACCTGGATACACGTACGTGCCCGTTAGGAGCACTGGCCTAGTCTATCAGGCTAAACAGGAGACATTCATCCTCATGTGTGCTTGAGCAAGAAGACTCAATGCAACTGTATCAAAGCCAAAGTTTTTTATTGAACAAGTAAGCATCCACCAATGCAGACGCACGCTTGCGTTCTGCTTTTCACCGCGTTAAAACACACCGTGGAGGTCGCGGTCTTAATGTCAGCACTTTCATTTCGGACATTGCTTATCCACTGCAACGATGATGAGACGATGCTCAGTTCATACGCACGTGACATGGTCATCAATTCGAGTTTTTTAAAGTGTACCTAAATGTGAGTGTATGTGTACAGCACCAGTTGACGTGACGCATGATCATGTTGCGAATATGCTAATGCATGGAATGGGTTACACTATGAACATGGAATGGAGTCGTGTTGATCGGAAATTAGAGAAAGATTAAACTAAAAATAAAACAAATCACGACGTTTCGGGCGCAACACAAGCGTCCGAAACGCCGTGATTTCTTTTATTTTCTACCTGCGTGACTTTACCGAAAGAACCAAAGAGTATGGATTCCTGCAGTCACGAACGCTTCAAATCAAGAAAGATGAAACTGTTCATTGATATTCTTTGGGTCTTTCGGTAAAGTCACGTATTTTCTTTGAACCTATCTACGTGACTTTACTGAAAGACCCAAAGAATATGAATTCCTGCAGTCACGAATGCTTTAAGTCAAGATTGTTAATTGATACTTTTATGAAGAACACGTGGAGCAGCATGCAGATTTTATGTTGACAATCGTACGCTCAACATTTTTTCTTTGACTAGTGAAAAGCATTATGAGATAGGTTTAAATTAGACTTAGGAGGAAATAAACAACTTTTAACAGGAGGCAGATTCAAATGAAAAGTCTAAATCGTGCAAGTTGGCAGCTGCTGCCAATTTTAAACTCACGTGCTAACTTAATTCGGTTTTATGAAGCACGCGCGAGGAGGCTTTCTCAACACGCGGTGCTCACATGAACGCTACGATCTGCCTTGTGGGTGTTGAATTTCAAACGGTGGCAGGTACTGAAACATAAGTTGACTATTACATTTTGGTTTGTAAATAACGTTCAGCTGAATGAAGTTTAATTCACCTCCGACTATAATAATGCAGGCCGGCTATGCCGACGAGTATATTTTTTTTCCCCTGCAGTCATAATTCCCTGAATTCCAAAACTGGGCTCACACAACTGTGAAAAGTCATTCGTTCTTTGCCAGGCGATAACGGTTGAACGCAGGTGCAAAACTTGCTCAAGAGGCAACGTTCAGAACCCCCCCCCCCGCCAACTCTTCGATGCGTTTTCGGGTTGCACTTGCGCGCCGTTCGGCACGACGTCTGACGTTTAGCTCCAACACCGACAACAAAAAATCCAATCTTGAAGAAGAATGAGCTCGCAGCACGTGCAAGCGGATCGTCAACGGGTGCCGAACTTCGCGCCGTACAACCCGCAACCACGTCGAGGAAGCACAGCCACACAACCGCAGCCGCACAGCTGCACAACCGCACAGCCGCACAACCGCACAGCCGCACAACCGCACAACCGCACAACCGCACAGCCGCACAACCGCACAGCCGCACAACCGCACAGCCGCACAACCGCACAACCGCACAGCCGCACAGCCGCACAGCTGCACAACCGCACAGCCGCACAACCGCACAACCGCACAGCCGCATAGCCGCACAACCGCACAGCCGCACAACCGCACAACCGCACAGCCGCACAACCGCACAGCCGCACAACCGCACAGCCGCACAGCCGCACAGCCGCACAACCGCACAGCCGCACAACCGCACACAAAAATAAAACCCACGTCGCCGTTGACGAACGCTCGCTGCTCCACTGGCGTGTGTGGTTCCACATCGTTACCGCGCGACAAAAAATATTAATAATAATATTGTTCCTTAAGCAAACAGTAATACCATACGAAGAGCAATACATACCGTGTAGTAAAACGTTTCATTTCAGTTCAACTCGAGGCTAACGCTTGTGGTTGGCTTCGGGGGCCGTCCATAAATGACGTCACGCGATTTTGGACGATTTTTGACCCTGCCCCCCCCTCTAATGACGTCACAAAGATCTGCACCCCCCCTCCCCCCAAAACGATATTTCCATTTTGAAAATAAAACATGCTTCAAATCGCTTTAAACTATTGTCATTGTAGTGCGTATTTAATGTGGCGCTGCACTCTGATGTCGTAGGAGAAAACATTTATTAAAGAGTCGATTTCATTAAGTAAAACGTGTAGTCTATATTTATTTAAAGTTGCGCATTTTGATGTGACGTCACATTTCTCAACCCCCCCCCCGCCCCCCGCCTCGTCACACATCGTCACAAATGTCTGCCCCCCCCCCTCCCCCCCCAGGTGCGTGACGTCATTTATGGACGGCCCCTTAAGTAAACTGCAAAACGGTACTAAGAGCAATACAAACCGTGTAGTAAAACGTCTCAATTGAGTCCACCTCGGCTTAAGGGCAAGCCGGGGTGGCTCCGTAGCATTCCTCGTTGGGCCAGGCCACGAAGTTGTTGTCGAACTGAGCCGAGCGGAAGCACTGGGCCGCCTGCAGGTCGCACCCGCAGACCAGCTTGGCGCAGTCGTCGTTCTGCTCACCTGTTTGGGGGCGAGAAAGCGAGTGGGTTGACATTCATCATCATCATCGCATGTCGGCTCCTCACCTTTCCCCACCAAGGCTTCATGCGAAGCGTATCGATGACACTCTGCTCGTGTCGGTTCGCAGATCGATTTGGGCTTGGCACTCGATCGATACACCTCGCCCCACCCCCCCCCCCCTCCCCCCCCCCCCCGTGTGATTTATGGTATGTGTGCGCGGATGTACGTTGAACTTATTTCGCACCGCACGTAGCCGACCGTGCTAAATCGGAGGTGCACTGGAAGGAGGTGCATGTTGAACTTATTTCGCACCGCACGTAGCCGACCGTGCTAAATCGGAGGTGCACTGGAAGGAGGTGCATGTTGAACTTCTTTCGTGCCGTACGTAGCCGACCGTGCTAAATCGGAGGTGCGGGGGGGGGGGGGGGAAGGAATCGATGGTGCGGGGGAAGGACAACAAGCTAAACGCAAAAAAGCAGGTTCTAAAGAAACAAGTTTCGATCTAGATTTTCAAAGAAATAAAATAAACCCAGGTGACCACCGGATTGCCGCTCGCTATCCTTCGGTGAAACGCACTTCACCCCGAACGCTGGAGGCGATGGTGGTGTGGGGGGTGCCTCTCGTTGCAGAGCTTTCGCCGTTCGGGGCGAGTGTCCGTCGCTGTACGAGGCACCGCGGGGGTGGCAGGTGGAGTGTGAACCCACACAACACTGCACCGCCACCGACTGCACGGCGGACCTCGGGAGATCCCGTGACTTCGTTTGAAAATGGGGCGTCGCGGGGCATGTGTGTGCAAGGCGTCACGGCCAGATTTCAACATTTACACCGTATTTACAGAATATTCACACACATTTCTACGCATTTTTCCCCTTGCTGGCAAAAACCGTATCCGTCTGTGAAACATAGCGCCCTTCACGATAGCGCTTACACTGCAAGAATGGCAAATACAAAATGTACTTATTATTGTTATTATATAAACTCACTGCACGTGGCCTGCATGCTGTTGCACTCGTAGTTGTAGTATTTCATGTACGGATTGCAGCCGGCTTTGATCGCCTTCCCATAACAGCAGTCGTGGGCATGACAGCACCTGGTAATAAAAATACACGATATTTTAAAGACATTCATTTAAATCTCCGATGGGTTTTTGGGGTTATACAGCACAACCGCCAAAACCTACGTGACAGTATACATTCGATCCCGACCCTGACCCTTGTTATATATTTGGAGTTTGCCTGTGTCTCTCTCCCAGTGGTCTCGTGGATTTTTCTCCGGGTCCTTCGGGTTTTCCCTCCACATTTAGAAACACGTTCAGATTACGTGGCTGCTATAAATGTCCACGTGACAAGCCACTCCGTTGGGTTATCGTGGCCAGGTTGCTTCTTAAAAAGAGCTATATAGCTCAGTGGGCCCTACCTGGTAAAATAAAAAATAAAGTATTGTATGGCACCAACATGCCTTTGAAATAACTTGCAGGAAGGAAAGTATAGAGAGTAACACACACAACCTACCAGTCTGTCTTGTCTACCGGACGTCCGTGGCCTCCCATTCCACAATAGCAGCCATAGCCATTGTACTCCAGAGGGTATATGCCCACCACACACTCGATCAGACGCCCGAACTGCAGAATGTTCCGCCTCTCCTTCGCGGGCGACACCGCGTGTGACGAGTACCCGCCAGCTGAGAGGGGTGAGAGCGGATCACAACCGCGTGGTTAACTTCTGGGAGGCTCCTGGGTAGGCAGCCCCAGTCTCAATCCCGTAGCTGCTCCCTCGGAAAGGACACGAGCCCCGAAACGTGATGACGACGATGCCGTGGCGTCTAGCCACGCTTTGCTTTAAAAGGCACCCACTCACCCACCCACCACCCCCAGTGGCAGCTGTCCCTGTGCCTGCTATAGATTTCCACATGATCGGGGCCACTTTGTTGAGCTATCATTTGTGGCTATGGGCCTTACCTGGTAAAAACAAAACAAATATTTTTTTTATCGTTTCGTTTTAGACCCAGCAGCCGGTCTGCAAATAGACATGAGTGGACAAGGATGGGGCAATAATTTCAATGTATAATCCCAGGACTTTGATTCAGACAATTTGGAGGCAACGTCAATTTTACGTGATCTAACCCAAAAACCTTTATTGTGGATGATATTGATCGTGAAAGCCTACGTGTTAAATTGGAGGCAACGGTTGGTAGATTAAGTATATTTGTGAAAGGCAATTTTAGGGCAATCGCCAGCAATTGACACTGGAAATGCGTTGACTGCGAACAGCTGCGACAACCTGGCAATGTTAAAGGATGACCGAGTTGAATGCAGCCAATGAAAACGGAGTTTGTTGAAAAGTGATGAACAATGACTGGTCCGACAGAGCGCACAACCTTGGGAAATCATGTGATGTTTGTGATTTTCTTTGGGAAGTTGTCATCCTCGTGGCCCCCCTAGAGGGAGCAGCATGCAGGTTTGTCTAAATTCAGGCAGCTATTTTGTTTGACACAATAGAACATGATGCAGCAGCAATTGCAGTTGACAATTGCCAGAAACAATGGCCATTAAATTACACTACTTTATCATGGCCTTAATGTTGTCCGTTCAAATTCTGGCCAGGGGTTGGCACACAGCCCATCGTCCCTCCAGTTTAAACAACTGATTTGGTGAAACTGGTGGTGGCAGTGGTCCACAAGCACAGATAACAAAAAAACACACACATTCGTCAATAGCACTGCCTTCAAAAGAAAAAGTATATAACAGGTGACGTTTCGTGAAATGGCCCTTAAAAGCACATGCCACACAGGTAGAGTCTGGCCTCTATATATACTAAAGAAGGGCAATTTTGCTGAAATATCGTCAATTACATACTTTTTAATTAAAGGCAGTGTTCTCGACAAGTGTGCTGCGTTTATTTTTCCATCATCCCTACAGATGTTGACGAAAAGTAACACTTTCTCTGATCCAGAGAAAGGCCCTAGCTTTGGAATGTGGTTTAGATTATTTGGCAACCATAAATTCCCACGTATAATAAGGCCACTTCGATCAGTTGTGGCCAGGTCACCTCTGAAGAAGAGCAAATAGCTCAGTGGGCTTTGCCTGGTAAATACAATAGTTTCGTTTTTGTTTTAGTTTCGGCTCAGGGCCACCAAAAGGGGACACACATAGTCTCGTTATTGTTTGGACAAGAAGATGCTTTGACGTCCTTTGATATCTGCTCTATTCTGGTGAGACTTTTCAAATCACCAAAAGGTGTTTTCAGACAGGTCATTTTCCATCGGTGTGTGGATAACAATCCACGTGGGCACGGTAGGCGGGCAACTCAGAGAGCGGCGTTATTGTGAGGATAATTACTTAATGGCTGTGTTTTTTTTTATTGAAACCATCTTAAACTTCAATGAAACCGTACAAATTGCCCATTGCCCTGGCAATCGCTGACATAAATGGCACGTGTAAACATGCTCCCTTCGAAAGCAATTTTGTTAATTGTATAGTTTGAACAGCCGATCTTGACCGCTTCTAATTCACGTAATAATGTATAATTATGCGCCCAATCGTTTCCGCACTTGCTCCATAAACGACGCAATATTCCACTTTTACCAATTCAAGTTAACGAGCCACTTCAAATATGATTGTACAGTACGTGGTTTAAAAAAAAAAAACTGAAATCCGCAATTGGCAGCGAACAATTGACAGCAAACCGTGGGCCACAACGTTGGAATTGCTGAAATGACAAAACCCCTCATTGTATCATCGTCGTTACCAACCACGGTCAATCCGCAGCTTCATGTAGGGCTCCTTGAGCAACTGCCATCTCTCACATTCCTACCACGGGAAAGTCGTAGAGCACCGGCCGATCAGCATTACGAATACAGTCACAAAAAGTGCGATGTACGACTGTTTACATTTCAGCATTGGAAATGTTGATAGGTGTAAACGTTGATGGATCTTAAACCTGATGTGTGTGTGTCTGGAGAAGCTCAAAGCTGCAATGAAATGGCAGTGTTTGTAATGCGGTTGTGATAGAATCGAGAAATGTCAGAGATACGGATGGCAATGTTTTAAAATTAGCTAATAAACATGCATGCCTCTAAAATATCAAAGTATTGTATGAAAACATATGGAAATAAATTAACAAGCGTTAAGAGACAAGGGGAAATATACAATATAACTAATAATAAGTAACCACACTAACATAGGTAATATCAACAACTTGATTTTCTACACTCGAGATACCCATTGATGTAATGCATGATACAAAATAAAATACTGGAGTAAAATATATCAGTGACACCGGTCAGCCTAAACCATCATCCCTTTGGGGTGATTGGAATCAGTAGTAACATTCTCTGGAACGTTAGCTGTCGATTCCATATACTGGCCCCTGCCATATGAATGTGGAATTTCCGTCGATGTCTTCGTGGCTGCCAATAGAGAAAGAGGCCAATAATTTTAAAGTGGTATCATGTGTAATATTAATATTGTGTCCATAAGCCAATACGTATACGGTACTGAATGTTCTAACAGTTATCATATTCTTGGTTCTTTCGGTAAAGTCACGTAGAAGGGAAACAATAAAATAATAATAGAATATAACAACAAAATTCAAGAATTACTCAACGATGGCAGCTATATAAAAATAAAAAGAGATCCCACCAACAGCCTCGTCATACAAACCAACAAAATCATTTCTGATTCAACCGCATTAATTGATCAAACCAAACAGTTCTCGTTGAAACCTTCTGCTGCCAGGCCACCAAGATTATACGGCTTACAAAAATACATAAAGAAGATACACCCCTTCGTCCCATCGTCTCTACTATCAACTCCCCCACCTACAAACTGGCTCGTTTTCTGTCTGAAATCCTGCGGCCATTCACTGGAAAAACCACTTCTGCGGTACAAAATTCTACTCACCTGGTATCGACAATCACGGGTATTTCCCTGTCCCCAGACGACCTGCTTGTCAGTTTTGATGTAGTTTCCTTATTCACCAAAGTTCCTGTACCTGACACCATCGCAATCATTGAAGACTTGGTTCATCAAGGACTAAACACTGAGGTACCCCCCTGGTGAGACACTGCTTAACCAATACATACTTCACTTGGAATGGTTCTAAAAACAAACTGAGGGCACCCCAATGGGCTCCCCCCTATCTCCGGTTGTAGCCAACATTTTCATGATAAATTTGAGACTGACGCCATCCAGACTGCCACTCTGCGCCCAACCTTATGGAAGAGGTACGTGGATGACACTTTTGTCATCTGACCACATCAATTCCATACACCCAGCCATCAGATTTACCATGGAAGTCGAAAAAGATGGCAAGCTGCCTTTTTTGGATGTCCTAATAAAAAAAGAGACCTGATGGTTCAATGAGCCACTCTGTCTACAGGAAAGCTACCCATACGGATGCTTACCTGAACCCGGATCCCACCACCATCCATCCCAGAAAAATTCCCTCATCAAGACTCTGCACCATAGAGCCCAATGCATATCCGACCAGGAACACATAGCCAGTGAACTCAAGCACGTACACCAAGCTCTTAAGGCTAATGGTTACTCTGACTACACAATCCGCAAAGCTATCACTCCAACCATGAAGAAGGACCCTCTTCAGGAGCCATTCAAAACCATCACTTTACCCTACATTGCAGGGATCACAAAAAATATCTCCAAAATATTGAATAAACACAAGATCCAGGTCCGTTTCAACACATTACATAAAATCCGTGATCTGGTTCCGTCTGTAAAATATATGATTCCGGACATACAGTACCCTGGTGTCTACAAACTAAGTTGCCTCTGTGGTAGTAGTTACATTGGAGAAACCAAACGACATGTCTCGGACCGCATCCGTGAACACAAAGCAGACCTAAAACACGGTAGGACCAACACCTCGGCCGTGGCAGATCACTGTTATAATTCAGTAGGCTCACATGACATTGACTTCTCCAAGACAGAGGTTATCTGAAAACCATCTGGCTATCATGAGAGATTCGTTCATGAGGCTATCCATATATACTGTACAAATACAGAGACAATTTCAACCGAGAAGATGGATTCTGGCTTAGCAATCATTGGAAGGATTTGATAAACCATTTCGGGTCTTAATTGATTGATCACGCTTAAGGTGGCTTTCAGACCGCATCCATTATTTTTCGTCTCCCCCCTCCTCTTTTCCGAACATAGATGGACTCGTCCATCTGAACAAACTGCCAAATCGCTCTCCGTGGTGCTAACGTTAAAAATAACCGCCACTTTTTTAAATTTTCTTGTTGTGGTTTTCACACCTGATGATGATTGCTTGTGTTGCAGTCGAAACGTCGTGAGAATTTTATTGCTTTATATTTTTATTATTTTATTGTTTCCCTTCTACGTGACTTTACCGAAAGAACCAAGAATATGAATCCCTGCAGTCACGAAAGCTTTAAATCAACAGTTATCATATTAACATTATCTATATTGCAATAAACAAACATGAAATGAGTATAATTGTATTATATCACCATGTAATTAATCACATGGTAAAATATTCCTTAACATGCGCATCGACAAGGACACATCGACAATAGCCATATATATTTTTAATATATACACAGCTGCAGTGTTATTCAAAATTAATACATTCATCAAAATTAAATATCCCCACACAGCAACAATAACACTGATACTGTATATAAAAACATAACCAATACAGGCCTCGCCATCACTATCACAAGAGACATCGTTGCCACCGCCAATCCCTATGAAACCCAACAGCACCACGGCGAACATCATCGCATCGGCCCATCGGAGACGGCGTACTCTACCTTGGGTGAATATGAAGGCAAGCAGTAGCGCATTGAGCCACACGGACATGCTTGCTGATTCCTGGGGAGATCTATTGGCGCAGACAGCCCCGATTAAACCAGATAACCCTGATGGAGAGATGCCGCTGCCGCCGCTGCTGCTGCTGTTTGTTATAAGCTCTCCCGCTAGCTTTGCTCAGTTACCCAATCTGCAATTGCAACAGCTCCCGTGTCTATTATCACAAATTGCCGCGCTAGCGTGTGGCACGCGTGTCCGCGTGATGTTATGCTTGCTGGCAGTATCAACCCTGCCTGGCCTGCTGCCCTACACACGTTTTTTGTTTTGCAGTTTGTGCTAAAAAAATACAGAATCGTGGCCGGGTACACGAACAAAGGTTTGCGAACGGTCGCTTCAAACGTGTTTGTGTTTGTTGCCCGTTCCGTGGCTTCGGTGTCGGCAGCAATGCAGAGGTTTGCCCCCTGGAGGGAAGAGTCATCATCGCAGCCCTTCGCTTCGCTCGTTGGTCATTGAAGTCGGCGGTGTTCGATCTTTAAATGCCACGCGTTGCAGTGAATATACTCTGCTCAGGGTTTTACTCCGTGGGATATATCCGGGGTAGAGTTCCGGAAAATAACACCTTTCTGCCCTCCCACCTCCTTCAGGGAGGGCAGGGATCATTGATAAATAATTACCTATCCTTTGAGTCTTTCGGTAAAGTCACGTAGATAGAAAAAAAAATATAAGAAAAATATCACGACGTTTTGATCGCAACACAAGCGGTCTTCATTTTTATTATTATTAATGGAGTGTGTTATTAACTTTATTTTTGTGTCCTGGTCACAAAAGCAAAAGTTTGTGGGAATTAATAGCCATGTTCTGTACTTTTGAAGCATAAGCAATTAGAAAATAACACTTACTACCCAGGAATTAGTTTTCTTCTACACAGTGAATTATCGCCGCTCTAAGTCTATGAGCAGAAACCCAAATGCATTGTATTGCATCTACTGAACTGTAGATGGCGACTTATGAATGCTAAATTGAGACTTTTCTGGAAGGCATGATTTTATTAGTCGTGTAGTGGTGATGGATTTAAGTGGCGTGAACTATAAACAATATACCTCTTTGTACATCCGTGTAAATTTAAACGTGAGCTCGGACCAGAGTGTTACTTGTGTTGAATCAATGCAGCTAATATTATCCACTGATGACTGTGAAAAATATACATTGTTTTCCTTAGTTTTATGTGGAGAGACAGACTATGAAGGAGACGTAGTTGCCTCTTTCATATGCCTGTTTGTGTGGCTGAGATAACTAACATTGATGGAATTACATATTCGCCCCAACCATTCATTTGTATTTGAATTGCATTCATTCAGCGTGTGTAATCGCCAAGCCATGCGATAACATCCTGGGTTAAATTAAAATAATAATGTATTTTATTGAGTGCAAGCTCCCATTGATCGATCTTCAACTAATACACAAGAATCACATCAGGCCACTCACAATACGGTACTGTGCGGTACATTACAACTCCCCAGATTAAATTACCTTCTGTTATCCAGATAATGGTTCAGGCATTAAGTGTTGACATTTAACATCCGTAATTGTTTCATCTGTAATTTTTGAATTAACGATGTTTCCAACAACTGTAATAACCGAGCACTGTGATGAATGGGAATGCACCTGCCAGCATTGTATACTCACTGCTATGTCGGGACCAAAGACGATTTATATTCTGTTGAACGAGTGCCCATGCCCATTTGTTCACGTGAAATGATTGTGTGGGAAGGAGGCTCATGCGCAAAGTTACTGACCACGTGTTGGACATTTTAAATTATGCAAATAAATGCTGAGGTTGCAAATGTAATTATGGGTGAGCAACTGGTGGTACACAACATGTGTGTTACAACTCTTGCCAAATAAACGTACCTCACTTGGAACCCTTCCCACGGTGACTCACAGGAACAACAACCGTAGGGGCGAACAGGGCTTCAATTAAGAATTATGTGGGATGCAATGTTGGCATTTGTAACGATAACATATACATACAAAATTAGTTTTGAACTGAAAAACAACAGGAATCGCCGCGTGAACTGCATGTCACGATGACATTAAACATTTTATTTACCTTTTCTGCAGACAGCCTTGTGATGGCCAACCAGCTCGAAAGAGCTGAGTGTGTTGAAATAAAAAAAAACATTTATAACAACACACCAGTACGGCCAATGGAAAACATTTACATGAACGCGACCTGTTCGTGTTAACGTGGTATTTAAAACAAAAACTAGACAGTAGAATGGACACAAAGCAACTGTATACCATACTCTTTGGTTATTTCAGTAAAGTCACGTAGGTACAACAATAAAACAAATATATCACGACGTTTCGATCGCAAAACAAGCGGTCGTCCTCAAAATATAATCCAGCAGTTCCCTGCAGGATTAGTTCCCTGCTGGATTAGTTCCCTGCAGGATTAGTTCCCTGCAGGATTAGTTCCCTGCTGGATTAGTTCCCTGCAGGATTAGTTCCCTGCAGGATTAGTTCCCTGCTGGATTAGTTCCCTGCTGGATTAGTTCCCTGCTGGATTAGTTCCCTGCTGGATTAGTTCCCTGCTGGATTAGTTCCCTGCTAGATTAGTTCCCTGCTGGATTAGTTCCCTGCTAGATTAGTTCCCTGCTGGATTAGTTCCCTGCAGGATTAGTTCCCTGCAGGATTAGTTCCCTGCAGGATTAGTTCCCTGCTGGATTAGTTCCCTGCTGGATTAGTTCCCTGCTAGATTAGTTCCCTGCAGGATTAGTTCCCTGCAGGATTAGTTCCCTGCTGGATTAGTTCCCTGCTGGATTAGTTCCCTGCTAGATTAGTTCCCTGCTGGATTAGTTCCCTGCTGGATTAGTTCCCTGCAGGATTAGTTCCCTGCTGGATTAGTTCCCTGCAGGATTAGTTCCCTGCTGGATTAGTTCCCTGCAGGATTAGTTCCCTGCTGGATTAGTTCCCTGCTGGATTAGTTCCCTGCTAGATTAGTTCCCTGCTGGATTAGTTCCCTGCTGGATTAGTTCCCTGCTGGATTAGTTCCCTGCAGGATTAGTTCCCTGCTAGATTAGTTCCCTGCAGGATTAGTTCCCTGCTGGATTAGTTCCCTGCTGGATTAGTTCCCTGCTGGATTAGTTCCCTGCTAGATTAGTTCCCTGCTGGATTAGTTCCCTGCAGGATTAGTTCCCTGCAGGATTAGTTCCCTGCTAGATTAGTTCCCTGCTGGATTAGTTCCCTGCTGGATTAGTTCCCTGCAGGATTAGTTCCCTGCAGTATTAGTTCCCTGCAGGATTAGTTCCCTGCAGGATTAGTTCCCTGCAGGATTAGTTCCCTGCTAGATTAGTTCCCTGCAGGATTAGTTCCCTGCTAGATTAGTTCCCTGCTGGATTAGTTCCCTGCAGGATTAGTTCCCTGCAGGATTAGTTCCCTGCAGTATTAGTTCCCTGCAGGATTAGTTCCCTGCAGGATTAGTTCCCTGCAGGATTAGTTCCCTGCTAGATTAGTTCCCTGCAGGATTAGTTCCCTGCTGGATTAGTTCCCTGCTGGATTAGTTCCCTGCTGGATTATTTTTTCCGCTTGAGGACAACCGCTTGTGTTGCGATCGAAACGTCGTGACATATATTATTTTTTGTTGTATTTTTATACCTACATGACTTTACCAAAATAACCAATGAGCATGCATTCCTGTAGTAACGAAAGCTTCATATTAAGATTCAAATGTACACCAGTTTCATAATATTTAGAGCTCATCAGTACAGTGAAGCCCTCCCCCACCTGGCCTGGAGCGACACAACTGGCAGAGCCTCAGAACAACAATGTTTACCAACAAATCAACGATTGTACTGCCTTTTGTTAATCCACCACGAGAAGAATGCCACATTAAAATGCCGGTTGTGTGACTGTGCCTCGCCACACACTGGACAGTGTAGGGGGTGAGTGAAGGTGCGCCCCTGAATGTTTCAAATATTACGAAACGAAACTATTTTTTTTACCAGGTAAGGCCCGCTGAGCTATGAAGACTTTTTTCAGAAGCGATCTGGCCACAAATGGCAGACACATACTCGAAAGCCACGTTGATTCTAAACGTGGAGGGGAAAACCTGCACAACCCGGAGAAGAATCTACGCGACTTCGGGGAGAACGTACAAACTCCAAAAATACAGCAGGCGTCAGGGTCGGGATCATCGGGATCGAACTCACGACCTCCTGCATACCAGGCGAGGTAGTTAACATCTCCTAGCCACCGTGGCGCCCTAGAATGTATATTAAGCTGACTGGGAGTCCAACTCAGGGGGTTTACAATCATGGGGCAATGCGCTAACCATTGTGCCATGCTCCACTCCCAGACAAATTGACAATAATTTTCATATAAATATCTCGAAGTACAGACAGTCCCCGGGTTGTGGAAGACCAGGACTTACGGAAATCCGCCTTACGGAAATTCTGCCGTAAACCATGTTCCAAAAATTCAATACGCGGAAATGTTTGCGTTACATTAGCGCTTGAGCTTCACTAGGATTAAGGTAAACGGAATTTATTTGGATTTTGCGTGGGGGAATTGCTCAGCTTCCGGGATAAGGATCGCTCTCGGGAACCTAACTCCCTTCCGTAACCCGCGGACTGAACGTAGTGACTCCGTCCTCCATTGCTATCAGCCATTATCGCCACATGTTTTAGCATCAACTGCCATGAGCATTGTGATATCATTGTTCATTATTATTTTATTGACATCGAAATAATATTTGCAACGTACAAAAGTATCATTGTTATCAACTGTTTGTCTTTATTCACGGTACAATATTTACAAAAAAATGTTTACCAAAAAAGGAAAATTACATCTAATAGCCATCGTATATTCATCTAAATGTATACACTTTTAGTTTTTTCTCATGAACATCTCGTCACTATTTCTATTTACAAATGCCATAAATGACACTGTAATGAGCGTCTCTAATTTTAACATAATTAAAACCCCATCGTGTTTACCATCAACACTGTGGAAGATGCAGTACTACACTAAGTATGGCACTTTACAACATCGCAAACCCATCACATATCCGCACAGCCCGATTCACTGCCCACACACAGCGCTGTGCCGTATTGGTGTGTGGTGCACCTTTTCATTTCACAAATACAACCATAGATAGTCACAAATGTGCTTTGTGCACCGCTGCCAAAGTAGTATTACAAAACATGACTTTTCACATTTTCAAATGTGGCCGTGTGTTTTTCACGTCGCATAAGTTTGCTTGCTTCTTAAGCACAGCCAAAACATTTCCCCCCCACCCCCCACGTTTAAAGCAGTTTGCGCTTCACGTGTTGTCCAGTGATCCTATTCGTGTATCGCGACGGAAACTGTCATTTTCCAGGGACGTTCACATATCCGACAAATATCTGAGCATAAACCATCACGCGAGCTCCAGTCGGTCAACCTCGCAGCGGTGTTTTGCTAGCCATCGAATAAAAAAATGGTCACTGCATCGCGCGCTTTGTCCATATATACATGTGAGCTTCTTTCGCACTTTATTTAGCTTTACCTTGCTAATCGGAGGTGCGGGGGAAAGGACGTCTGGAACGTTCTTCTGATATTAAGAAGCCACCGGAGCTATGCACTTTTAAATCTAGATTGAAAACGAATTTCTTCAGAACTCCTTGTTGTTAACATTATGAGACCTCCTTTGCCAGAAACTGGATATAGGAATAGGTCACGTTGACTTTACCGAAAAAACTAAGAATATGAATTACTGCAGTCACGAAAGCTTTAAATCAAGGTTTTACCCTTTTAACTGGCACAAAAACTGACACCTTTATTCAAGGCATCATGTTTGCAATGACCACAACACAAGCAGTCAAAATGCAAACAAAAAAGAGACAACTCTGATAATGATATGCACTGTCCTTGAATTTGATTGGTCCACACCCGAGACAGCTTTTCTTAGAGCCTAGTCTCTGGTCCAACACCAATGGAGACTAGGCTCTAAGAAAAGCTGTCTCGGGTGTAGACCAATCAAATTCAAGGACAGTGCATATTATTATCAGAGTTGTCTTTTTTGTTTGCATTTTGACTGCTTGTGTTGTGGTCATTGCAAACATGATGCCTTGAATAAAGGTGTCAGTTTTTGTGCCAGTTAAAAGGGTAAAACCTATTCCTATAACTGCTTGTTGTGTTTAGCTTGTTGTATTAGCCCAGCACTACCGATTATCACGGTTGGCTACATACGGTGCGAAAGAACTTCAACATAAATAGATTTTCACTTATCCCACCTATACCGGCAGTCCCCAACGAGTAAGATATGCCACGTACTGTAAAGCAGGTTACAACCGTTTGTGATTAACTCCCTGTAAGTAACAACACCATATGTCGATTTGCCATGCTGGTGGTATATTTAAAGAGACTCAAGAGCTCTAGTCGTGGGTAAAAGCTTCCCGTGAGATTAACCGTGGGATTGTGAGAAAAAGCTGTATAAAAAAGTAATTGTTATGTGTGTGTGTCTTTGTGCTTTGGGAAGAATATACCGGCTCTCAAATGCATACTCATAGCAGCCAGCACACAATGTAGCATTTTCACACAAAAGGTTACGTTCTGCATATTTTTTTCCCATTTTTTTTACCGAAGAAACCATTACTGTTACGTTGTTTTTCACAAAACTGTGGCTCATAGGGCTTATTTGCCCAAACGCAAGTAAACACACAAGGGACTGCGCTGGCAGTGGTGTGCAAGCATGGGCCCTAAACACCTCCCAATAATCGTGAATATAACTACAGTCACTGCATTTTTCAAGCCTTGTTTTATTTTGCATGGGCGTCACCGCTCACACACCCCGTGGGTAGTTCTTAATTTTCCGTACAGATTTTGTATTTTTCCACGCTTCAAACGTCTTGAAAACCGACGAATTTTTGAATGTTCGACTTCGTTAAATGCCACGTAGAGGTGTGAGTCTTATTTTTTTTACGAATACTAGGTGCAGATGTTTAAAGCGAGACAATGGTATATATACTTCTTTTTACAAATACGCAGTTGATCACACATTGGCGAGAAAATAGCGCTGGCAAAAGCTACGAACAAAGTCTCGGTGCATGCCACTGTTACATCACGTAAAAAAAAAACATCATTCCCAATATCGCTCACAACTGATGTTCAAACTCAGCGCTCAGCGGCTTTGCACAGCTGTGCGCTAACCAACGCGCCACCACTCCATCCACTTGGAACTATCGGAGGGCGTTTGTCCTTCAAAACGTCTTACTAGGACATCGACATCATCATTACCAGCCATGGTACATCCAACTGCTAGACGAAGGCCACACTGTTGCCATCCCTCACGGCATTAGAATGACGATCTTTGTTTCTCGCGCACGCGAGCCCAACTTTATCGCTCCATCTCTCTTGACAACGTAATTGACGATTTGATTGCATTGGGCACACAACCCACGCCTAATGCAATTACATTTTTTTTTCTAAACCATATTATACCTTTAACCCTTGAAATTATTTTTTTTATAGTAGAATTTCCAAATATAATGTACATCAAACAGGCTTTTCACTCTTTAAATTAAAGAGGTCACTGCATAAGCTGGTGTAAAAACCATGGGGTGTTTTTTTTTCTATTTGCGCACATAAATAAGTCAGTTTCACAGTAACACAGTAAGCCTAATCATAGTAAAAACAAAGTGGTAAAGAAAGTGATAGTCGTATAACGAGCGAATGTTTTTCAATTTCCAGGACCGTAAATGTAGTTTTATATTGAATAGGAGCCTCTTAAGTCTCCTCCAATGTCTAATTACACACCATACATAGCACTATATATCTTGATTAAGGTTCTCATAGATATAAAAAAATATATATATAACATATACAGTACAGTGGAACCATTACTTTTAACACTAATGGACTTTAAAAAAAATACATTTCGTTACGATAAGTGTCCATTAATCCAAAGCAAGTTTCAAGTGTGCGATGCCATATCATGTTTTTACAGAACAGTAATTGTGGATTATAGTACGTACGTTTTCTGAGGCGTGTATTCATGAACAACAAATGTATGTTAACAGCTTGCTACACGAGTCATTATAAAGTTAAAGACACGAATTTCTATATACGCACATTTCAACTTCATCCATGAAGGAAACCCTCAAGAATATATACATATCACTGTTTGTACAAAGACGTTTTATCGTGACACTAATTACCTATACATAAATGGTTAGATTAATAAAATGCATTCCAACCAACATTACAATAAGTACTTAGATCAATATGTTAACAGTCCATGTGCTGCTGTTTTAAAAATGTCCGTTCATAAATAAAACTGTAACATCAAGCCCTCTTTCTATTCTGGCATACAGCATTTATTTTAAAGGTTGTAACACGTTTTTTCCACCCATTTTATATCTTAACACATGCATTAGCTGTAAAAACAAACCAAGAGAGAATTATTCACAGTCTGTCGAGTAACTGAATTATCGTGCATTTCATAAAACTATGAGCTGCTTGTACCGCGTTGGCCTTGTAGATAGGAGTACTAATTATAATTATTAGTGGACTCGAGACTAATATTTATGAATGCCTTGTTGTGGGATGCAAGGGCGATTTGATAGTTGGGTAATTATGTGTCTGAATAGTTATGGGAAATTGTAGTACTATATATACTTTGGTCTGAATGGCCCAAAGCATCAACGATATAACATATATCCCCTCTTGAGAAATCGTACCATTGTAATAAAGTGTGCCCATTTGAATGTCCTTGTACACACCTTGGTTGAAATTCATGAACACAGACACAAGGCAGAGCTCAATGTCTGAGGTTGCTTAACGATATCGGCACGGTTGGACAGCTTGCGAGATCCTGCTGCAGATATGAAATGGCATGAAATCCTTAACTCATCCCAGAGAGGAGCGATCATTGCCATGCTTCTCCGTGGATGATTGAGCTGGGCTTAACGCCCCTGTGATGGGTTTGTGACAGCAACGCACTGAAAATGCTCATTTGGCAGTACGAGTGTTGTGGCAAGCAAGCGTGATCATCTTAAAGTCATCATTTTGCTCTCAAATTGGTTTGCATATCCGTGGCTCAAAGTGCCGACTCCTTCTACCTGTATATAAATATTTCAGAATGCTTGATAAAATGTTTAGTGAGCATTCACGCACAGTTTAAAACATATATACAGTGTAAAAAAATCACATTGCTGTGTTATAGCTTGTACATGTCCAGTCCTATGTGTCAATTATTTTCTGGATCAAGTCCTTCCCCATTGCTGTCGGTCACGGGGGTGGTTGTTTTATACTCCGCCGTGCTGGTCAGTGTCAGTTCGTGAGATGTCACTCGCCACTGACTCCAGAGCTGTGGCCAGTCATCAAACTCAGATTGGAGAGGATCACAGCGCGGCGTGCTCGCTGCTGTGCCACTGCCTCCACCCCAATATTGGACCATTCTATACTTGTGGTGCTTTGTCAGTTTTCAGTGTTGAGACAACACGTGCAAGTAAACAGAGATTTTATTAGTATAGGTAATTTACAGTTCACGTATATATGTGCTCTAAAATGTATTTAAGAACACAGTTGACCTTGAAAGTGGTGTTTTGAGCTTCATTTCACGTAAAATAAAATAATGTATAATAATAATTGACATGCGGTGCGCAGTGCGTGCATGTACCTTTTGTCCCGCACCTCCGATTAGCACAGTTGGCCACGTACGGTGCAAAAGAAGTTCTACATACATACGTCCCACTACACACTTAAACAATAGTTCTGAGTGGAGGAACTAAGAGACATGGGAAACACCTATTTGTCAGCAATGCAGTATTTATGTACATCTTTCAATAAAGATTGTGTTCAATAGTGTCCGTGAACAATATCGGTTTTCCCTTTAATACACTATGTATGGAAGTAATAAATACTTTATTAAAGTAGAAAATGTGTTAAGGATTGTTCTCTTCTCCACTGGTTACCATTTAGCCAATGGCAAAAATGGAAATTCCACGTGTCGATGTTGTGGACCAATGTCTGCATATTACATCCACTGTTGACTTCCTACCAAAGACGCACAGCCTCACCAGGCATTGCTCGTTTCATCAACCCTAAATTGATGATGGGCCGAGATGACCTGACCTGGGTTTTAACGAATATTTTAGTGATAGAGAGCTCTGCTGCTCTACCGACTGAGCTGTATCCTGTGATAAACACGCGATAACATCCACGATTCTATAAGCCAATGTGTTGTTCAAGAATAACACATTTGACGATCATCATTGTCAGTGATTGTTATTGACATATATGCAAATAACATACAACGTATATTTTGTAATGTACAGCCATCTAAGTGGATTACAAATTAACATAGCTAATGTAAGTGGAGAAAGCTCGCTTGTTCATTTAAACAGGGGGTTTATACTTATTCCTTCCCTTGAATAAAGTGCTCTTTGTCACAGTGGGCATAACAAGCAATTGCACGGTATATAATGAGACATCATGTATTTTAAACTAATCATGTACACCATTATACCCGATTGAACTGTGCTCAGCAACCGGATTTAAAACCCAGCTGTTTAAGTTTCACAGTCACACGAATCCCTAACGACCAATAAAACAAACTGCAGAGCGTTTGTGTCACATCATTGTGGGACAGGAAGCAGACTCTGGTAAGCATATGGATAAAACAGATCCATAATTGTAAAAAAACGTAAAAACAAAAAAAACATTAAACGGAAAATTAATTAAGCTTAACGTATGTATTTTTTTTTAATCTGTGATAGATTTATGTTCCCAAACTTATTCCTTAAATTCCATATTTTTTTCACAAACCTGATGGACAAGACACAATAGTCAATCTCGAAGCATCATTTGCCTGAGACAGGCAAGTCTCTTGATGAAGCCAACACCGTGTGATTGTCTTCAATGTGGCCTAAAAACTGATCCGTGAGTGAACTTGACAATGAAGTGACCCCAAGTTCTGCGATGCCCTTGGCCATACAACTGCGCCTTCCCCCTAACCCGGCTGAGCCTCACACATTCGTGAGCTCTGGTACATGACACAGACTTGGGAGTCCCCTCTCAGAGACACATCGGCAGCTGTGGAAACGGGCTGCTTAGCCGTCGTGGAGGACCAATGCAGGGGACGCACAGGGCCTCCAATCAATCTTTAAGGTCCGGTGGTCGCCGCACAGCTGCGGCACCTAACGGCACAATCTGAAGACTGCCTCCCGTGCACGGGCTCTGGCACCTGCTCCACCCGTGCACCTATCACTCTGGCCCTGCCACACATCCCAGGTAGGGTTGCCATCTCTCCTGATTTCCCCTCTTCCAACAAAGCGTGGTATTCTTCCTCCCGTGCTGTCTTCTTCTTCTTCGACCTCGACAGGTGGCAGCCCCCGGGCCACGCACCTCTGCCACGTGCACGCCACCACCCCCCGCGCCGTCATCAGCGCCCGGTGGCGCCCCTCGTCACAGGTAGGTGGTGGTCTCCTGGCTCTGGCGCTCGCGCGCGCGTGCCACCGCCACGTTGAGGCACCGCAGCCACTCCTCGGCGCCGCGCTCGTCGCACGCCTTGAGCACGTACGAGCGGCTTTCGGTGAAGATCTCGAAGGCGCGAGGCAGGCCGCGCTCCTTGCGCTTGCGGCTCACGACTCGCACGCTCTGCACCTTGCTCAGCTCCAGAGGGCACTCCTCGCCCTCGTCCTTCTGAGCAAACACGCGTGTGTAAATAAAATGCATGCATGTACGAATGAATGTGCGCATTGAACCTACATTTGATTAAATTTGAGCACGTGCACAGCAGTGTTGGCCACAACTGCGTCACGTCACGAGTTGCCACGTGCGTGCCGGCACACACGTGGGCACCGTGGGGGCGCCAGGGTGGCGAGGTGTTAACTACCTCGTCTGGTATACAGGAACTCGTGGGTTCGATCCCGACCCTGATGCTTGCTGTATATTTGGAGTTTTCGTGTTCCCCCCATGGTCACGTGGCCTTTTCTCCGGATCTCTCCACATTTAGAATCAACATGCGAGTATTTGGCTGATATAAATTTCCACGTGATAAGCCACTTCGTTCAGCTAGCTTTCATTTGTGGCCAGATTGCTTCTGAAAAAGAGCTATATAGCTCAGCGAGCCTTACCTGGTCAAATAAAAATAGTTCAGTTCAGTTTTAATTCAAATCAAGGAACTTATTAGACTAATTTATTACGACTTCAATAATGCTGCTTGTTGCTAGCTGCTTGGTATTTAGGCTGATTAGAAACTGTGAATAAAAATAGATATATAAATGTGGGCCTGGGCACAGGATATATTTGGTGAGTTTGTGGGGTGTTGCTGCGAAAGTGAAATGCATGCTGGACCATGGGCATAGAAAGTCCATGTCGCCGTCATTCACAATCAGAATATTTATTTACACTGGAGGAATCCTATGATCTATACGGCTCTTTTTTTACAGATGTCCAGTCGAGCTCTGAAGCTATAAAGCCCCTTTTCACAATGTATGCCGATGCTGTTCCATGTGTGAGGCACGTTAAGTGCTGCATTTCAAAATGGCCTGCAAATAATTAACAATCTCGAAATTGATTGTCAGTTTAAAAGATGGATGTTGTTGACTTCACATCTGCAATGTCTTACTTATTTTTATCAAAACACATTTTACGTTTAATGTAAAAAAAAAAGAATGGCCCACAAAAACATACACAAAAAAACATATCTGATGTAAGTTCTCATATCATTACATACTAATATAAAAACAGATTTTGCAGCATATATTTCTATGCAATTACCCTGACCCAAGCGTATTCCTCAAAAGTGATAACCAATCTCAGTGGAGTATTTTTTTGTATTTTATCAAAAGTATTGGGTTATATTAGCTAAGAAAACTAAGGGAAGGATGTAATGGAATAGACAGTGGTGGAGGTCTTTGCCCATGAGTGGGAAGTTAAAGGCTGACTGTGCCAACAGCATTGGTTGATTTAATGACGGCGTGGAGCTGTACGTGTGTATGTTGAACTTCTTTCGCACTGTACGTAGCCAAGCGTGCTAATCGGAAGTGCGGAGGAAGGGCAACAAACGAAACACAAAAAGCAGTTCTAAAGAAATGTTTTTAAATTTAGATTTAAAAGTGTATAGCTCCAGTGGCTTCCTAATATCGGAAGAGCGTTCCCGACGGCCGCAGAAGCGCATCAAAAAGCACGTGATGCAGTGACCGTCTTTGTTCGATGGTTATCAAAAACCCGCTGCGACGATGACCGGAGTTCGAGTGACGGTTTATGCTTCTTGACGTGATCAGCAAGGTATTGTGGTTCGTTTGTGGCAAGCACTTTGCGTGTAACGAGCGCGACCTTACGAGGGGAAGTCAGTGGGCTTGAGCAGGACATGGCTAGCAGGGAAGATGACTGATGGATTACATGTGTGATGGAATGACAGCCAAAATAGAATGCCCCCAAACGGGCGACCACCGATGATGCAGCTGTACGTATGTATGCGTTGTTATTCGGCGTGGAAGGAGGTTTTCTCACCGATTTCCCCTTGCGGAAGAGCAACTGGTTACCCGCGAGAGTAAAATATCGCGTTCTCCAGCGCTTGATGAACTTCCACCGCACCTGCTTCTCCTTGAGCTTCCCCTCCATGAGCGGCCTTCCCTCTTGGTTCACATCTTGGCAGCGAAGGGACAAGGTTAGATGCCTGGATTGGGCATGGTCATTGCTGGAAGGGTTTACTGCTCAGCAGTGAGCTGTCGCTGATCGGTTATCAAGGTCCTGTCGATTATATCTATTTTTTGGTCGTAATTTTAGGATTTGCTCGAGTCAAAGTATTTGCAACCCTCAACACATTCTGAGCAATAACACTGCCTTGCAAAAAATATATAATAGGCACATTTTTGGACGGTGGCCATTGCCTGAAACGTCACCAATATATATTCCTTTTTAAGGCAGTTATATTGACGAATGCTTTTTGTTATTATTATACATGTTGCTTGTGCGCCACTGCCAATGCAGAAATCACCAAATAATCTGTGTTAAGTACCTAGTGTTTTGTCTATAGAGTATTTTAAATTATCGATAGATTTGTATCCTCTAAATATGGACGGCCTCGCTAAATGCTGCACGCACGATTGATAAACCTAATGTTCATATACTAAACAGCAATATTCTATTTAATTTTGATTTAAAGCTTTCGTGACTGCAGTAATTCATATTCTTAGTTTTTTCGGTAAAGTCACGTTGAAGAGAAACAACAAAATAACAAAATATATATAAAACAATAAAAAATTCTCACGACGTTTCGACCATAACTCAAACGGTCATCATCAGGTGTGTCGGTTTGCATAAATTTATTTTGAAAACGGCATATTTATTTATATATATATATAAAAAAAATAACGTTTGCGTCACGCGCAACGATTGGCAGTTTGCCCAGGACTAGTCCATCTATTTTTTGAAAAGAGGAGGGGGGAGACGAAATTTGTTTTTATGTATGCTGTCTGAAAGCCACTGTAAGCGTGAACAATCAATCAAGAACTGAAATGATTTATCAAATCTTTCCAATGATTGCTAAGATAGAATCCATCTTCTCGGTTGAAATTGTCTCTGTGCAATCATTGGAAAGATTTGATAAATCATTTCAGTTCTTGATTGATTGTTCACGCTTACAGTGGCTTTCAGACAGCATACATAAAAACAAATTTCGTCTCCCCCCTCCTCTTTTCAAAAAATAGATGGACTAGTCCTGGGCAAACTGCCAATCGTTGCGCGTGACGCAAACGTTATTTTTTTATATATATATAAATAAATATGCCGTTTTCAAAATAAATTTATGCAAACCGACACACCTGATGATGACCGTTTGAGTTATGGTCGAAACGTCGTGAGAATTTTTTATTGTTTTATATATATTTTGTTATTTTGTTGTTTCTCTTCAACGTGACTTTACCGAAAAAACTAAGAATATAGCAATATTTTACTTCATGAAATCAGCTAATCAAAATGTGCGACCTTTGCTGTTTTCGTTGGCTCTTGTCAACGACATCCAGGCACACACACACACTCTAGCGATGGCTAAAAGCTAACACGCGGTGGGGGGCTTAACGTAAGCAAAATCACCATGGATGATTAGTGCACAAACATTTTTTGTTCGGAGCCATCCATTTAGTACGTATGCATGGAGGAGGGGTTAACCCAAATGCATACGCTTGCGTATGGGGGGTCTACTCACAATGTACGCATAGTAAACGGGGGGGGGGGGCGGGGGGGTGAAGCCTCGATAATAATTTATCTACATTGGCCTTCAAATAACTTTGATAGTCTGGCGGTGGACTATCTGTTTGCTTAAACACGTCAAGAGTATGAATCCTTGATCGTTTCTGCGTGGATTAAATATCGGCCGTTCTATAGGATTCGGGGGGGGGGGGGTGTAAAAAGTATGCGTGCGTACAGGGAGGGGGGAGGGTTCAAGTTTTGACAGATTTTTGCGCACCTACTCAATGTATGGCCCTTTACTTTACGGTCACTATTATGTTGGGCACATTTTTCGTGTACGTTCTTAACCGTACTGATGTTAGGAGGAACAATGTACGGCCTTGTAAGTCTCTGAAGTGATGCATTTTAATGACACTCAAAAGGAACCAGACCACCCAGCTCGAAGGACATTCCCGATTGTCACGATGGATTTTACTGATGCTGACCAAGCTTCTACATATTGTGTTTGTGTGTAAATGTATATATATAGAATATATATGGAAATTAATGTGGGAAGCGGTCGTGTAGCGGTTAGCGTGCTCCGTTACGAACCTGGCAACCTGAGTTTGATTCCCACTCACGGCCCCCAACACACAGTGACAATTATCCGAATCGGGTCCAGGCCTCCCCTAGGTCGATTCAGTCTCAAATGTGTACCGGTGCCGTTGTGTAAACATCGCCACCGGGGAAGACAAAGGCGGCCAGGCGCGGTGCTGGCCACATGTGCCCTGCTGACCTCGCGTATCCGCTCGCGAACACTTGCCCCGACAGTCTGTGAAGGCTATGCTGGGGATCTGTATCTTTGTCTTTATATATAGACTATACAATGCAAGCAAGCTGTGGTAGAACCGTGCGATCAATGGAGGCCCAGCGCACTGATTAATGCCCTTCGGCGTGCTTTTTTCTCCTGCAGATCTCGCGGACGCGATTCTTGGCTACCGGTAAAAGTCGGTGCGTGTGGTTTTTGCTGTGAGCAGGGTGCTATCTGCCAGACTTTAAAGTAATCTATCAGTGGGTGTGCGCGTGTTGTGTGTGTGTGTGCTCTCGATCAGTGTGCAAGTGTGTGCTGGGGCATGTTTGGATACGGCAGTTTCTCATCAACCCCGACCCACCCAACCCACCACCACCCCCTGAAACGGTTTTGATCTCCCACCGAAAAGGATGTGGCAAGAATTAAACATGGACGAGCCCATTGTTTTAAGAAGAGGTTGGTGGGTGGGGAGGGGGGCACTTGAGGAGAATTGCTTTTGAACGGGCATGGGCCTCCCCTAGGTCAACTCAGCTGAAAATAAGTACCAGGGAGACAAAGGTGGCTGGGTTATTTGGCTCGACCCACCAACCCCTTTGGGGTGTCGTGTCATCTTTGATAGCACGACTTCCCGACACCCAGTGAGGATAAAATTGAAATACCTCTGCTGTGTATGAAGCAACAGCAGATTTTGTACAGAACATTTCACTACTCGATTCGACGTAATGTTTGTGCCAGTCGAATGCTGTGTGTTCAGTAGGTGGGTGAGTACAACACGAGGCAATGGGTGCTGTATTGCAAATGGGGTGCTGTGTATTACCAAGGGCCTTGTCTGGGTGGTTACACATGTAACAACCCCATCTGCAGGCCTCGTCATCGAATCCAAAGACGTCGAAAAAACACACCTCTCCCAATTGCTGCCTCAGGAACTCAACGTCCTGCAACGCAGAGAGGGGGGAGGGAACCACGCGAACTGCTTCAATCGAAGACTTGAAGCAGACACTAGACTTGGCAAACTTAAGGCGCTCGTGACATTTTCGACGGGGTCTTTCTACTGAAGAGAATGACGGGACACTTTTTTGTTTTGTTAATGGCCATGTTCAGGTTAGAACGTGTATACGAAGCCACACCATGCCTGGAGAAAAAAAGAAAAAAAAAGAATATTACAATTTGATTTGATTCCTTTAAGCGGGCGTTTAATCCAGCGACTTCCAGAAAAGTGTCCGACAGCTGTCTCCAAAATGACTTCCTCCATGGATACACTCTACAAGGTGCTCCAGATGTCTTGTGACCTCCAACCTCCCTTTGCATAATCATTTATGTTTAAAATTTACCTTACTTTTAAAATGTTCACTTTTAGAGAATTTAACACGTAGGCTTTCGCGACCAATATTATTCATAATAAAGGTTTTGGGTTAGATCGCGTTATTTATAAATGTGTCGTAACCCTCCACCACCCGACACGGCCAATCAGCATTACTAATCATAACCAATGACTGATTACTAATCGATTATATAATTACAATACCCCCCCCTCCGCCTCTAATCACTGCACCTGATATGAGTTAAGTGATGACGTCACCCTGCTGCTCTATATAAAACCGGGAGCAAGCGAGGGCTTTACCATTCTGGCGAATTGCCCGATGATGCTGGATGTATTTACCAGCGAAACGTCGTACTCAAACTGTAAATGTTGTGGATTCACTCTTCAACACACCGGTGGGCTAAAGTAGTGAATTATTTGTCTTTTGTCAACGTGACACTTTTTTTGCTGATTGGCCATGTCGGGTGGTGGAGGGTTACGACACATTTATAAGTAACGCGATCTAACCCAAAAACCTTTTTTAGAGAATTAAATGGGGGGGGGAGGTGGTCACAGGATATCTGTACTGTAGTCCATGTATTGCAAATGCGAACAGGATGATGCCTCGTTTAAATAACGGACGAGTATGACCCTGTCGCTCGGAGTAATACTCTGAACCTCTTGATTTAAAGCTTTCGTGACTGCAGGGATTCATATTCTTGGTTCTTTCGGTAAAGTCACCACGTAGAAGGGAACCAATAAAAAAATAAAAATATAAAACAATAAAATTCTCACGACGTTTCGACTGCAACACAAGCAATCGTCATCGGGTGTGAAAACCACAGCAAGAAAATTTTCTTCGTGAGAATTTTATTGTTTTATATTTTTATTATTTTATTGTTTCCATTCTACGTGACTTTACCGAAAGAACCAAGAATATATATATACTCTGAACCTCCTCTCATCTGTGGTGATGTGGGTGAGGGGGGCACTACTGGCAGATCCTGTGCACATTTTTTGTATGGAAATTATTCCCTATAGCCACACGGAGGTCATTGGAGAAACGCAGATGGTCGTATGAATTTGATGCCACTTCCGTTCAATCCCCTTATCCATAGACATTTGGGAATAATGGGAAGAACTGATGCACGCAAAATAGGATTTTGTGTTATCAATGTTATAATAGAAGTGTCACTAGTAACACGTGGTGGTGGTGGTGTTGTATGATTCATAGGCTGGTCTGTTTCACAGCCATCGTGGCAATGGGTAGTCTGTGTTTTTTTCGCCACAGATTCACTATAATATGCTGCTGAGAACTCATTCAAATGATCAATCAATTAATTGATACCCATAGCGGCCTTATGAAATTTAGATTTCCCAGCAGCCTGTGTTTCTCTTTGTAATATGCTGCAGTTTTAGTTCATTTCCAATGACCATCGTCTAATATCTTATGGGGGGTGTCTTGGACTGGCTCTCTGAGCATTAGGCACATCTGATGCACTCTATAATGGCAATTAATGACGCGTCTACCTCAACACACTTTTCGCAAAGCAGAATGTATTAACAGCAAATGCGATGCCAACCTTGCTTTTAAGGAGGGTTCTGATATGTCCAGGGCAATTAGAGCTGACTTAGGTGCCCTCTATTGAAAGCAAAGGGGTGGATAAGCCCAGACTCTTTAAGTGACGCCAGGTGGGGTTATATCTCGTGACATGAAATGGACATCACTATGCATGGAACAATGCATTACTGCACGATACAATGTACATGCATTAAATAATGCACATGAGAATATTATATTTGCATTTTAAGAAAAGATATTCAAACGATATGCAAATGTTAATCGAGCAGATGAGGCTGTGCAGAGAAGACGTAACAATACAAGTGGGGATGGTAATAATGTTTAACACGTAGGCTGTCGCGACCCATATTATCCATAATAGAGGTTTTTTGGGTGTTCGCCTGATGATGCTCGTTGTAATTACCGGCGAAACGTCGTACTCGATTTGTGAATATTGTGGGTTTTACTCTCCAACACACCGATGTGCTGAACTAGTAACGAATTGGCACGTTCTGTTAGCGTGACAAACCTTACTAATTGGCTGTGTCGGGCGGTGGCGGGTTTAACGACACATGAATATTTACGCGATCTAACCTAAACAAAAAAACTCTAACATGGATGGTAATATCGACCAAAAAATTAGTGGATCTTGTATAGCAAATATGAGAGCGATTAGTGGCAATTCATGGAAGTGCTTGCGTTATGGCTAACCAGCACAGCAAGGCTTGCTTGGGCAAGCACAGCAAGGCCTGACCTTTGCGGAGGGCAGCGGTGAGTGGATAACGGCCGTCTCGAAGTCGAGTCCGCCCTTCTGGCGGGCCCTGTCCCACAGCTGGGCCAGCGTGCGCACCACCGCATCGCGTACAGACAGCGGCGACGAAGACCGACTCTGCCCACAGCAAAACAAGAAAAAACGTCGCACAAACCTCAGCATTCGCATGCTTTACCCGGCGGACGGGATGATTCGCACGGGTTGGCTACGGTCGTTGCGAGAGAAGTTCTACGGACATACGTGCAGGGAAGTGAGGGGAGGTGCGAGTGGTAAAAATGGGGCACGTGTATTTTTTTTTATAAATATAACATTTGGCCATTGACCAAATCACTTGGAAAGCATCTGATCTCGTCAGCTCTTGGACGCTGAGCAGAGTTGAGCCTGGATCATGCAGGTTGTTACAGGCTGCTGCACACCGGTTGTGAGCAGCAAAGGGCAGTGTAACACAATCCATTATTGTTCTGGACCTCTATGATCCCACGGCTATTTTCTCTACCTTCGCAAACCGGAAATGACCAGCATGACCCGCAAGGTGTGTGGGGAGGTTCTCATCCAGCAGTGGATTGATAAACGGTTGCAATAGTACGCAATATTTGAACAAATAATATGTGGTTTGTTTCGTCTTTTCCCTCAGTCACGTCACAATTTTTTCGACTTAAAGCTTTCGTGACTGCGGGGATTCATATTCTTGGTTCTTTCGGTAAAGTCACCACGTAGAAGGGAAATAATACAATAATAAAAACAATAAAATTATCACGACGTTTCGATTGCTGTGGTTTTGATTGCTGTGGTTTTCACACCTGATGATGCTTGCTTGTGTTGCAATCAAAACGTCGTGAGAATTGTATTGTTTTTATAATTTTTTAATTTTTCCCTTCTACGTGACTTTACCGAAAGAACCAAGAATACAACGTCCCAATTGTTCGACTGCAGTTATGCCGTGAGATGAACAAAACTCCTAACCGGAAACTCTTGCTGTGCTGCATCATCATCGTCAGTCTGTCACCCTGCGTTGGGGAACGGCCTTACAGGCAAGGCCCACTAAGCGATACAGCTATAGCTCAACAGAGTGGCTTATCATGTGGAAATGTATAGCATCCAAATACTCTTCAATTGCCTCTCACCCACATTAGGTGTGCTGAGCCTTCTCACACACTTTGCTAAAGATTTGCGAATTGCATGACAGGTAAACAAATATATTTAAATCCTCAGAACTTGAAATATGTTAAAGTGAAAACCAAATTGAACGTAATCATGTTTTTTGCAATGCTCCTATAATGTGTGAAATCGTTGGTGATTGGGCTGAGATCGTCAACTCATTGTGCACAATAACCTAGTTTATACAAACAAATGCCATTTCATAGCATTTATATACATACTCTTTGGTTCTTTCGGTAAAGTCACGTAGGTACCTACGTCACGCAGGTACTTATGGATCCCTGCAGTCACAAAAACTTCAAATCTAGATTAACATTTATATTCTGAACATAAAATACATATTGCACTGGAAAAATGGAAGCGAAATATCTACAACAGGTCCTTGCCTCGTTTAAATAAAATGTATGCATGTATGAATGAATGCGCATATATAACCTACATTTTATTTATTTTAAGACGTGTACAGCAGTGTTGGCCACAACTGGCCAGAAAGTGTATCATATCACAAGTTGCCACGTGCGTGTAGGCACACGTGGCCACCGTGGGGGCGCCAGGGTGGCGAGATGTTAACTACCTCGCCTGGTATACAGGAAGTCGTGGGTTCGATCCCGACCCTGACGCCTGTATATTTGGAGTTTGCATATTCTTCCCATGGTCACGTGGCTTTTTCTCCGGGTCCTCCAGTTTTCCCTCCACATTTAGAAACGCGCGGTTAGAGTATTTGGCTACGAAAATGTCCACGTGATAAGCCACTTCGTTGCGCTATCATTTGTGGCCAGGTCGCTTCTGAAAAAGAGCTGTACAGCTCAGTGTGGGCCTCATCTGGTGAAATAAAATGAGTTTCAACAGTTTCATAGTTACTGGATGGAATGTGGCAGCGCTCTTCTCGCAGCTCTTGAGTGTGGGCACCTGTAAGAAGAGTGTCATGAGGTGGAGCCAGGTTTGTGGCTGCCGAGATGGGAGGGAGAAGTGAGACTTGGAGTAGAGGCAGTACTCAGATTTCTTGGGACACCCGAAGCTCAGCTTGAACAAGCAGCGGGGTCCAAGCTCTGCGGAACGCACCTCCAATTAGCACGGCTGGCTACGTACAATGCAAAAGGAGTTCAGCGTACATGCACCGGACTTCAGGCGAGTCAAAGCAAGTAGATTTTCCACAGGAGAGGATTCCTTTTTTTTTCAGTTTCATATTTTTTACATTCATGGGTGCATGTTTCTGTAAATAATTGCACACTTCAACCACGCTATTAGCCACGAAACAAACAAAGCTTCACATTGAGGACGCACACTCGGTCACAGCTTTGAAAGCTGACATCAGGGAACAACCACTCAAGCCCCCTCAACGGTCATCTTCATGAACACTTTGTGGCACACATTCATAAACGTTGCAAGGCGCGTTTGCCGTATTTCAATGAAACTCAATGTTTTAGAAACTGGAATGAGCCCCTTATTTGTGACAACCGAATATTAATGTTACGCTTCGTGCGGGCAAAAAGGCCACACTTGAGAAACAAGGTTCATGGGTGGCTGCCTGAATTTAACAAGGTGTTAGGCCCATACGCCACCCCGGACCCTGCAGTTTGTGCATTTGATAAATGAAATCAAATTGTGTATATTTAATCGTATTATTATTGTGCTTGTTTACCCAGGAAAGCCTCACTGAGTCTCTTGACTCTTTTTCAAGAAGGTCCTGCCAAGTGTTTTTTTAGAACAGGGAGGCGATGATTTATGTCACGTATCATCCCAAAATGTGGACCCCTGACGCCGGCACACAGTGACTTATTATTGCGAATGACGTCACGGGATCCGTAACGTCCGCTATAAAGCAGATGTCAAGCATCTCATGGTTAATACGTGCGTAGTATTCATCAAGGCCGCCACTGGATTCGAACCGTGACCTCTGCAACAAGTGGTGAACGAGCTACCGCCAGGACATGTCGCAGCCCCATATTTATTATTATTACTTCCAATATTATTTATTGATAGGAACACTTTTGTTGATTATGTCAGGGTGCATGATAAAACTTTTTTTTTATGAAATAACATAACGTTTTAATTGTTTTACATCAACAGCTGGCCGACCCGCCCATCACCTTCACAAAAGGAAAATTAAAGACACAGCCACATTAAGTGCGACTGTGGCCATGCAACTCAAACTACGGACCGTCGAGTAAACCCATAGAGGCTCATAGAGATGCATATCCATACCCGTCTGGACTACTGCAACTCTCTTATGCTCGGTCGACTCTTTTGCCCCCCTTCAACAAATCCAAAACAAGTCTGCTCCGATCATATTCAACCTTCCCTATAATTCCCATAGCTCGACCCTCCTCGCACAACTGCACTGGCTCCCGTTTCAAATTCACTCACCTTGGTCTACAAATCCCTTCATGGACTTAACCCACCATATCTTGCCACACTTGTACCTTTCTACGTGCCTTCTCGCCCCCCTTCACTGGAACAAACTTCCCCCTGAACAAGAAGCAGTCACCTTCGCTCACTAAGTTTCCGCTCCGCACTCATTTTAGTTTTAGTTTTAGTTCATTTATTTTGATATAGCCCTGTGAGCCATTCGGCTCTTGAATCGGGTGCAACCACAACAAACAAAAAAACTAAAACACGAACAAGAAAACATCTTTATGTGACTGTGCAAACAGAAAATCCATGAAAAAACAGCAAAATATTCCTGAAAAAAGCACCGTACACCAACGCTGTGTACAAAAAAATCCCAGTGGGATGCAAGTCAAACAACAACAACCACAAGACAACTTAGATTAAGGCCGTCAGTCTAACTCCGTACTACAACAAAACAAACATGTCCAAACCAAAAAACTTTTTGAAATCACCAAAAAATAAAGCCATAATTGCAACGTAACAGTGATCATAGGGACTGTGACCAAATAAACTACGTAAATAACATGTAACACCAAATCCTAGAGCCATAGCTGGCTGCATGAGTTACTCCACAACAACAGAAGCATCAGTCGGAGTATTAAATTTTTCAATGCACCTTTAAGATCAGCACGCTAAATCAAAATACAGATAATACTTTGCAGAGTCATCCGGAGCGAAAGATTTTATTTTATTTTACGCCAATGAATAGCAGTGGCAGCTAGGGGTGTACAACTCCTCTAGAGCAGTTTTGAGAGAAGATCTCATTGGTAGCGATTCAAGTTGCAGTTTATTGGCAATAGCATTCTAGACCCTGGGGGCTCAATAGCAAAGGCCCTTCCTCCAGTTTTTGTACGGCAATAAGGAATGTGAAGCTGGTAAATGAGCGAAGACCTGAGGTCAAATTTGTTCTTTGAAACAGAGAGGAGATCCAGCAGATAGTCTGCGGATTTTTTTGTAAGTACATCGTGAATAAATACGATCTGGTGCACAAGCCGTCGAACATTAAGAGATGTTAAGTTTGACCCAATGTAGAGATCACAGTGGTGAGTCCTATATGGGCAGTTCAATGTAAATCTTAAGGCCGAGTGATAGATGGAGTCAAGCTTCTTCATTACAGTACTTGGGGCTGATTTATACACGATGTCACAGTAGTCAAGTAGAGGCAGTATGGTAGCTTTTATCAATTCCAAACGGAACATTGGGGGGAAGCAGTGCTTGTGTCGATACAGAAAACCAATTTTTTTTGTCTTTTTACCAATATAATCAATGTGATCTTCAAAATTCAGTTTTGAATCCAGGATGACCCCAAGATACTTATAGATCTTGACTTGCTCTATTTGATAATTATTTAAGGAATGCAATTGGGGAAAAATAACTTCCTGCTTTAGTCCTGGTGAGAAGCATAGCACCTTGGTTTTGGAGGTATTCAGGACTAGTTTAAGACCAACTAGCTGATGTTGTAGTTTGTTGAAATCACCCTGTAGCTTAACAATCACGTCATCCGGAGAGCGGCCAGCAGTAATCAGTATCGTGTCATCTGCAAAAAGATTTACCCTGGAATGATCCAGGTCAGTGCCCAATTCAATGACATAAAGAGAGAACAAAAGGGGGCCGAGGATGGAACCCTGTGGAACCCCTTTTGTTATCTTAACACTGTTTGACCTCCAACCATCTGTGAATACGGTTTGGGTGCGAGAAAAGAGGTAATTTTGTAACCATTTTACTGCGTTTTCGGAAAAAACCGAGGCAACTTAGTTTACTAAGCAGGGTGTTGTGGTCTACTGTATCAAAAGCTTTGGACAGGTCTAGAAAAAGACAGGCACAGTACTGCTTATTATCAAGGCTACTGTAAATGTGATTCAGAGAGTCTAATGCAGCAGATGTGGTGCTGTATTTTTTTCAGAACCCAGATTGTTTTAGATGTAGTAGATTGTTGGTGGACAGGAAACTGCTAATTTGGTAGTTCAATAATTTTTCAAAATTTTTCATCAACGGGGACAAAATTGAGATAGGTCAGTAGTTATTTGGATCATCTTTAGGGCCCCCTTTGTGAAGTGAATGGACATAGGAATATTTCCATTATAGAGGAACTGATGCTTATTTGATGGACAGGTTGAAAATATGGGCTATAGGTTTGTATATTAGGTGACCAACAGTTAGTAGAACAAAGACGGGAATACTATCTGCTCCGGTAGAGGAGGACCCTTTGAGGTAGGATAGTTGTTTCAGAACATTACTTTCGTGGATTGGCTGGAAACTAAATTCGTTAAATGTTTGGACAGGGGTGTAGGAATTTGCATGAGCACGGGTGACTCCCAATACATTATCAAAAAGATTACCAGCTTCAGAAAAATGAAGGTTAAAATTGTCAACTATTTTTTTGGGATCTGAAAAATATTCCCCATTTCGGTTAAGCTCAACGGGCAGATTGTCTGTTTTGGATGCCTTTTCGATACATTTGATTGTTTTCCAAAAAATCCTGGCATTTCCATGTGATTCCAGGAGAGTGGAGGAAAGGTAGGCATTTTTTGCATGCCGTAATTTTTGGACACATCTATTCCTTAAAATCCTGTATTCTAGCCAGTCATTTACCAAATTACTTTTCTGAGCACATGCTCAAGCCTTGTCCCTAGTTTTCATGAGCTTTGTAATCAAAGGATCAAACCATGGTGGGCAGTTGCCTTTAGTTTTAAATCTAACCAACGGAGCATGTTTGTTAATAATTTGGAGAAACGTGTACCTGAAGGTCTCCCAAGCCGTAGTCAGGTTGGGGATATCACAGACCTTGTCAATATCCGAGTGAAGCACATCATTAGTAAATGCCTGAGTGCTGAAGTGTCTCAGAGTGCTTCTCAACCAATTTAGGGGGGGCTTTGGGTCTGGCTGATGATCTCACCCCACAAATTAAGGAGTGATCACTAAGGTTATTACCCAGAACACCAGTCAGTGTGAAATTGTGAGGGGCATTTGTCAATAGGACGTCAAGCAGAGATGACTGTCCCAGATTTTTTAGGTTGGGTCTTGTGGGGACATTTGTTAATTGAAACAGGTTAAATTCATCTGCAAAATTTGTGGCCACGGCCGGCGGGTTTAGCCAATTACAATTTAGATCACCCACTAAAACTATTTCACCTTTAGGGAGGCCCCCAAAAAGCTCTCTCAGTGCATATGCAGCTTCAACATCCTTCCCACTAGGCGGTCAATAGCAGCACACTACCAATATCTGTTGATTATTTGGGAGAGTTATTCTGAGAGCCAGACCTTCAAAGCAACATTTTATAAACGAGGAGTGAGCTAGTGAACATGCAATAGTATTACGAACATAGATGGCAATTCCACCTCCTTTAGATCCTCGGTCAAGCCGAAAAAGGTTGTAGTTGTCAATCGTCATCTGCAAGTCATTGACGGCAGGAGTGAGAAATGTTTCTGTTCGGCAAAAAATGTCCAGGTCAAGATTTGCCACTTCTAGTTTTAGTTGACTTAATTTAATCACAAGCCCTCTGATGTTAACATGTAGAACACCAACACCTTCCCTGCCAGAAAAATCTACAGAATTATACGAGTTATTTTCATTTGGGCCAGGATGAAGCTCAATACCACCCAGAAATAATAAAAGTAGAATTAATAGTTTGCACAAGTATTTTCTGTGAAAGGATGA